CATGTCCCTCTTTCTCAAGAAAGCCACGAAGCCACAAAGCCACGCCTCGACCATGTGATATCCTAGCTCCAGACTCCTCCATCAATTTAGGTATTCACCTTCCCTCTAGGTATTAGAGCCCCCCTAGTCTACATACACCTCAGGTTATCGCGAAGGAAATGACGTAGATGGCGCGATTGGGGGGCCATGGAGGAGGTAATTATAGGTCAATTGTCTCTTTCGTTGTCTCGCGCGGTGCAGTGTGGTGCATTGCGGCCGGTCTGGTGTTGGTGGGTTTATTGATTTGATGTTGTGGCTTCGGTTCCTGAACTCCTCTTCGGGGAGGTGGTGCCTGGATGGATTCAAGTGATTCAAGTGACACAAGACGTTCAGCTAAAAAAGTGGACAGCCACATGGCGACATGCTGGCCCCCACGGAGGAATGCGGTGGAGGTGGCGGGCACCCTATCTTGACGGCACTCGGTCGATATACGCACGAAATTGTTGCTGGGTGGACGATATGTGGCTTTCTTTGTGTCACCTTGAGGCTTTAAGGTGGTGGCAGAGGCGTTGATATCGGGCTTTTGGCGGTTGCCTTCGGAGTTTTGGACTCAAAGAAGGTTCTGGCTCCGGATATTGTCATCGCTGGACGGGACGCTGAGTGAGGCACGATTTGAAGTCTTAGAGGCAGTGTAGAGGCAAGGTGACTGGATGAGTAAACGCAGGCAAAGCGATGGAGCTTGGAGAAGTGAGCAAACACTTGACCTCGAAATCTGGCATAGGCTAATAGAGACAAACTGGAGTGTCTGCTGTTCGGTCAAGGGAATGGAAACCAGCTCGTCTACCGCTCATGGACTATGTAAAACAAAAGGATTGCCTATAGAGCCACTGGAGACAGTTTGACGTTGGTTTTCCTGGATGAAGGCGTGCGCTGCGAGTGATATCTGTGCATTGGGCTGAACATGACAAGTTGATCTTGTGAAAGGAGGTGTGTGTGGGAGTGATCTCATGCTCATGAGGATAGAAACTTCCATGGCCGATTGAAGGTCTCAAAGCAACTAGAACCATCACGGTCTTCGTAATATGGACCCCTTTTTAGGGCCATGTCATTGTCATTTCACGCATGCCATCACTGATGATGGATTTTGACTTTACGAGACACGAGAGATATTGTAGAAGAGCCAAAGATTCCTCTTGGATGCCACTACAAGTGATATATAATTCTATTTCTGTAGAAGATTGGAAGTGTCTTCCAAGAACTGGAGACATTGTGCTCACCTTGATGATCTGTGGAGTAGAAGCCTGAAAGTCAATTATATTGATCAGTATCGAATGCAACTGAATAATGCGAATCCATGTTTGCAAAGAAGAAAATCGATTAGGTATCTCATTCTACTTTAGAAAGTATCACGATGTTTCAGCATTCGACGCTGATTTTGCAGACATCACATTTTATGCGACTCCCACATTCACCAAAATAGAAAGAAAAAGTCATAGAAGAAAACAAAAAGAAATAGACATTCTTGACACCAGATAAAGTCGCAAAAAGTCAAAAAAGAAATTTAGATGGTCATTCGTGCGACGTGGGCCTGATTCGAACAGACGCTCCCGAAGGAACAAGATTTCTAGTCTTGCGCATTAGACCACTCTGCCACCACGCCGAGTGATTATTGTTGAAGGTCAGCGCGAATCCAGTCCTCATATTCCCCATTTGTGCGCACAGACCACCATGCGGTCAAGCCCCTCTCATCGCTTGTTTCCCTTTTCCAAACGGGACGAGCCCTTCCGTCACGCCACAACCACCACAAATGATCACGATATCACCGAAAAGAAGGCGCGACGATGATCTCCGCTATGCCTCCCCGACGCAGTCGATATTGAACTGAGCCGCAATCCGATCCAGATTTTGCAAAACACGGGACGATTTCACCGTCGGGATTGATTGATATTCCTGCGGGGAACGCACTGGATTCGGGGATCGCGACAATGAGTCCGAGGAGCAAAAGAGGACCCGTGCGCGACATGGACCATGCCCACCAGAATGAGGGCATTCCCAGATCCCATCCCATTACAACCCACCTGTCTACTTTTGACGGGATCAAGTTCCAAAACACCAAACATCTGGACTTGTACGCCGCCTGATGGTGCAAACACACTGAACGTGAGATGTCCCAATGACATCGCAGACGTACGGAAGGATCAGTGCCGTGCAACGTCGTCGACCTGACCTGTGCAACTGTGTCCCTGTCTTCCGTGCGATCTCCAGAAACAGAAACCCTGAAGCCTGAAGCCTGGGAAGCCGAGGACACGAGACACCAGACACCGGAGACCAGACAGTTCTTCAACCCGTCTCCACGGTTGGTATTTTTGGAAGCCATTGGTAGGTTGCATGCGTCTAATCGGACATAAGCAAATTGGCTGCCCTAAGCGAGCTTACCTTACCTACACAAATTTGTCGACATACTCAAGCTGAAGCTCCTTCGGGGGTATCTTGATGTAGACGTCGGGCACGTACACCTCTGAATCCAGACACCTAACCAAAGCCAATAGATGTCAGTAATCAATATCGACCTGAGGAACAAGAGCAACCAGACCGTTGCAAGAGGGCACAGCAACTTAAGCGATTAGAGTATGACAGTAAGGTGATAAGGTTCTGATCTGTCCATCCATCCATCCATCCATCCTTCGGTTCGAATACCTAAGCACGGGGGGGCTGTGCATTAACTTTATCTCTTCGATCCCGTCCCCGGATTTTTGTCGTCGTAGGGCGTAGGGCAGCAGCGATCCCCAGGGGCCGAGGCATCTCTTCATTCTCTTGTCTTGCACCGCCAAAATAAAGGGCGCACTGCCTCACGGGTACCTTCATGTGAGGCATGTGCGGCGCAGCTTCCCGCGTGGCTGTTATCTAGTGGTAGGTACCAGACATGGATAGTTTATTTTGGTGTCGCACACACACCAACCTGGAAGACCTTGACACCGCACAACGACGCAGCAATGGACACTTCTTCGGCCCTACGACATGTCATGTCCATGTCTTGTCCCGTCCTCACGATCTTTTCTGGTCTCGGTGCAGCAGTGTCTTTTTCGTACCGGTCGGCGGCTACGCGGCTAATTGAACTTGAGAGCGATCTGGTGCCGGGGTTTTGGGTCTTTGGGTCTTTGGGTCTTTGGGAAGGAGACACAGCACGCTCGCTGTTGAGTGTTGCCCAACGTCCCAACGAGACCAACGAGCAGACGACAAGACACACACACCATCGCGCTTACCACCCGTGCCAGTCAAGCGCAACCCCTACCCTCCTTTCTACCCGTTGCCAAAACCAGGTACTGCATTCTCTCGTCAGCACCTAGACCTAAACCGTCACGATGCACGCAAGCGAGATGCTGGATGCTGGAAGAAAGCAAATGGGACTGGAGATGACTGGAGGTCTTTTGCCATCCTGATCGCCAGGGACGTGGATGATACCCATACCTCTATGGGATCCATCCATCCAGGTATCCATCTACCTATCCATAGACGAAACACGGCAACGACGGGAGTTATTATCAGATCTTCCATTTTCAGTTTCTGGATGGATGAAATAGATTTGCACTTGACCTGTCACCAGCAACGCAGCAACACAGCAACACAAGGAAGAAAACACCCATTCCCAACCTGCCCGGGAATGAAAGCGGGAGTGGATGTTTCGAAACATCTCCAGCAGTACGGGAACACTCCTTTGTCGCCAAACAGAACTCACACCTCACAGCAAAAATAGCCGCGTCCATGCATCTCCGTTAGACTCCAGTCTCAGCCAGTCTCCCTTTCGCTTGAATGAATGAACGAATGGAATATCAGACTCCTGAACTCCGTTGGTCAGCCAAGGTCGCAGTAGGAGCCGAGAATGGGTGTTGATGGCGCCCCTGCCGTTGGACTGGACTGGAGTGGAAGGGGGTCACGTTTGGCCGTTGCTGACTGACACTACCTACCTACTACTGTCACTGCCTCAGAACCTCTTGGTTACCCTTCTTGGACATGACACCTGGAGTTCATGTCTTCCACTTGATGTTACGATTTGATCCGTGGCTTGAAGGCTTGCTGCTCCCTAGGGCTGATCCGGTCCCAGACTCCCAGGTCCCCAGGTCCCCAGAATCTGTCATGGTGCTGCTGGCTGACGCCATACATAGACACCGCATGCTACATGGTATCTACTAGGTATGCTGCACGATGCCACCGACCGATGCCACCGAGTTCACGGATTAGGGACTGGACTGACTGGAGCGTTCTCGGTTTCCCCTGGGTCTGAGTCTGGGTTTGAACTTTGAAGGCTGCCTGCATGCCGAAGGAATCCTACAACCGAAAACCAAGAAAGCCAGAATTGGACTCTGCCTCTCCCTACAGGTAGTATGTGCGTGTTGTCTGTGCAACGGATTCCTGGACCTGGAGTGAGCTGTTGTTCCAGTTACACTTCCAGGTGTCCCGCCTCACTCCAGCGCCAAGGCAGCAAGCATCCATACATCCCATCCTATCCTGTCTTCCATCCTCCTTTACTCTCAGCTTGACTCCCATGTCCCATTCAAGGTATGTTGCTTCGGCAGTGCGGCACTGCCCTACCGTACTACCCTCTCTCATGATCCCATCTCCCATCCTCGGACAAAGTGTTTGATGGTGTGGTATCGGATTGGTGTGGTTTTGTTTCTGGAAACCTACCTACCTTACCTAGGTACCTACCTGGTAAAGAGGCAAAGCTTCCTCAGTTTCCATCTTGACAACGAATATAACTACCCCGGATGAGAACGACCAGAAAAAGAAAAAGCAATCTAATTCACTACTACCTCATCATCATCACAACTACAAGTACAACACAACATCTCTTCATTCGATTACTCGATTACTCAACAAGAAGATCTATCCAACCTAATACAACCTCAACTTACACTACCTTGCTCATCACTGACGAACACATCGACACAACCTACAAGTACTACATCGTCAACACCCCTTAATTTCTTCTCTTTTCAGTCAAACCCATCACAACCGCCAAGATGCCATCCAGGGTCCCATCCCCCTCGCTGTCCGAGCAGTTCTACTGCAACGACAGTGCCTCCATGTCCTCCATATCTTCCCGCAAACACCTCTACAACAACTCCATGTCCTCCATGTCCTCTCGGCCCTCCACCTCTCGGTCCTCCACTTCAGATTCCCGCCCGAGCTTCTCCTTCCCCGCTCCGCCTTCCCAACCCACCTCATCTACAAAGGGCCGGGGACTGCGAAGCAAACCCTCCAAATCAACCCTCACCAAGACCTTGTCCCCGCCACAACCGACCACCCGCTCCCGAGCAGCCAGCTTCGGCAAGCGGCCCCACGCCAACCCGCCCGTGGTCCCTTCCCACGACGAAATCGCCTTCCCCGTCGGCTACGAAGACGCATGGGGCTCGCGCTACGAGTCAGCCGACGGCCGCACCGACCTCGACCGAGCCAACATCTTCATCACGCGTTTCATCGCCATGAGCTCCAACCCGTGGGTGAACGCGGAGCTGCGGGACGTGATCACCAACCGCGACCTGTGCCGGAGTGTGGCGCACGTGGCGTGGGCGGTGATGCACCGGGTTTTCGGAAACAGACATGCCGATTTCACGGCGACGCCGCTGGTGCAGGCTATGCGGTTCATCATCATCAAGGCGAATATCCCGGCCGATGTGAACGTGTGCGAGAAGGCGAGGCAGGTGGTGGATTTCTTCTTTGATCCGACGCTGCACAGAAATCTGGAGCCGCTGCCTTGTGAGGAGTTGGTTGTTTACAAGTATCCTGTGGGCAGGTTGAGGGTTTGCATTGTCGGTGGAGGGCCCACTGGACTGGCCAGCGCTATTTCCCTGGCGGAGAAGGGAGGTGGAAAGATTGAGGTGCATGTGTGGGAGAGGAGGTGGGTGAGGGATGAGAGGACGGGCGAGGTTGGGTATCCTCCGACTGCCAGGAGGAGAGATCAGGTCGTGACCTTGCAGGATTCGGTCACGGATCTGTTGACTCCCAAGTCCTTCCAAGCCCTGTTTGCTGGGCGGCCGGAGAGGGTCTGGCCTGGTTCGGCCAACATTCAGATTCGCAAGGTAGAGGACAGGTTCCTCAAGAGATGCCAGGATGACGAACTGCGCCACTTGATTCACCTCCATCCCGAGGGTGTCACAAGAGAAGAGCTCAAGAACGGCAAGTGCGGTGACTTCCATGTCCTTTTGGGCACCGACGGTGCTGCCTCCTGGGTCCGCAGAGACTACTTCCGCGGCTACGAGAAGGAGCGTGGTCGGTCCTATGCCCTCGGTCTCGCCTTCGACCGCGGCTCCGTCGGTGGTCTTCCCTGGTCCCAACCACTCAACATGTTCCTCACCCTCGGCCAAACCCGCTACCTCCTCAACGCCTCGGATCACGACGGCAAGGGATACCTGAACATGCAGCTGACTGAAGACGAGTGGCACAAGATGGTCGGTGTGGATGGCGAGCCCGTTCACTTCGGCTCCCCCGGCTGCTTCCGCCGCGAAGACGGATCCGTCCCCGAGGGCTTCACTGAGAACCGCGTCTTCAAGCCTTCCGAACACCGCGACTCCTCACTCTGGAAGTCCATCGAAGACGGGCTCAAGCTCTTTGGCTTCAAGGAGTCCGAAGTCATCAATGTCGTGCGCATCCCCATCGTCGTACAAGCCGTGCGTGAAGGCGTGCAGCAGCTTCCCCTCGAAGACTCCCGCTTCGTCCGTCGTCCGCATGCACTTGTCGCCGTGGCCGGGGACGCCGCTATGACAGTGCACTTCTGGCCTGGCCGCGGTCTCAACTCGGGTATCAAAGCCGGTATCGCTTTCGGTGACGAGCTCGTGCACGCTCTCAACCGTGGGGAGTTTGCCGGTCTTCCTTTGTCATCCATGAAGCACTACAACGACTTCATCCTCAAGCTGCAAGACCGCGAGCACGACAAGCGCAGCATCCCATTCTCAACCAATCTGGCACCCCTGAGACTCTCGACTGGCTGCTGAAGCAAGCCTCTTCGGTCCCGGACAATGTCGCCATCGACTGGCTCGTCGGTGCCATGACGCAGATTGCCGACCGTCTCGAGCAGAGAGAAGACTGGTACTTCAAGCCGGAGATCAACGTCGAAGCGCAAATTCGTATTGTCCTTCGACAGATGCACTCCCTGACTCTCCGGGAGATGGCGGTGTCCTTCCCTTGGCCCACACGTGAAATGGCCGGTGCTGAAGTCTTGCCCTGCCGCTCTGCGAAGCCGGAGCCTTCCGAGACGAGCAAGAAGGCGGAGCAGAAGTGGCTCCAACAGCTCTGGGGGATCATCAGCAAGGACCCAAGCGCTGAACGGAAGCCCAGACTTCCTGGCTCGGCATCGGGAGGGAGCAGTGGTCGGTTCGAAGCGCCGCGGTTTACGGTGCCTGGTTTGAGGAGCAAGTCGTCGTCGCCAAAGCTGAGGAATGGCGGGTTTATGGACGAGAAGCAGAGCCCACCGATGCCGATGGGTCATCCGTTGATGGCGCGGCAGCAGCAGCAGGGAATGCGGTCGGGAAGTTCATCTCGGGCTGGATCGCCGTCTGCGAGTTTGCGGAGGAGCAATGCTGGCAAGAGAGTGGGAAGTATTAGCAGTTTGCCAGTTCCATTGGAGTTTGGTGGTGGGGAGATGGGTGGAAGGCAGAGGAGTTGCAGTGTCAATCCCGGTGCGCAGGGTCAGGAAGCGGGCAGCAGTGGGGGATTGACGAGGTTGATGAGTGTCAAGAGGCAGCCGAACCAGACGATGTTGTGTGAGGCCATGGCTTTGGCTTTGTTTGGTGTTGGCGAGTGATGGAGGGACCGTGTACAGGGAAAAGATTTGCTTTTTTTCTTGGTTGGAGTTTAGATGCGCAGGTATTGAACAAGGAAGGAAGGAACGGAGCATGGTTTGTTCTTGGTGCTTTTTTCGGCGTCTGGATGCCTGGTGCAAATTGCCGGTTCATGGCATATGGAGCTGGAGTCACTCCTTTAGAACAGTTCACGATCAGATTGATGACTTAATACGATAATCGCTTCTTCGGCTCTTACTTTTCGTTTCAATCATCTCTTCACCACAGTGTACGCGGGTTGTAGTCCCAGGCTCAGCTTGTACCTAGGTAGAGACTCGGCCACCACCGGCTCGTTCATTCCTCAACTGAATGCCACAGCATTGATTCCATGACCCGTCCTGACCCCTTCGCTCTTTCCTTCTCGATTTCCACTTCAGTTCCTCTCACATCAAGCTCCCGTTCAAGATAAATCCCCGCCCAAAAAAGACCAAAAAACATACAACACCAGGGATTCGCTGGTCGTCACCGACCCAACTACTAGTCTGGCCCTCACTGGCTTATCTATGGGAGAGCGGACGGGATCCCGAGTTTTCCAGTGGGTATGGTCGTATGTATTTTATTATCTTTACCTAGAGCTTATATTGTTCTGCACCCAATGCGCTCAACTTTTCCGATCAGTTCCGGGCAGTCTCCCGCCGAGCTCAATTCGTGCTCTTCCAACCACTCTCTTGCTTCAAGCCTTCCATGCTTCAAACCTTCCATGCCATCTCCACTCACAACTAACACCCAGCAGTCTTAACCGCATAAACAGTCGTGCACCCAATCTTATTACACGCATCCGCCGCTCCACACGGGAAACTGACGCTCTCCGTCGGCAATGCCTGACATCCGCACGGCTTGGTGATGGTGCTGGTAGTCGTGCACTGCGGGACGAAGCAAGATTTGCATGCCGTGGCCGTGGCCGTGACGGTGGGGCATTGAGCCGCTGGCGAAGAAGATGAGCAGCTGCCGGTTTTGGTGCTGATTGAAACGGAGGTCACGGTTGCTGTTGCCGTGGCGGTGGTTGTCGTGGGCTTGATGACGGTGGTGGAGATGATGGAGGTGCGGGTGGTGGTTTGGGTGTTGGTTACGACGTCGGTTACGGTGATGGGAGCCTCGGTGGTGGTCGTGATGATGGGGATGGTGGTGATTGTGGTTTCGGTCACGGGGAAGGAGACGGTGTAAGTCGAGATGACGGTCGTGGTGACTTCCTGGATGTAGGACTCGGTGGTGGTGCTGATGCTGGTGCTGATCTTGGTTGAAATCGAGGTTTCCGTTTGGGTTTCGGTCTCGGTGATGGTGTCGTACTCTGTCTTGGTGACGGTGCGAGTGACGGTGGGTGTGCCTGGGTTCTGGGTGGGACGCTTGGTGGTGACGGTGGAGGGTTGGAGGGTGATTTGGCCGAGGATGGAGCTGAGAGGTGTTAGCGATGGTGACAGGTAGAAGGGAAAACAAGGTGAATTTACCTCGCCGCCGCGAGCAACAGGACTGCAATCTTTTGGACCATCTTGACGGCGTTGACTGGGGATAGACTGAGATGGAAGACGAGGAGTTACTCGATCAGTTCACCTTGGATGCCGTCTTATTTCTTCCCTGCGAAGAGGAGACGACCTTTTATCTACATCATCATCATCATCAACAACTTCCCCTCCGACGCAGTCCGTTGTCCAGCATCAATCATAAGCTGGAAATAGCCACCCGCAGATGTCCCTTCACCCATAAGCCCATCCCATCGTCAGCTACCCTAGAAGAATGATACCGCTCAGATCCCTTCATGCTGGAAGTCCCTATATTGCCAGTTAATCACGGAGCCTATCTCTTTCATCACGAACCGAGGAACACGAAAAAGCCAAGACATATCAACATTCGACTTTGGTATACTTTTGTATGCGATTCCCTCACGGTCCCTGGTGTTGAGGAAGCTGAGTTTGTAAGGCAAGCCAATTAGCTCACGCCTTGCAAATTGCCTTGTTAATTTCCAAATAGATTGGTGTTGCACTTTTGACTCCACTAGCTTGTCAACGTTCTGTGGACGGTGGACGGGCTTTTCGATGCTACGCCGGTTTGGGAATCGCGGATCCAGGTTTCCATGGCCGCTGGACGGCAGGTTACCTATAAATAGCAGCTCCGAGTCTGTTGACGGAGGGGCACTGATCTACCCAAACAGGAGAACGTGACTCGGCCATGACCCGATATCTGGGGTATGTAGACTGACTAGTTGACGAGAAAACCTGGTTCTTTTACTTGTAAGTAATCGGTTCCGCGTTGAAGACGACGAGAGATGCAAAGCTGAATCCATATCACATCCGGCGCCCTGGTTACGAACGTCAAAGGAGTCCTTCCTTGACGACAGATCTGGCTCCTGGTGTTAGCTTCCGTGGCTCTTAGCGAACAAGGTGTTCAAAGGTATCGTGTCCATTCTGTATCGTCTTCACCACCTATCTTTTGTTGCTTTTTCCATTCTTTCTCTTCGGTGGCCGCATGCAATCATGCTATTGAGCACCCTGGATGGACCTCTCCCTGACGGTCGGGCCTCGTGAGGAGTTGATGACAGGTTACCGACTGGGAGTTCCTGCTGCCTGCCAGTCACACACTCATAACTTCCGCCAGAAACGACAGGAAGCTCCAGCCTCCCGGACCCTGAAGATCATGCCAGCCCCATGAGTAACACACCTTTTTCAAAGATTCCATACTCTCCATCCTCTCCTTTCCACCACTCCCCAGTCATCACCCCTCAAAGCTTGACTCAAAGCTTGACCCTCCCCCCCTGCAACTCCCTCCACCCCCTCTCCCCAAACTTTACATACCTCCCCTTCCCATCGTGGTCCAACCAATACAACTTATCCCCCTCCTTACCATCCTTCCCCACCGTGACCTTTCCGGGATCAACCCCCTGCTCCCTCAACACTTGTTTCTGCTGCTTCATCGTCCCCGTAGTCTGCTCTCCAACTCCATCCCTCATAGAGGTAACCCTCAAAAACAGCGGAACCGCATACTTCGGCAGCGTCTTCTGGGCATGTCTGGCCAGACTTTCCAGTACTTCTTCCCCCACCTCCCCTTCCCCTTTAAGTGAAATAGCAGCACACCCCGCCCGTCCATCATGATTCGGCAGTTGCACACCATAAACATTCGCCTCCTGAACAGCAGGATGCATCCCCAAAGCTTGCGCCACCTCCGCCGTTGACACATTCTCGCTTTTCCATCTGAACGTGTCGCCTATCCTATCAGAAAAGTAAAGTTTCTTTTCGGAATCCCAGTGGACTATGTCGCCCGTGCGAAACCACGCGTCGCCCTTCTTGAACACATCCCGTAAAATCTTGGAGTTGGTGGCTTTTTCGTTGCCGAAGTACCCTTGGAAGCGGGACTTGATGTCTTTTGGTGGAAGCGCAGCGAGGAGTTCGCCGGGCTCGTTGGGGCGCGTGCGGGTGCAGAAACCCGTGGAAGGGTCGCGGTGGGGTTGGTCTGATTCAAAATCGAGACGGACGACGGCGGAGCGGGTGTTGGTGAGGAAGTGGGAGAGAATGCCAAAACGGCCGATGGCGCCGAGGGAGAAGGTGTTGCGGGAGCGGTTCCATGTCCCCAAAGGACCTTCGGTGGAGGCGTAGAATTCTAGGATTGTCTTTTTGTTTGCGTCAGCTTTGCCGTCCTCATATCCAAGCCGTGAAAAGGGGGAAAGGGGACTTACATCAACACCAAACCTCTCCCTAAACCTCTCCCAAACATCCGGCCTCAACCCATTCCCACACGCCACTCTAACTTTATGTTCCTTATCCAAACACTTCCCCGTCAGGGGATCAACCTCCGGCTCCGCAACCGTCAGGTATCGACAAGTCTCGCCGACATACTGAATAATCGTCGCCTGACTAGCTCTCACATCCTTCCAGAACGTTTTCGTCGAAAACTTCCTCCCCACCGCCACCGTCGCGCCCCTGAACAACGCCGCGCACACGCCCAGACACGAAGCAGATGAGTGATAAAGCGGCATGCACGTGTACAACACGTCGTCTGCGCGCATGGAAGTTCCCTTGCCGGTGAGCATAGCTGCCATGAAAACTTTGGTCCAGCTGACGATTGCGGGCTTCGGCAGTCCCGTCGTCCCGCTCGTATAGATCAGGATGGCCATGCCGACATAGGAATCGACCTTTCTGATTTCATCCGGGTAGCGCTTGGGTTCAAGTTGGAACCTCTCCTTTTCCGTCTCTGGACCTAGGACGACATATTCCATCCCAGTCCCCTTTCTCTTCCTCCTCCTCCCCCTTCTTTCTGATGTTGCACCTGCACCCCCGCCTTGACTTCCTCCGTCAAATTCCCTTCCACTTGCGGATCAACAATCACCAGTCTCGCTTTGCTCTCCTCCAACGAATGCGCCAGCGGTTTTCCCGTAAGATTATAATTGATAAAAGCCGGCGTGGCACCGATACTCCACAGCCCGAACCAGACAAACACAAACGTGTCGGAATTCATGGCCATGAACGCCACCACTTCCCCCTGCTTCACCTTTTTGGTCTCCCGCAGCCAGGTGCCATATCGCAGAACTTGCTGGTAGGTCTCACGGTAGGTGTACGATTTACCCTCGAACCAGAGAAAGGGTTTGTTAGCGGTGGATGGGGACAGGGCGTGCGCTTCGAGGCGGTAGAAGACGTTGACGCGCCCGGTGCGAACGGAGTTGAGGACGTTGAAGAGAGTGCCGCCGGCTATTTGGAGCCAGAGAAGGTCGTGCTCTAAGGAAAGGGAGGCGGAGAGGTAGGATGCTGTGGCTGCGGTGGCGGCTGCTGCGCCGGCGATGGCCAAGGGGGCGGGCATGGTGGTTGCCGTTGGACTGTGTGATAGTGGGAGCAGAAGGGAGGTGTGGTCTGAGAGGTGTTAGATGAGGTCTTGGTTTCGTCTTGAAGTGACTTACAAGTCAAATAGATGATCTTGAACTATGAGAACTCAAGAGTCAAGACCCTGGAGATGAAACACTGAACTAGCATCAGACAAAGACAAACGAAGCTCGAACGACAACGGCGAAGGGAAAGGAGCCACTTTTACTTGCACTGTTGTCGTCCCCTTCTTTACAATTGACAACTGTAGCTAGCCCTTTCTGGGGGGTTACTGAGGGGAAGTAGGGGAGTTACCGAGGCAAAGGGGCCCAATCTTGAAGGCTGAAAGGCATGACAGGGCTGAAAGAGGGGGTTTTCAGGAGGATCAACATGAGCTAGTTGAGGTTATATGCAACCCTTGGGCCCTGTGGGCTTGAAAGGTGCATGAGGTGGACATCTTAATTTCTTCGTAATTTTGTTGATGACTACGAAAGCTTCTGTCAACTCGTCTTGGAAATATTCTGGCAGCATGGTGAACAAGACTCGAGAGTCCGAGTGGTGAATTATACGCGGTAAATGGGTGCTTACTGAGGAACAAGTGCCTACACGTGTAGAACGAGTTTAGTCCAATCATCTTGCAAATCTTCATCCAACCTCTTGCAGAAACGAATGCGATGAAAGTGTGGGGAAATCCCTCTGTCCGTCTTCTTTTCCATGTGCCAGAACATGAAGTCAGAACAAAGGCCAGAAACGCCGGGGAGCGCCTAGGCACGCACATGGCAAGAAAAAGGGCTGAAATGCGGGATAGCTTCAGAGCCCGGTGGCTTGGACTTTGCGGGGAAGTTGCTTGGCAGGGCGGCGAGGAACCATACACTGGAGGTTGGCGAAGTTGGGCAGGGCTGACCAGGGTCTATCATTGTGAATGGAAATGGGAGGTCCCTCGAAGGGACGAAGAAATTGAACTTGGAACCGCGCCTGGCGGTAAACTTTTCGAAATCATTCCTGGTAGCTGGCTCAAAGAAACCCTACGATATGGGTCGTGTATACGTCCTACTTCCACCTTTTTATTTTCCACCTCCGCTTCAACCGTCACAGCTTAGACAGTCAATTCCTTTGCTCATCCAATATGCAAAAGGCCTTGAAAGTCTCAAACTCGTTATCCTCGCTCTCGAGCACACACTCGGCCGTAGCACCGATGAAGAAAACATGGCCCATCTTGATCTCCTGCACCTTGGGACCGACTGAAATCTTGCCTTGACCCCTGGTGCAAATGATGATGCTTGGGCCATCGATGGGGTTGAAGGTGACCTTGGAGCCCTGACTCTTGAGGACGGAGCGGACGACGCTGAACTCCTCGATTGGTGGGTTATACTCGGTGGTCTCTGATTGCGAGTCGATCGCAGCTTGGTTGAGCGTCGCGCCAGCTTCGCGCTTGCCCTTGACATCCTTGGTATAATCGGTAGCCTCCATCTTCTGGTTCTCAATGGGCGCATAGTCGTAGGTGAGCATGTTCACGAGGGTGTCGACGTCCTTGAACTTGGGGGTGAAGCCAGCGCGCACCACGTTGTCGCTGCTGGCCATGCACTCGATGATATCGCCGCTGATGTAGGCGTGGATGTCGTCTGCCCGCAGATAGATGGCTTCGCCGGCCTTCATCTCGACAAAGTTGAGGAAGAAGAGAACGAAGAGGCCGTAGTCAGCGCCGAACTGTCCGTATAGACGACCGACGAGCTCAGAGAGCTTGGCACCACCCGGCGTGGGCGCAGCGGTACCGGCGAAATCAGCGCCAGAGCTCTTGGCTGACTCGACGAGCTTCTCGGCGGCAGCAGTCATGTCCTCCTCGGACGTAGACATGAGCGCCTCAAAAGCGCTTTGTAGCACCTTCTTGTTCTCAGCCGTAACCTGCTCCGATTCGTTTCCATCGTTCTTGTTGACGGTCTCGACAAACTGCTTGGCCTTCTCCTCGCCTACCAGCTGTCGCAAAGCAGGCACATTGTCGAGAAAGTGGGCAATCTCCTTCAACGGACGGAATCCGCAGAGACCCTCGAAGTCGCTGATGGCAATGGCCATCTCGGGCTTGTGGTTATCATCGGGGTAGTTCTTGGGGTCGCGGGCGTGCAGCTTCTCGGCGAGTTTCTTGTTGGGATGGGCCTGGATGGACAGGGCTTTTTGGATGGAGAGGACCTTGAAGAGGAAGGGAAGCTTGTTCTCGTAGCGCTCGGCGATGGCGGAGGAGAGGAGAGCTTGGTTATCTTGGACGAGGTCGAGGAGGGTGCGGCCAGTGTGTTTGTCCTTGGACGGGTTGGACGGGTGTGTGCCCATCCATAGCTGTGGTGATGTGGTCAGATTGGGACCGTGAGTTGAAAGAAGATGTATTTCTTACCTCCGCATATGGCTTCTCGTCCTCAATCTTGAATTCGCCTTGATCAAGAGAGGCAGCAGCAAACTGGGCGGCGCGCGACGAGTTGCCCTTCTTTCCCCATTCGTACGAGTTGACCCCGCACTGGAGCTGGATGAGAGGAACTGGGAGCATGGCTGCGGATGAATGCGGATGAATGTCAGGACCGAGTCAGGTACGGATGGGGCCGATAGTCAAGAGGTTATGTCGACGGCGGTTGGATGGTGATATATATCATCCGATGACTGCTTTTAACGACGATAAAAGACGAGATGGTGATCAGGGGAAAATAAACAGCTTCAGTTGGGACGGAACCCCTCATTCCGTACAGTACGTCACTCCAAGAGGACGGGACGAACAGCTGAAACACCTGTGGAGGCCCAAGCTGAAGTCTAATTTAAGGTGTCACTAACAAGTTCAGGGCAAGAGCTAGTGGCACAGTGTTTGTTAGGGGACCCGCCAGTCCGTGGGTACGGCTAGGACCATGCACTAATAAGAGCAATGTCTCGTCGGCTGGGCCCCATCCGAGAGAGCAGGGAAAGTAAGGTATGAAAACATTTCCAACCATCGACGAAACAAGGTGTAAACCTCAAATGACTGTGTATTCCCAAATGACTACAAAGCAATCTCACAAAAGACGACACACAGCCCAGACAAATGGTATCAGTCTATTCCTTTTCTCGACCCCCTTTTTCCCCAATGGCCGGCCCTTTTTCCCTTTCCAACCAACATGATCAAAGATGGTGACCTATATGCACCACTGCAGTTGTATCGAAGGGTTTTGCTATCAGATGTAGTATGTATCTTGTACAAAATCGTACAAAGAAAGAAAGGAAAATGCAAAAATGACAAAACACAAACAAGCCCGTAACTCCGACCCAAGAGAGAAACACATGAAATTATATGCCCAACATCCACCACATCCACATCCCATCCATTGGCATCACCTATTCCAGACTTCCACAGGGCTTCGGAGCATCGACCTCAGATTCCCCAGATCCCAGACACTACCGAAACCCCGGACTTCCTCTCGGCGGGGGCGTTCTGCTCGGCGTCCACGGCTTTTTCAACGGGCTACTACTCTGACTTTGGCTGCTTCCCCATCCCCTTTGTTGCCCTCTTTGCTTAACCGGCGAAGACCCCGAGCACGTCAACCCAGACCACACCTAATCATCCGGCGTGACATCTCCCTCCTTGCCCGTCACCTTTGCAAACACGGTTCTCTGTCCCGCATCCTCTTCTTCGTCCTCTTTGCCAAACTTGGTCATGCTAAACTCGGGCACTCTCCTGCTCATCGGGCGGAGAAGACCACCGGAGTTCTGCCTAGAGCGACGCTTGCGCTCTAGCTCACGCTCCTCTTTTTGCAGGGCACGTTCCTCGTCATCATTCAGGAAAGTTCCCTCGAGAGAAAGGTAGCCATAATCGCCAGCGAGACCGACGTCAAAGTTCTTGATTCTGAAACGGACCTTGCCGGACACTTTCTTGTTGGAGGCGTCGACCCAGTAACCTGTGGTGTGCACTTGTTCGACAACTTGGAGTTCTTCGCCGTCTAGCTGGTCGTCTTCTTCTTCCTCTTGTTCTTCTTCTTGCTCCTCTTCATGTTGGTTGTAAGACTTGTCTCCCTTGAGATCCACCCACTTCCACCCCTTGGGCAACCTCTTGGCCTCGATACTGGCGTTGAACCTCCCCCAGCATTGAACACCAATGTGACCCTCGGACTGCAGCTGGACGACACCCTCCATCCACTTGCCGCGGGCGGGCTTGAACATGTGCGCGTCAAAGGTCAGGTAGGCGAAACCGACGGCGTATTCATCGACAGACCGGAGAAGGGCGGGGGTCTCGTCGGTGGGCGGGTTGATGACCGAGGCTTGGACGGGGCGCTCAGAAAGGTTCAGGTTGGTGTAGCTGAGGAGGACGCCGCGGAGGATGGGGGAGTAGTGGTTGAGAAGGGGTTCGAGATGTTGGGCGGCGATGTTGGTTAGGGGCTTGTCAAAGCCGCAGGGGTAGAAGGGCACGTAGAGGGAGTGCACCTGGGTGTAGAAAGGAAAATCGGCGTCGTCGGTAGGGATGGTGTCGACGTCCATCGCATCGGTCGTCGCAGTCTCGGGCTCGGGGGTGGCGGATGCTTGTCGCTGCTTCTTCTTGTCCTTTTTTGTCCTTCTTCTCCTTCTTGTCCTTGCTCTTCTTGGACTTTTTCTTCTGCTCCTCGGCCTCGGATTCTGACGCGACAGCCGCCTCCTCCTCTTGCTCCTCCTCAGACTCTGGCTCTGGCTCAGGCTCTACCTTGCTCTTCTTGGACTTTTTCTTCTCCTTCTTGGCAGGGGCCTCGGCTTCCTCGACATCCTCGTCATCTTCCTTCTTGCTCTTTTTCGACTTTTTGGACTTCTTCTCGTCAGATTCTAGCGACTCGGACTTTGACTTTTTGTGCTTCTTTTCCTCGACGGCGGGGACCTCTTCGGCCTCATCTCTGGAGCGCTTCTTGTCCTTCCTGTGCTTCTTGTCCGACTTGGAAGTGGGTGGTGGCGAGTCGACTACTGCTTGCGACATGATGGGCGACTGTCTATCTGTCTGTCTGTGTTGGCGGCCGCGGACGGATGACTGGCAATTGGCGGCGGCGGCGCGTAGAATCAATCGGCTTGGTGGTTTTGCGAAATGGGGCCTTCAAGTCGACCTCAGAATTCGCGATTATCGATGCGGAAGCAAAAAAATTGTTGATGCTTTGCCTGCCGCGGGTCCGCTTTGCAAAAAGATTGTCCAATCGTGTGAGGTGAATTGAGCTGAGTGGGTCCAATTTGTGCATAGGAGGACCCGTTGCCTGCCCCAGTGCAAGGGTCTTGAAGATGCCTGTCATTGAATGCCCCGCTGCACTCCCGCGCCTGTAATTCAGAGCTCCAGGAACCTTGACAGAACAATATGGCCAATATCTTTCAGGACTTCTCCAGTGAATGATATTTCATGGTGTTGCTTTCCCCATGGTAATTTTGAGAGGCATGTAACAAGGACGAGACGGATATGTCGTTCAAGACTGGAGTCGTGCAGGTACCTCCCCGGCCAGCTTCGGTTCAGTTACCTCAAGCTCCTACTATAGCTCCTTGCTCCAAGTTTACCTATGTGGCCCGCCAGTAAAGAGCAAATATCTGTGTGACAGTGAAGTAGACGAAATTCGTGGAATCGGACCGTGATGCCGTGTCCATATCCCGGGGCGGTCTTGGGACTCGGGAGATCTCCGCTGGTGTCACTGTTCCTGGTGCGGGGCAATGTGGGACACTCACTCAGTCACTCACCAATGTCACTTCCCCTTCCTCGTCCATTAATCTTTCAACCACTTGTGATGACGTGCTTTGACATCTTGAGCTTAGAAATCCATTTGTAAAAATATGGGATCACTGGAAACTGTTCATATCTTCTCAACTCTAGTCCTGTTCCGCTTCAACAACCTCAACTCCGTCAGACTTTCTCTGACCTCCAATTAACACACCACCAGAACCACCAGAATCACTCACCACCACACCCAAACCTCATATCTCCAGGTCACCACTCACACACCATCCCAAAATGTCCGACTTCAAACCCTCCAAAGTCCTCATAATAGGCGGCACCGGCACCATCGGCTCCTACATAACCTCCTCCCTCCTGTCCACCTCCTCCCCAAAACCCTACAGCACATTCACCCTCCTCACCCGTCCCGGCTGGGACTCCTCCTCCTCCTCTTCCGACCCCTCCTCCAAAAAAGCCAAACTCATCACACACTGGCAATCCCAGGGCCTTCGAGTCCTAACAGGCGACGTAGCCTCCCTCTCCCCCTCGGCATTCACCCATCTTTTCGATGAGAACAACTTCGACACCATCATCTCCTGCCTCGGGCGCGCCACGCTGCAGTACCAGCCGAAAATAATCGACGCCGCGGAGCAGAGCACCAGTGTGCAGTGGTTTTTGCCGAGCGAGTTCGGCACGGATGTGGAACATAATGCGGACAGTGCGCGGGAGCCGACGCATGTGGGGAAACTGGCGCTGAGGAAACATATCAGGGAACATGTGAGCAGGTTGAAGGTCACGTATGTGGTTACGGGGCCGTACTTTGATATGTGGCTTTATCCTACGCCTGGGTGTGAGCAGGCGGGGGGGTTTAATATTGAGGGAAAGAAGGCGTATGTCGTTCAGAATGAAAAGGGTGAAGTTGGAAGAGTTGGGTTTTGTACCATGTGGGAGTAAGTTTTTTTTTGTCTCTTTTCTTTCCTCTACCTAGGTACTGTTCATACTAACACCCATGTGCACCACAGCGTCGGCAAATTCGTCACCGCCACTCTCCGCCATCCCGCCCAATCCTTTGGCAAAGCCCTCAAGGTACAATCCTTCGTCGTTAACCCCCAGGACGTCCTGAAGGAGTTCGAAAAGCAGACCGGCTCCAAGTTCGACGTCACCTACACCACTGTCGACGAGATTAAGAATCTCGAGAATGTTCTCTGGGACAAGAACAGCGACAAGCCGCAGCCTAAGCCCCAGGCCACTCCCGTCACGCTGCGCAGGATCTGGGCCACGGGCGGCACGCTGTATGACAAGGATGACAATGACGTGTTGGAGGTGAAGAAGGAGGACTTGGATACTTTGGAGGATGGCGTGAGGAGGTATTTGGCTGGTGGGTATAAGGCCGAGACGTTTGGGGTGGAGGCTTGAGAACTGAGGAGGGTGGTTTGAGATGGGAGGTATCGATGTGGAAGAAAAAGGGAACATAGTGGTGTTGGAAGTGAATATTATGAATCGAAAGAGATTACAATCTACCTACCTAGCGTTGGTTTGTTTGCTAACGTAGCTTGGTACTCCTGGTATAATGGTCTGAACATACCGCGACTTGTCCCATACATACATCACGAGACAACTAAATGAACGGCAAAGGTACCTGTAGGTAGGTAGTAGATATTGAACGGAAAGTCTTTTTGACAAGTTTTGGTATTTGATATAGTGGACTTGGGAAAGCGAACATGCAAGGTACGGGTAGAGGTACCCTTTGGTTATGTAGGTATCTACCTATCAGACACACAAACGCCTGGGAAAGTTGACTTGAGGATTCAGGCTAACAAACAAATAAACAAACAAACGAATAGTAGGTATAGAAGGGGGTATGTTCTCTCAAAGTCTCAAATACTCTTCAGGTCTAGAAACGCTCACGTTGACCCAGTGGCCGAAACCTAGTATATTTTTCCGCCCACCCGCTTGCACCAATGTAATCGTCATCTCTATCTTTCCAGACTGACGTCCGAGTCCGCTTTCGTACTACATGAGACACGAGGTCTGCTGAGGTGGTTAACGTCTTGAAGCTCCACATGAATTCCTGCGCAAAAACATTGAATGGATGATCGTTGACCAGCTTATGAAGACCGTCGTTACCGATGGGGATTTGTCTCTTCTTTATGTCCCGCAGGCTGTCTGTTAACCCTGGAACCATAAAGGACCCATCCTCCGTCGAATAGATTTTACGAAGATGAGACAGCACGCGATCTGCATCACCGCAGTTGGCTGGCATGCCAGGGGTATCCTCCACGACTGGGTCCTCCACGACTGAGTCCTCCACGGCTAGGTAGTGAGCGTTATTTGACCGATTGAACATTCTCCGACACCTGTCTATGGTCAATGTCCAAAATTGTTCGACAGGCATACCATCCAGATTGGATAGGGCATAACCGCCAAATGCCAGGATTTTAGGGTCAGCCCTCTTTGATCCTGCCGCCCGTCTCCAAACCCCATTCTTGTCCGTCACCATGTCCATCTCCTCACTAGTATTCTTCCATTGACTTGCCCGTCCAAGAGTCATCATCTCTGCGGCATATGCTGTATCGCATTCTAATATCAGAAAGCGGGTCACATCGCCATCCCAGTCAAAATCGTTGGGGATTCGGGGCCCTATAAATTCAAGAGCCATGGACCATTTGTCCCAATTGGGTCCATGTCTGTCGAGGCCGCCGAACATGTCATCTGACCAATATAATGTAAGAAGGATTCTCTCTTCACTGTGTGGATAGCACTGGAAAAAGTTCTCCACGAATTTCCGGGGTTGAGAGAGGATTTCGAGCTGTTTGAAAAGCTTCAGGAATTTAATCTCCAATGGAAACGTCAAGGCAGCAAGTAGAGCCAGTACTTCGGTTCGTTCTTGCGCCGCTATATTGCCAGTCAAGAGGCAGCTGTCCGCAATAGCGGAAGAAATATGACCTGGAAATTCGAGGAGAGGATATTCAACTAAAATAGTTCCGACTATCTTAGCTTTGCCTAGCCTTGTATTCTTGGGCGCCAGACCTCCGCAGTTCCTTGCTGAGGCCAAAACGAAGAGGTATATCCGATAACATGATGACCGAATAATTTCCACGTCAGGACTAAGATGGGGATATCGAATAAAAGGGGTAGAAATATTGTGGTACCCATTTGCGACCAAGTAACCGGCAAAATCCCACGGACACGGACCTAGGGGACCGTTCTGGTGCACTTCAGCCATACATCTGCACGCTTCGAAGAACATTACCTGGACGTCGTGTGGTAGTGCGCTGTCGTCCCAGATGCACTCGAGTCTCAGCATAAACGAAGGGATAACGTTCCAAAGCTCCTCGTCGATCAATCCAGGATATTCACATGGCTTCATGAACCTAAAGAAAGCTCTGGCGACATAAGCCTGTAGCAGCGATAACTGTAGGTCATTGTGGGTAGACCGATCATACGCCAAGATTTGGTGGCCCTCGGGAGTATCCGTCAGAACTCCAGAGCTGATCGGTGAATAAAGTTGATGGTACTTCGATGGCCGTGTTCCAGAAGTCCAGCACTGCGTATCTATACGCGCTTGCCAAGCTTTTCGCATGCTGCCTCCAGGTTTTAGGGAAAGCACGCCTCGTCGTTCTTGAGGTACGCTTGGGAGATGGACGGGTTGAGGGAGGCTAGAAGATGGAATGCATTAAAGGGATCCCCAGAGTCCATAAAATACCAATGCGTGATCAATCGGAAATACCGAGCTGCCTCTTTCTGGTAAAGGTATTGATACCCGTTAAGGCGTGACCACATGTCTTTGTAAAGTGCGTATAAGCCTTTTGGCATCTTCTCCACCCGGGCGTAGAGTTCTGATATATCATCTTCGTCCGTGAGACCCTTTGACAGACCTCAGACGGTAAGGGCGGTCCACAGAAAGACTCCATTAGACATATCACAGAGCCTGTCAACAAGACTTTGATATTCCTCTTGATTCTCGAGGCCAACAATATCATCTGAGAGCAGCCTAGCCGTGGTGTATGTCTTCATGTCGCCACGGGTAAGGTCTTGTAGCCTTAGGCTGCATAGGGCGCCCAGTCTATTCCTGAACACAGGCTCTGGACGGCTGGAGACGCATGTTTTGACGTTTGAAAGTGTTGAGAGCCTTGTTGCTACATCTAGCAGACTGCATGGGTCATCAGCCGCGTTGGAATTGAAGGATCCAAACTCGTCAAGGCCATCTAAGAAAATAAACACAGGTCTGGTTCCAACGGCGTTGAGCGAGGACACTATGGTTCTCTCTAACTCTTCAAGCGTCCAATCTCCGTTGGCGTCTTTAAACTTCAGGACGGGAAAAGTTATCGATGACATGATCGAGAGCGTGTTGGTCGTTGGACAGCAATCGATAGAGTAGGTTCAGAAGGATCCCGCGCAGACTCTTGGGAAGGGTTGAACCGGCAGCCCATAGGAAATGTGAAAGAACGAGCGGATCTTGGCTGTCACCTGAGGGTAGCCTTGGGGAATACCACAGGGTAGACTTCGTAGCGAGAAATTTCATCAGTGTGCTTTTCCCCGATCCAGGCTTCCCTTGGATCCAGTAAATTTTGTCCTTTGGGGATTCTAGCCAACAAGGAAAGCAACTCCACGAGACTTCCTTCTTGTCGGTTGTGCGATGTGGACATGCAGGTGGCAGGTCTTCTCCGTCCGGTTCACCCTGGTTACTGTCCGGCGCTGACGGAACAGTCTGTATCATCCATCTATATGTCCCCTCAGCAGCCGGTTTGATTTGGTCGAAACGTTCACCCATACTGTCGTACTTGAGACTCTTGAAAAGCCGTTGTCGCTTTTCCCACACGAGGGCTTCCAGAGATGCTTCCTTGATCATTCCTTGAGTTCTGTTGACTTCAGAGGCAACAGCCGTGATCGCCGCATTCTGTGCGTTCGATTCGGCCTTGACGACGTCCACAATAACATCTTGATGCGACTTCATGAGGTCTTGGTTATCCACCTGCCCCTGAGAAAGAGTCTCGACGAAACACCGAAAAGTGCTGTCGAGCTGTTAAAAACCCGCTTGCATTCTTAGCTCAAGCGCGTCGTTTTTGTAGCTATATGTCGATGTAGTCAGCCAGCCGCGCAAACATATGCTTTGTGTACCTGAGATTCAGAACCTTACCAAACATGCAGAAGAAGGCTAGAGTTGAGGATCCTTTGGTAATCGCGCATTCTCTTTTCCAATTTGTCGATATCCCCTTCTTTGAACTTTGCCCGCAAAGTCAAGCGCACAGACGCGAGGAATTTACCTTTGGCAGAGAGACGGTTGAGCTTGTCAACCTCGGCCTTTAGACGAGAGATGGCGCTGAGACATTCAGTGGCGATGTTGAGCAACTCCTTCTCATCTCGAGTGGTTGTCCTGGCGGATGATATCGATTCTGCAACACTGGCGGTAACTCGGGTAGATTAGGCCAGCAGCGTTGCCGTCTTGGGGTCTGGGGAGCCCGTTTTGAAGATGGTCTGGCACTTGGATACCATATCTATGGCAAAGCCAATGGCTTGCATGACATTGCACGCGAGCCCGAAGGCTTCAAGACCGGACATCTTGTCGGTGGCGGCGTATTCTTGGAGATACTAGACACCCGAACTTGTGAGTGGTTGTTCAAGTGTGCGAGGACATGGTGAACAGATTCCGTATCTCTGTTCAATTTAACTACCGAACCCGTTTGCGAGTGGACATTCCTTTCTCTATTTGCTATAAGAGATGGCCTTGCATCTCGGGTGAATAGAACCTCCTCAGTGGCTCGCTGTTGGAAAGACTGAATTGAAGACCCGAGAGGGGAGGCAAGGGGTTCACAGTGTGGTCTCGATGTCGTAGTCACCAAGAGGGCGTTGGTTGAAGCGCATATGTACTGTCGTGATGGCGGTCATGACAAAAGAGGCAGCATCGGGACGCTGCGGTGGTGATGATGTTGACGAGGTGGGTTTGGAGAAACACACTGGGACGACCAGCTTTTCACGTCGGAAGAGAAAGGCTGAGAGGACAATTACCGATGGTAGGGGCTTGATCTCGCCACGAACAATCTGTCGTTGTCTCCAACACTGAAATCTGGGGCGGGTGCTCCCGTCCGCTTGCGCTTTCCCAAATCGCCATTGATGTACGTGTATTGCTGTTGGCGGGTATTATGTTAGAGTACACCCCCGTTTTGTATGTGTGCCCTAACAGACGGTCCAAAAATAGTACCACGCCCCTACAAACAATATTCTCAAAATCCTCACCATCTCGAGATGATCCAGCTACGTATCTCTAGGTACTGTCAGTTTCAGATAGTGGTAGCTTATCCAGCATAAGAAGATTGGATTAATACTTCCTTCGCCGCTCACAACTCCCAGCTTGTCTTCAAATCCCTCTTTCTGGTGATGTTCCAAAGCAGGTACCATTGGCACAGGACTATACGGTTAAGACAGGACCCGAAAACAGTTCCTGGAAAGCGTCCAGGATCCCTGACCCGTTCCCCGCTGACTTGGCAAGCGCAACCCACAGCGGGCAGCAACTCCCCTGTTATTTCCCATTCCAGCGACCTTCCGTTATCGTCGTCCACTACCCGCATCGTGAACCTCTAACATGACGGCAACACAATCTCCTCCATTGCACCAACCTACCTCTACCTACTAGACCTATCATCACTCAAAATACCATGTCAATTCTCTAGTTGAGATACCTCCTCAGATTTGGAACCCTTCCATTCAAAATTGGCCTCAAAGTCCTTACCGCGTTCCTCTTCGTGCGGGCGCTCCTCAAAGCCATGGCCGCCAACCTTCGCGACCTGACATTGTACCTGGTGGTGCTGATAATCGTCAGCACTCTCGGTCCTCTTCAGTTTGGTTTCCATCTGGTACCTCATGCCATCCCTTTCCATCCTCAGGTACCTCTACTAACAACTTTTTCAGGCAGAATTAAACGCCCCTGAAGATGTCATCACCTGTCGCAAAACCTCCATCTCCTCGACCATCGCCAACCTTCTCTCCTACGTCAAGGATCCCCCAACGATGTCGACTGCATCCCCATGACCCGCCCCCAATTTGCGACCGTCTCGGCCATCTTCACCATCGGCGGTCTCTTCGGCGCCTTGGTCGCCGGGCCTTTCACCTCAGCAAGAGGTCGCTGGCTCTCCATGCAATTGACAGCCGCGTTCTACATCGTCGGTTCCCTAGTCGAGACTCTCTCCCACTCGGTCCCCGTGCTCTCGACCGGCCGTTTCCTCACTGGTGTCGGTGCCGGAGCCAGCACCGTCATCGTCCCCCTCTACATCAGCGAGATCGCCCCCCCCGCGCAGAGAGGATTGTTCGGTGCTTTTACCCAGATCAGCATCAACCTCGGTATCTTGATCTCGCAAACACTTGGATATTTCTTGAGTCACGATTCGGCGTGGAGATGGATTCTGGGATCTGGAGTGGTGGTGGCGGCCGCCCAAGGGTTCGGTCTGCTGTTGGCGCCAGAGAGCCCCAAGTGGACGGCGAGCGCTAAGGGCAATGTCACACAGGCGAGGAGGACACTCCAGCGCATTCGAGGCAAGAACGCTAATATCGACGAGGAAGTCGAGTCCTGGGGCCATGGAAGTGGGAGACCTACTAGCGAGGAGGAATCCCTTCTCCAGAGCGTTGAGGACCGCATGGAGGGCCTGTTGCGGAGAGACACCTCTCGCTCTAACTCTCCATCACCTTCCACTTCCCGTCCTCACGCCCACAAGGCCAGCAAACCCCATCTTGGTTTTGTCCAGGTTCTGAAGGATTCCAATACCCGTCCCGCCATCATCGCCGTGGTGGGAATCATGTTCGCCCAACAGCTCTGTGGCATCAACTCCATCATCATGTACTCGGTCTCTCTCTTCCGGGACCTGCTCCCGCCTTCCTTTTCCTCGGGCCTCCTCACCATCTGCATCTCCATCATCAACCTAGGCACTACTACTGCCTGCTCGCCTCTGCCCGACAAGTTCGGCCGCAAGGCTTGTCTCCTGGCTTCTGCCATTGGCCAGGGCCTGTCGTCGCTTGTCCTTGCTCTCTCCATTATGTTCGGCGTCAAGATCTTGTCCGCCATCGCGGCTCTTTTCTTCGTGGCCTTTTTCGCCGTCGGTCTAGGTCCGGTGCCGTTTATTTTGGCCAGCGAGCTGGTAGGAGAAGAGGCGGTCGGTGCTACGCAGAGCTGGGCGTTGGGGGCGAGTTATATTGCTACTTTTTTGGTGGCATTTGGGTTCCCAGTGGTGAATGAGGCGTTGAACAGGGCTTTTGGAAGTGCTGGGTGGGTTTACTTTATTTTTGCTGGAATGGCGGCGATTTGGGCCTTGTTTATCGTGCAGGTTGTGCCAGAGACCAAGGGGAAGAAGAGCGTGGATGAGGTATGGGGACGTACTAGGCGTGTGGACTGAGTGGTGAGTTGACGATGAGCTGGGTGTTTTCTGCGTTTGCGTGGTGTTTTGACGGCATGGTTTTGTTTATTGATGAGAGTATACATAGGTTCCGTGATACAAATGGAGTGTTAACCCTTTTCCAGCCCTTTTGTGCGAATTCTGGCTATTCAATTGTTCAAGCTTTGCGTCTTGATAAGTGGGATTGCCCCTACTGGGTAAACATCCTCCTGTTCTTCACCATCTCCGCCAACAGCCCAACTCCAGCTCTGACGCCATCCACAACCATGACCTTCTTCCCCCTTTCCTCACCATACTCCTCAATCGCCGTCCGCCGAATAATCTGCTCCAGTCCAGCCATGCCCGCACAACCCATCACCACACACTCCACGTCCCCAGCCTGCAGCAACTTCTTGGTGGCCTCCACCAACCTATCGTCAATCTCCTCCTGCGGAATATCTCCATGGAAGTCACCGGCGTTCAACCCCGTCGTCTGCACACCCGCAAACTTCCAATTCTTGGGATATCCTTCTTCCCCGTCGGCGGCATACCCCAGAAATTCGTGAACGCCAGTGATGAGGTGATCCTCCCAGAATTTGCCGGTGGTAACAATGCCCCATTTCTTCGTGGGGCCCGTCAACAAAGACAGGGAGGTCAGGGTCGCGGCTTCAAAGATGCCTGTTACCGAGAGAGGGATGGAAGGGAAGTCGGAGATAAGGCGTTTGACGAGGGGGGTGGTCGGAGAAACAGCAGACCAAAACGGCGTCGTTGGATTGGAGAAGTTGAGAGTTTTGACCGTTGGGGCTGAGGTCTTTGAGGACTTCCTGGGCGGATTTTTGCACGTCGTCGCCGTCGTTGATGCTCGCTGGACCTGTGGGGGCTGTGTAGTAATCTATTTTGATGGTCTGGGGTTTTTGTTAGTGAGAACTTGGGATGTTGAAGATAGGATACAAAAGAACAAAAGAAGAACGGAAGAAGGAAAGAGGGAAACAAACGTCTGGCAGGTTCAAGCTGGAAATAGCCTTTTTCATGCCCTCGGTCATGGACTGGGAGGAGTTGGGGTTGAGGATCAGGATCCTGATCTTTTTTTGGTCTTGTTGAAAAGAGGTAGAACTCATGTTGACGACTGGTACGGCCGGGACGACTGAGGGTGAGTAAGTGAGGTGAATCGATAAGTTGTCAGAGGTGGAGATGGTGAGGTCTGAGTTTGGGGTGGGAGGTGGCATGAGGATTAGAGATAGGAAGTTTGAGGAAGTCTTCCAAAGGCAAAGAAACAAAGTAAGTTCAATATCAAAACAGTCAACCAAACGAACGACCCCCTCTTCTCATCTGATCTCTCGTGATGTCAAGGAAGGGCCATGTACAAGTGCGAGTCCAATGCGGGGTATCACGTGGGTACCCTAATGCCTGCCACTTCCAGTCTTCCAGAGTCCATGCCAAGACCCACGCGCCTGTCATCGACGCCCCGGCCTGTTTGGAAGGAAGCTTGGCAGTTAGCGAATGACCCCACACACCACCCCAGCTAGGCTACCATGCTGGACTCCAGCTAATTACGCTGCCGTAGTCCAAGAATCCACTCCGCTACCGTAACCCGGACAGGGCACCGACACCACCGACCGCCGCGACCGACCGATTGACAGCCAGCCAGCCCAGTGTGCGACGGGACCACAACGAACCGACACTTGTTGATTGCCCGACTCCCGGGAGCTTGTTCCCATTTCTAGCTCCGATATACCTACTCGATATTCGAACCGACGAAGCTATTCCCATTGTCCTGAGAAAAACAACAACAGCTTGCCCAGCATGGCCAACACCGACGCTCCCATTGGTACGTCAGCTCTGTCTCTCTCTCTCCGCCAGCAAACCCCCTTATCCATTCCATCTATGTCTCGATGTCAACAAGCTACATGCATACCTTGACGACCACCACCCACCTATCGGCCATATCTACCTGACCTCGTCGTCACTGTCGTCATCGTAGCTTGTCGTCAATCGGATTTCCAGCTTCACAACAACACAATGAGCACGACACCCAGCTAACAACGTCTTGCCCGCGCCCATAGTCCTCGATGGCGGCACCGGCTTCCTCAAAGTCGGCTACGCCGCCCAGAACTTTCCCGAATTCCAATACCCCTCCATAGTCGGCCGCCCGATCCTCCGCGCCGAAGAAGCCAAGTCGCTCTCGGACTCACCCGACGTGGTGATCAAAGACATCATGTGCGGCGACGAGGCCGCGGCCGCCCGCACCATGCTCCAGATCAGCTACCCGATGGAGAACGGCATTGTCAAGAAGTGGGACGACATGCAGCACCTATGGGACTACACATTCTTTGAGAAGATGAAGGTCGACCCGAGGGGACGCAAGATCCTGTTGACGGAGCCGCCCCTCAACCCCCTCAAGAACAGGGAGCAGATGACCGAGGTCATGTTTGAGCGCTATGGGTTCGGTGGCGTCTATGTCGCTATTCAAGCCGTGTTGGCGTTGTATGCTCAGGGTATGTCATGTCATGTCACCGCTTTTTCTACACGGGTTGGAAAACACAGGATGGAGAGGGACAACTAGCTAACGAGACAACGACAACGCGCAGGTCTCTCCTCGGGTGTGGTAGTCGACTCCGGCGACGGTGTCACGCACATCGTGCCCGTCTACGAATCCACCGTCCTCAACCACCTTACCCGCCGCCTCGACGTTGCCGGCCGCGACGTCACCCGCAACCTGATCGCCCTTCTCCTCCGCCGCGGCTATGCCCTCAACAGAACCGCCGACTTCGAGACGGTCCGCCAGATCAAGGAAAAGCTCTGCTACGTCTCGTACGACCTTGAGCTCGACAAGCGCCTGTCCGAAGACACCACCGTCCTCGTCGAGAGCTATACCCTCCCCGACGGCCGCGTCATCCGTGTCGGCTCCGAGCGCTTCGAGGCCCCCGAGTGCTTGTTCCAGCCGCACCTGGTGGACTGCGACCAGCCCGGCATCGCCGAGTTTCTGTTTAATACCATCCAAGCCGCCGACGTCGACGTGCGCTCCTCGCTATTCAAAGCCATTGTCCTGTCGGGTGGCAGCAGCATGTACCCCGGTCTTCCAAGCAGATTGGAGAAGGAGCTGAAGCAGCTGTGGTTGACGCGCGTGTTGGGAGGTAACCCCGAGAGGCTGAGCAAGTTCAAGGTCAGGATCGAGGACCCGCCCAGAAGAAGGCATATGGTCTTTTTGGGCGGTGCGGTGCTGGCGAATATCATGGCGGACAAGGAGAGTATGTGGATTACGAAGCAGGAGTGGGAGGAACAGGGCGCGAGGGTGTTGGAGAAGTTGGGTCCCAGGTAAGCGGACTGATTCTTGGGGAAGCTGTTTAGACTATAATAGCAGGCGTGATATAATGTTTTCCGTTGGTCGTTGGTAGGTAAATAAAGGATAATGCGAGATTTTGTTAGAGATTTTGGGGTGTGTGTGATGTTTGTTGTGACGGGAGAGGCCGGACAATGGCTTTGTACCAAAAGTGAAGAGCTATGTACTCTGGGCCTTCATAAAAAGGTCCCTTAACAACGACGTCAACGTAGGTACGGCCAGCGGAACGGGACGGTCCCGGACAAGCACCGGGAGCACGGGAAGCTGACCGGCCACCCCACTTCTGAACACCGATACAGGACGCTAGGGCCAACAACTATTCGGTGGCGAATTAGAAGCGTACACTAACAAGAACAAACAGTATTGATATCTGATAACGCAGCATGTCACTCCAAATGTACTGCTATCGATGTTGTTGCTTCCTTCGTGTATCACTTTGTTTGTTGGCTCGGCGACTACATGTCCCAATCAACTTTCTCATCAAAAACACCAAAGTTTTCCAATCTTCTCCTTCACCGGTCATCCATATGTCGAATTATTTCAACTCTTACACCCGGCCTCCACAACTCAGTGACCGTTGACGCTAACACACCGTCTCCGCTCATCCATTCCTGAGAGTCTCACAGTGTTCCCCCCTTCGGGCCCGTGCAGATCGGGTACGGTTCATACGACATGCCTCCGAAGCCGAAATGTGAGTTGATGAACTGTGTCTTTTGATCAAAACTCTTCTGGTCCTCCGATTATCACCCATCTAAAACATCATATTATACCCCGTTGTATAATCCTTTTCTTCCGCGTCACAAGAGCATCCTCAAAATACAAACCAGACGCGGGCGGTGACAGCCCAACATCTCACCTCCAAATCACACCACCTACACTCACTTCGCATACATAACACATATTCACCCGCATCATGTACGGCACAAATAGAGCAAGAAACACCAAAGCGGGAACAATTTACGGAGGGTGTCAGTATCACAGTTTTTTCACTTCTAGTCCAGTCAAACACTAACCGCCCTCAGACTCAGACCAGCGCAACAACGCCGGTCCTCTCAACTACCAAACCAAAGTCCGCATCACCGACCGCTACAAAGTAATCGGCTTCATCTCATCCGGCACCTATGGCCGCGTTTACAAAGCTACCGGCCGACAAGGCCAAACGGGGGAATTCGCCATCAAGAAATTCAAGCCCGACAAGGAAGGCGAAGCAGTGGTTAACTACACGGGCATTTCCCAGTCGGCTGTGCGCGAGATGGCGCTATGCTCCGAACTACGAAACCACGCCAACGTTATCCGGCTCATCGAGATCATCCTAGAGGACAAGTGCATCTTCATGGTCTTCGAGTACGCAGAACATGATTTGTTGCAGATTATCCACCATCACACGCAAACGCCACGACACCCGATAGCGCCGGGGACGATCAAGTCCATAATGTACCAGCTGCTGCAGGGGGGTGCAGTACCTACACACCAACTGGGTATTACATCGCGACTTGAAGCCGGCGAATATCATGGTTACTTCCTCGGGAGAAGTCAAGATTGGCGATCTGGGACTGGCACGCATCTTCAAGCAGCCGATCAGCAACCTCTACCAGGGCGATAAAGTCGTCGTGACCATCTGGTATCGCGCGCCCGAGCTGCTGCTGGGCAGCAAGCACTACACGACGGCGATCGACCTGTGGGCGGTGGGTTGTATCTTTGCGGAGCTGTTGAGTCTTCGGCCGATCTTTAAGGGGGAGGAGGCCAAGATGGACAGCAAGAAGACGGTTCCCTTTCAAAAACATCAGATGCAAAAGATTGTCGACGTGATGGGCCTGCCGACGCGCGAGCGCTGGCCTTTGCTAACCAGCATGCCCGAGTATAACCACCTTCCGACTTTACAACCTCCTTTACTATCGAGCACCACCCCTTCCCACGGCGGCGGCGGCGGCGGTCATCACCCCTACGGCCATCGCTCCCAACAGCAACAACAACCCCCTCCACCGTCGCAAAACACCCACGGTAACCTCCAGAAATGGTATCACCAAACAACCGCCTCCACTCCCCTGACGTCGCTAGGAGCAGAAGGCTACAAACTCCTCGCTGCTCTACTGGAATATGACCCCGAGAAACGCTTGACGGCAGCAGACGCCCTCGTCCACCCCTTCTTCACTTCACCCACTTCTACCCCGCTTGCCTCCCTCAACTCCAACACAGCCAATAGCACGTCCCAGGGGACAGGTGCCGCGGCAGTCAATTGGAGTCCGACGAATTGCTTCGAGGGCCTGAAGAATGAGTCCTACCCATGTAGGCGCGTGTCGCAGGATGATAACGATATCGGATTCGGCACGTCGAATGGGAACAACGGGACGGGGAATCAGAGTGGTTCACGGGTGAACACGGCGGCTGCGGGGACGGGGACGGGGTTGGTTATGGGACAATCGCAGTCGCAGGTTCAGGCTATGGGCGGGTCGTTGGGGAGTATTGGTGGGGGGATGGGAGGAGGTGGAATGGGAGGGATGGGGCAGCAGATGGCGGGGATGAAAAGGATGCAAGATGCTGCTGCTGCGCAGCAGAATAATGGACCGAATAAGAGGATGAAAGGGCCGTAGTGGTAGGGGTAGAGGGTTGATGTTCGGTTACGGGGGAGAGTCCGAGGCAACCTCGAGAGCTTGGTGGGTGGGAGGGGCAGGAGGGTCAACAAGGTCAACGGGGCCGTCATGGACAGAAAGAGACACCAACAGCATGACAGCGGCGAGCTGAAGCCAGACAAAGGACCGGAATTGGACCCGTCTTGGTTATGAAGAGAACTGAATGGCGTTCGTGTCATGAGTGGCAAGCCGGGTGGTTGGGAGCCGTTGAAACTGCTTGATCACGAGCTCCGTGAATTCCGGAAGACAGAGGACCTGGGTTAGGGCCGGTACCCAAGGGATTGGTCTTTACAGAGGGAGATGGAGAGGGAAAGGGAAAGGGAGTGAAAGTGGAATAGGAAGAACAAGAGGAAAAGAAATAGGAACTCCAATACTTTCACTTCCTCGAACGCCTCACCGACCTCCTCAAAGAATATCAACACCTCCAACACGCCCACACCCACAACCTCGACCGCCTCCAACAAGACGAGTTAGAGCTACATCGAAATCGAAATCGACATCGACACGCTCTTGGGGGGCCACAACAACAACAACAACAGACCCTTGGCCTTGCGAATATGGAGGAAATCCGACTCCAGGTCAACAGACTCCATGTCCGCTACAACGAACAATCAGGATCAGGAGGTTCATTCCCACCACTCGCATCACCACCACATCACAACCACAACAACAACAACAACAGATGCACATGGTAATCCAACACGAAATGCCACAGACAGAACAGCATTTTCTATATCGACAATGGACCAACCAGCAGGAATTACTACATGTACAGCTTCGAAAAGGTCGAAAAGGTCGAGTAGGTCAAAGATCGAGAAGGTCGAAAAGGTCGAGAACGTCGAGAAGGTCGAAAAGGTATACGAGTAAACAAGCACGACGAGAGCAGGGCAACCAAACATGTACCATATGTACCCATACGCATCTCTCCCTCTACCTCTCCCTCTACATATACTGCCAGGGCCTCTACTGCCAGGGCCTCTAAAGTCAGGGCCACTTTCACTTTCACTTTCACTTTCTCAACCACAATAAGAGGCAAGAGACAAGAGACAAGAGGCGTCACTGCATTTCCACGCCCACACGCGCAAATACTGGAGCCGCTGAAGGCCGAAAGTCTTGGCTACCTCTATGGTAGGGGGTTGTGGTTTTATGGTGCCCTCCTGGTGCTGGAGTCGTTTAGTGAGCTTGTGGAGGTTATTGAGGAGTCGAGGGGCGGAATTGGACTTTGGAGGGGAGTAGGGAGTGAGTTGGGATTATGAGAGTAGCGGCAGCGGTGAGGATATGGACATCGACCTGGAGGGTTGAGGTATGGATAGGTACCTATGTGGGTAGTCATAAAGGTTGTTGGTTCTTGTGGTTGGGGTAGGGGGCACAAGTATTGGGAAGGTATTCCGTCTTTTATTCAAGCGTAGTGTAGGTATTTGTAGGACCAGGCGTTTTGTGGACAGAGATAGATAGACATCAATGGCCCGGGAGACCATGGAGTAGATGGGTGGATTGATGGATGGATCCATGGATGGGAATACGGCGAAGGAAGAAATTAAAGTAGAACCACCTCAGCGAGTATCATCACCTTGAACATGTATGGACATAGCGTAATAGATCTCTACACAGTAGACTTTCCAACTTCGAGCACCAAGACTCCTCCTGCTGCACCCCAAATACATGCGAACAGTTTCAACTTTCTCTCTTCATACAGCTACCAACTACCAACGACAACTACCAACAACTACCAACGAAGCTCGCTGTAAAACAAAAGGTACATAAGTCAAAAAAAAATGAAAGAAAAAAGAGTTACAGTACCCGGGTATCCTATGATGCCTCCCCCCCATGTCCACCATCCACTATCTCTACCATCCACAAGCGTTCGCCCCGTCCCCTTCTTTTTCTACCTTCTCTGCTCGCAACGAAACAAAAACGGATATGGATATCAAGAACGAACCAAACGGTACTACCTACTACTAGTGTAAATTACGGATTATTTTTCCTCCTTCTCTTTCTCTCCTCTTTCATGCCCATCCATGAGCTCCTCCTCTTCTTCCTCAAGCTCTTTCCCAGACAGCCAGCCAAGTTAAGTAAGTAGTCAAGTCTTCTGTTCATTTCGTACCTCCCGCCGCCGAGACTCGTGTCGTTAGAACAACAAATGGCATTCCCTTGGGATCGAGTCATGACCAACTTCCCCTCTTTCTCTCTCTTTCTCTTCCACTGTCTTTTCTCCGGTTTGAAGTGGGGGTGGCTGCCGCGATAGAGCTGGCTTCGGTCTGCTGGCTTCGGTTTTCTTGCCATGTTGTATCGGAGCGACGGGACGGAAGCTTGGATGTGATGGATGAAGCAGCCCTCCAGCCGGCCGATCAAGCCAGACGAACGACCAGCCAATCAGCCAACCAGTCAGACCCCCATCCCATTCGCCTTCTCCGAGCGGGCGACCCCCTCCTCCTTCTCCCTGTGTGAGTGTTTTTGATATCGAAATCGAAATCGATCGTACGAAGGCTCGATCACTGCTTCTGAGCAGCCTTCATGTTATCGGAAAGCCAGTTGAACCCCTCCTGCAGACCGGCCTTGTCTATCGCAATGGTGGGTTGTACGGCGTAGATGCGGTCCTTGAGCTTGTTGAGCTGGAGCTTCTCGGTGACTTCTGCGGGGGTCATGGCTGTTTTTGTTATCGGTGTGTTAGCACAGGTCTTGCGTATAAGTCAAAGGTTTTCCTCGGAAGTTGGGATCGAGCGCAGCGAGGAAAAGAAAAAAAAAGGCCGAGCGCAGCGGACACCTCGTCCCTCGTCTCTCGTCTTTCGTCGCAAAGAAAATAACACTAAAAGAAGGAGAAGGGGAAGGGAAGGGGGAAAACGTACCACCAGCAATATCCTGCTTATTAGCAAACACCAACAACAAACAATCCTTCATCTCGCGATCGTTGATAATCCGATGTAACTCGACCCTGGCCTCGTCGATGCGCGCATGATCCGCGCTATCCACCACGAAAATGAGACCCTGGGTGCCGGAATAGTAATGGCGCCACAAAGGACGGATCTTGTCCTGGCCGCCGACGTCCCAGATGTTGAACTTGATGTTGCGCAGCGTAACCGTCTCCACGTTGAATCCCACTGTCGGGATGGTGGTGACGTGGTCTTGCAGTTTGAGCTTGTACAGGATGGTGGTCTTGCCGGCGGCGTCGAGACCGAGCATTAGCACGCGGACTTCTTTGGTGCCAAAGAGCTTGGCCATGAAGCCGAGGGAGAGGACGTTGCCCATTTTGACGGTGGTTGTCTGGGGGTTGTCTGTGTATGTGTGTGTTGAGAGGAAGGTGGTCGTGAGGGTCGACCGGAGGTTGGTGGTTAGGTGTCTATAGATGGATGACACTAGATAGAGTACGATCGGTCGGGTTCGCGACGAAGGAGTGTGTGGTGTCGTGGAAGGACTACTACTGATGAGTCGGTTGTCGACTGGCGATGGATGTACAAGAAGCGGAATTAAGGAGTGGACTACAAGAGAGAAACATGTGTGTTAGTACGGGTGTTAGAGGTTGAGGCGTTGGTAGCGCACGTTAGACTTGTGAATGGACGAGATAGTTGAGGGAACATTGGGGAGACACCGGAATGGTTTCAAGATGGATAGCGACGGGGCCGGCCATGTGGTAGCGACATCAACACCACCAACCAGCTAGGTAGCCAGCCAGTCTGGGGAAAGAGATGACAGACGAACAACAAAACATACCTTGGGTATCGTGGTGATTACAACTGGAACTAGGCGCAAAGGGGTGCCGTGTAGTGTGTAGTGTAGAGTAGTCGCGCAGTCGATGGGCGTCTGTCTGTCTGGTGTCTGGCTGGGTAGAGGGAACTGGCAAATGGCAGTGTCGTCGGTGGCTCGCTTCACGTGTCTGATCTGATCTGATCTGGTCTGGGCGAGATGGGTATCGTCTTCGTCTTGGTCGTTGTCGTCGCAAATAGTGCGGGTAGTGTAGTGTAGTGTAGTGTAGCGGGCTGTGCTGTGTAATCGCTCGGCTCGGTAGTTTTTGGCTCGACACAGAGATTAATTATCCAGGAGCAAGCAAGGTGCAAGGTGCAAGGTGCCGTGGTGCCGTGGAGTGGTGGTGAAACCTTGATGATCAAGCTGTTGATCTGAGGAGTGCAGATTGGAGAGAACGGAGAATGGAGAACGGAGACAACACTGAATGGACTGGACGACAAAGTCACCAGGCGGCGGATTGGATTCAACGAAACAACGAACAGAATGAAAACAAGCGCAAAAGTTCACGGGCAGTCAGGAGCTCAGGAGATTTGACCTGACCTGAAAGGCTGGCTGTCAGCACTCAGCAGCAGCCCCGGAGAGAAAGTCCTCTGTCAGCTCACTGCACTGGGGTTTGCTAATCCCAGAAGGGGAAACAGTGGGCTCCTCTACCACTGGACCTGGACGCCGAGGATATTCCCCCATGGTTTGATGCCCCTGAAGAAAGAGCCAATCAGAGCCCAGGTCTGGGGAATTGCCATTTCCCTTCTGCAGCTGGTTCGTGCTTTTTCTCCAGCAAAGTTCCAGCAAGCTCCAGCAAGCCAGGCGTGGCGCGACAAGGGAGGGGCCCTGGTCTAGTGGGCCCCACTCGGAAATTCAGTTCAGGTGGAATTGTTGATGAAGCGAGCGATGGATGCTGGAGAATTGCCGTGACTTTCCAGGTTCCCGGCAATCACGAAAAAACCCGGCAACTTTGTCTCCGGCAATTGTATGTTTTCATCATCGTGGAAATCATCAGACTTTACAAACAACACGGGATGGGAAAACATGGGATATTTTTAGGGATATCCATGGGGATACAATTCACTTGTTCTTGCACCGAGCAAACCAATTGATGATATGCCTCCGGCGGCCTCTCCCGAGGAGGGAGTCTTCGCTTCGCTCCATCATGAGATTTGCAGGACCGGAAGAACAGCACTCATCACTGGCAAAAGGATTAGCCAAAGTTGGAAGACATGGTCGTGAATACGAAAATAACCAGATATCCGTATATTATTCTATGGCAGAAACAACCATCCGCTACGTAGTCTAGGTAAAGTGTTGTCCCTGGCCGTCATCATTGAGCTCGATGCGATCGCTCAAGGAGGAGGAACCTGAGGACTCGGGTGACGTTGAAGGTACTTCCATGAGATCGTTGTTCCTCCTCGAAGTCGGCGACAATCCATCAGAGTCCGAAACTTCAGAATATAAAGGTAGTGCTTCAGTGGACTCCCTGTAGTCGTCATCCATGGGACTGTCCTCACTTTCGTCGTCCTCGCTTGCCTCCTCAGCATTCCCATCTTGCTCATTTCCATCTGGCTCAATTCACATCTGCCGCATTCCCGTCATCCTCACTCTCATCGTCCTTACTCCCATCTCCTTCAACCCCCTCCTCATCATCGCCGTCATAGTCGCCAAGTTCAACATCACTTAAAGATGACGATGAAGATTACAACGTAACCCCGCCCATGTTTTCCTTCCTCCGAGCCAACGACACATCAGAAGAATTATCCCCATCGTCATCCCTGGGTTCGACAACGCTTTCAGACAAAGAAAGTTCAGATAGAGAAGATTCAGACGTTGAAGGTACCACATGAGGAACCCGCTTCTTGTTTCTGTTGTTCCAAACCAGCGGCATATCAGAATCCGGGTCGTCCTCTTCAGGTGCGTGCTCGGCATCATCGCCGAGTCCAAGATCGGCCAAATCAGAAAGTTCAGAAGTTGAAGATTTTTCACTGAACTCCTTCTGGTCCTCATCACCCCCATCCTCATTATCATCGTCATAATCGCCAAGTTCAATATCACTTTTAGGTGAAGAAAGTTCAGATGAAGAAGATGCAGACATTGAAAGTACCACATCAGAAACCCGCTTCTTGTTTCTGTTGTTCCAAAACAGCGGCATATCAGAATCCCAGTCGTCCTCTTCCATATGATCAGGTGCGTGCTCGTCATCATTGCTGAGTCCAATATGGCCCAGATCTGAAAGTTCTGACGTTAAAGATCCTTCACTGGACTCCTTCCGGCCCTCACCACTCTCCTCCTCATTACTCCCATCCTTTTCACCCCCATTCCCCAGACTGCCATTCCTCTCTTCATCCTCCTCATCATCCCCACCACCAGCCTTCTAAGCCCTATACTCAACCACAAACCGTCTCTCAACCAACTGCAGCGTCCCCGTAGTCTCCTCCCCCTCAAACCTCAACTTGACCCTCTCCTTCCCCTCGCCCTCACCCTCCGCCTCCGTGCCCATCACCTCCGCCTTGTAAAACGTCGTACTATCCGGATACAAAGCCAAAACCACCTTGCCCTCCTCCAGCCTCGGCAGCTTCTTTTCTTCTTCTCCCGCAGCCGGCACGGGAATCATGCTAGAGGCCGAGGTGCGGTACTCGGCGCGCTGGGCCGGGTCCAAGTCCGGGTCGGCGTCCTGGACTCGGTACCGACGGGATTTACCTTCGCCGAGAACTTGTTGGACGCGACCCAACATCCATTCTGTCGATTCGTGGTCGCGAGAGGGCTTGGGCTTGAAGACCACGTCTTGGCCCTTGTGGAAGGTGACTTTGGATCGTTGCGTGGCGCCTGCTGTTGTTGTCGTTGGTACTGATGTGGTGCCGTTGGAGGTGCTGGTGCTGGTGTTGGGTTCCGGGGGAACGCTGTCTTTGGAGGGGGTGTCGCGAGGAGGGAGGCTGTCACGGGCGGTGGATGCGCGATCACTGCCGGCCGTGGTATTGTTGTTGTTGGCTCCTCCATGCTTGCGGGTGTGGCTTGAGAGGGGAGAGGGAACGGGTGAGTCGCCGGCGCCGTCAAAGTCGTACATGGAACTAAGATCGCGGTCGCTGTGTTTATCCCTCTCGGACTTGTCTGCTGCTGCCGCCAACTTGTCACCCAGCCTCTCCGAATTGCGGTCCCGATCTTTCCCATCTTTATCCCCCCCTTTGTCGGATTTGTCCTTGTCACCACCACGGTCACGGTCTCTAGTCTCTCTCCCTTCACGATCTCCTCCTCGATCACCTCGATCCCCCTTTCCACCGCCGTGCCCCCTGACCGAACTCGACCTGCCTCCGCTCCCCAAAAGGCTGGAGCTGTTTCTATCCCGTCCCGCTGCACCACTGGAATGAGCACCACCGGGCGTGCCCACGCTATGATGCACCACACCCTCGCTCTCCTCCCTCGCCTTGGTCAGTGCCCGTAAGACTGTGACATGCTCAATCACGTCCGAGAGTTTTTGTTTGCTCAGGTCGGCACCGCCACAAGCAGCGCGGATGAGCGTGTCAAAGGTCTGTTCCAGGGCTGCCATGTCGGGTTTGTCTCCTTCTGAGTTGGTGGAGACTTCACACGACTGGGCGATGAGAGAGTCCTGAGCGAGAATGGCGCGTATTTGGTCGTTGGAGCTGTTGATGGAATCCACCAGCTCGCGGATCTCGTCTTTGATGAGGGTCCAGAGCTGGGCTTCTTCGCCTTGGGTGCTGGATGCCGAGTTGCGGTTGGGGTTGCGGGATTGGCGGTTGCGGGATGTCATTTTGGTGGTGGTGTGGTTCTATGTATTTGTTGCGAGTGAGTGTGGTACTTGGATGTGGACGTTGAGGTTCTCACGAGGTGATGGCAGTGATGCACGGTGAGGAGGGGTACCTCGACGAGTACGGTAACTGGGACTTGGAGAACGTGTGAATATTGATTAAGTGAAATGAATTAATGTAATTGGTAAGTAGCTTCCGTCCAGCAGAAAGGATTCAAGAGTCATGAATATTGGGGACTTCTGTTTGGTTGAAGAACCGAAGCTCAAGAAGACGGGAAGGGAAGTTGGGAGTTGCATCGCCAGTGCAGCTCAGTACCTTTGTACATACCCCACTTCCGGTTGGCGCCGGGCCAATGTCAACTGCAGCGTTGTTCCGTCGTCAGCGCTAACAATTTCCCCAAAGCATCAACTCGACTTTCCGTTAACCGGAGTTGCTTTCATTACCTCTACCAGTGGATGTCATGTTGTTCATTACCACTCAGCCCTGAGAGATCCGAGGTGATGAGGCTTGAAAAACCGAAACAAGAGCCGCAACACATCTTTCAGCAATCACAACCTCGGCGTATTCCCCCATTGCAACTCTCCCGCCTTTCACCTCTCCCCAGCAGGCCTCAGCAAGTGCTCGCTCCTCACCAACACCAAGCCAAGCCCGCGTCTTATCCCAAAGCAGAACATATTCAACGCCCTTTCCGGCTATCATTCGTTGATCAAGTCCTACCCCAACACTCATCACGAATAACCATCCATAAAATCATTATCAGCGTGGTATCTGAGTGGGATACTTTATCTGCAGAGTGGGAGGACTAGACCTCCTTCAGGAACTATCCCCAGGCTATCCAGCCTATCCAGCCTCTCAATGGAAGCCAAGATAAGCTTAAACTAACCGACCCATCACGGTCATGTTGGGGTCGAGTGTTCTTGAAGGGGGGTTGTGAGTGGCTGCTGATTTCCATGTTTCAAGGTTGAGTTATCTTCAAAGACATGTGCTTTTCTCTTCCCTTTTCTTCTTCTTCGCTTCTCCTTCCCTCCTTCTCTCTGCTTTTATCCAGCCATCTTCAGGTCAAAATCGCGGAATCTGTTCACATGGAAACCAGCGTTACACCGCCGATAGTAACTGGAAGTCGGTTACATCACCTTTGAACATCAAGTGTTCCATTGCTTTCGTCTACCGACTTTTACATTTTTACTATACATTCTTTTGTCTTGTTCATCTGACTCGACAGGATCTCATCCTCGAGGCCACTTCTAGCCTCATATACAACAGTCAAGATGGGCACTCATGATCCCATATCCTCCATCCAACCCGACCTGGAGCAACCCTCTCACGTCGGTGGCAATGGCAGCGATGGCAACAACGAACTCGACGAAGACCGTCTCGCCCAGTTCGGCTACAAGCAAGAACTCAACCGCGACTGGGGCCTAGCTCACAACTTTGGCGTATCCTTTTCCATCATCGTCAGTCTCCTTCACCCACTCCCTTCACTCATCCCCTACTAACAAAAAGCAGTCCGTCATCACAGGCCTAACCACCCTCTTCTCCTACGGCCTCTCCACCGGCGGTCCAGCCGTCATGTCCATCTCCTGGATCGTCGTCTCCTTCTTCACCCTCCTCGTCGCCATCGCCATGGCCGAAATCGTTTCCGCTATCCCCACCTCCGGCGGCCCTTACTTCTGGAGTGCCATGCTCGCTCCCCCCTCGTGGTCTCCCTTCCTAGCCTGGCTCACAGGCTGGTTCAATCTATTAGGTCAAGTCGCCGTCACGACGGGAATCACCTTCGGACTAGCGGGCCTCATCTCTACAGCCATCACGGTCAAGAGCCCGGACTACGAACAGACGGCTGCCAAGACCATAGGCATCTATGCCGCGTTGTTGGTCAGTCATGGCGTGGTCAACACGTTCGGCGTCAAGGGGCTGCGGTTCCTAAATAATGTCAGCATCGTGCTGCATAGCGCGGGGATCACGGCGCTTTGTATTGCTGTTTTGGCCAAGGCGCCCAAACTCCAGTCAGCCAAGTTTGTGTTTGGGACGTACCACGATGGAACAGCGGCCGAGGAAGGGGTAGAGGGGTGGGGACAGCGCGCTTCACCGGCGTATGTGGTCCTCTGCGGTGCTTTGCTGTCGCAGTATACACTCACTGGTTTCGACGCGAGTGCTCATCTGAGCGAGGAGACCAAGAAGGCGAGTTGGTCTGCGCCGATTGGCGTGGTGAGCTCTGTTGGGTTCAGCTCCCTTTTTGGTTTCTTTGTGCTTATGGCTTTTCTTTTTTCGATCCAGGACTTTGAGAGGGTTTTGGATAGCAGGTATGGACAGCCTGTGCTGCAGATATTTGTAGATGTTGCCGGTGAGGATGGCGCGCTGGTGTTGTTTAGCTTGATCATGGTTTGTGTTTGGCATTGTGGGCTGTTTAGCATGACGAGTAATTCGCGCATGATGTTTGCTTTTGCGAGGGATAGGGGGATTGTGAGTCTTTCTTCCTTTTCTCATTATCCCCTCTCTTCTACCTTTTCCACTTCCCTTCTTTGGCCGAATATGTACAATACTGACAGAAACAGCCCACATTCTTCCACCAAGTCGACGCCCGCTTCAAGTCCCCCATCCGCGCCGTCTGGCTCGCCGCCTTCCTCTCTTTCATCCTCGCCCTCCCCTCTCTCGGGTCCGAAGTCGCCTTCGCAGCCGCCACCTCCATCGCCACCATCGGTCTCTACCTTTCCTACGGCCTGCCCATCCTCATCGGGCTCTTCTGGCACAAGAACTTTACCGCCATGAAAGGCCCCTTCAACCTCGGCGCTTTATCTCGTCCCATCGCTGGCGCTGCATGCTTGTGGATTTGCTTCATCACTGTGGTGTTCTGCTTACCTACTGCTAACCCTGTTACCAGCCAGACGCTGAATTATACCGTGGTGGCGGTGGGGATTATTGCTGTTGGTGCGATCGGGTCGTGGGTGGTCTGGGCGAGACGGTGGTTTACGGGCCCGGCGGCCGAGGTGGCGGAGGCGATGAGGTTAGGGATTGATGTTACGGAACCGGGGGCTTTGGAGAGGAAGGAGAAGGAGGCGTTGGAGGGGGCCAGGATGGAGAATGAAAGGGAACGGAGAGAAAGGGAGGAGAAGCAGGCGCCTGCTCTTAGTGGGTAGGTGGTTATGCGATTGAAGTATCGTAGGTATCTTATCAACGGAACTTCTTTGAAGGAAGGAAATAGCACTCATTCCATTTTGACTTGCTATCATCATCCTGCGGTCCACCAAGAGGATCACCACCATCGCGGTCCTCATCCTCGCCCCCCACCCTCCCCCCTCCAACCTCCCTCACCATTTGTCCCCCCTCAAAACTCACCCCTAACCAAATCAACAGTAGCACAATGAAACGATCCCCCCAAGCTATTCACATGTCTAAACGGCAACCTAACCACTTCCATCCCAAACTCGCTCTCCAACCACTTCGCAAACCTTTTCTGTTTTGCCTCAACCACAATCGTCTTCTCATCAATACTCAGCGCATTGAGAACCAGCCATTTGGAACACATGTACATTGGCGGGTCATCATCCTCCTCCTCCTCCTCCTCTTTGTCTTCGTCTTCATCCTCCTCCCCCTCCTCTTCATCCTCCCCTTCCTCCTTTTCTTCACCTTCCTCCTCGGGATCCTCTTCATCTTCGACCTCAGGATTCCAAGGCAAAGCCCTCAACTCCCACCCCCTAAAAACCTCGTGCCGTCTTAGTTCCTCCTCCGTGACTCTCAAAGGACAATAAACCAGTAATCCCTGACGTAAAGGCAGGATGGTAGCGTCTATGTGCATCGCGTGGTCATCTGTGGTGTTTAGCAGTTCGACTGTGTATGGAGAGGGTAATACTGCGCGCAAGTAGTCGACGCCCTTTTGGTTGGTCACGTTGGAGAGTTGCCCGATTAGTGTGTGGCCGAAACGGAGGAAGTCTGCGCAGTCGAAGGCGGGGCGGGTGTTGGTTATTGCCCATTTTTGGGGTTGGGGGCTGGGGATGGGGGTGGTGGTAGAGGTAGAGGTGGCGCCATGATCCAGAAGGCCGTCGTAAATGGTATCGTGTCCTATAATCCTGGGGGCTCTACAGATTCGTAACCCCTCTTCTTTTCCATCCCCTTCCATAATCCCCTCCTCCTCCTCCTCATTTATCAAATCCTCCAAAAACCCACCCCAAGCACTTTCCACCTCTCCTCTCCTACACCCCCAAGCAAAACACGCCTCCACCACCATCCTCCCCACAACCATCAGTCCATCCCTTGGCATTGCACCCGTATATCCTCCCCTCCCTCCATTTGCCTGGTCCCAATTTACCAGTCTCGGTCTGTACACCTTGATGCCAAACCTTTCCGTCATTACTTGGGCGAAATTGTCCAGTTCGGCGTCGGCTTTGGCGATGATGGAGGCTGGGAAGGTGTGGTAGGGACGGAATTCGGAGAGGTAAGCAGGGGACATGGTTGCGCGCATCATGTGTGCGGGTTCGGAGGGGAAGAGTGAGTGAGAGGCGCGGCCGATTAGGAGGGCGTGGAGGGGGGACCATTCGTTTGAGGCGGAGATTGTTGGGATTTTGTTCAAGGTGGTGGTGGTGGCGGTGGTGGTGGGTTTGTCCTCTGGGGACGTGGTGGACGCCTGAAGGGGCGTGTTGCAGGACGGTGTGGCCTCTTTGAGGATCATCTTGTGATGCTTTTGTGCGTGCTGGCTTTGGATGTATGTGCTGGGTCAAGTTGTTGTCTAGGTAGTGAGTTGAATGTAGAGGTATCGGGGTCGGACTCCTTTTGCTCAGCTCAGGGCTTGCGGCGACTTATATGTCGAAGAGGCCATGTTCAAGCAACCGACTTGATACCGTGATGAAGTTGAGGAATTCCGTGCCTCTGAGTTGACCATCCTCTCCCAGCGCCATTTGTTGTCCAGGCCGCCGCCACTCCATTACTCATACCATCTTTTTAGCCAGTCGGGGCCACGTATACCATCTCGGACTCAAATCAGCTTGTTCCTCACAAGAAACCACCAAGCCCCCAACCTATCACTTCCAAACAGAGGGTATATGCAATTTCCCCATCCCACAGTCACGAGAAGGCGGAATGGCACCTTGTGGAATTTGACGTCGTACAACTCCTTACCCGCGATTCTCAAACACTCAATTTGGTAATAGAAATTCGGTAAACCTGTCGATGGGGGATACCATCTAGTAATATGTCTCACGAAAGACCTAGAGATCTGCCTGTTCGGAATGATAGGAATACACTGCATTTGTTGCGTCGTCCTCTCTGGCCTTGTGGGGGTTGGTCGTCCTCGGAAGTTTACCCGATCTTTGTCTCACCTCGCGGGTCGGTCCGGTCCTGTCGGCTTTCGGATGTAGAGGTAAGGAAGGGAAGGCCATTGGCTGTTTCTTCACGCCTCATTCGGGAAGAGTCGAGCAGGTATTTGCGGGAAGGATGGCAGACTGTGTTTCTATGCCAGATGTTGTGGGACGTTGGCCTTTTAGCTGCTACTGTTGGTTTCAGAGTTCAGAAGACGGGAGCGGGTGCTCGATAGTCCTGCGACGTGCGCCTTCAAGGCCTCCTGGAGTCCTGGTTATGATGGGCAAGAGCATGAACAAAGGCTGCGAAAAACAAGCAAGAACAAGAAGTGAAAGAAGACACTAAGCTGCTGCAATTGATGGAAGTCAACAAAGACGTGCAAAGGCCGAATTTCCAACCCAGCCTGGCCGATTGCAGGCTCGTTTGCAAGAAAGAACCAAAAAAAGTGACGGTCCGACCACCTCTCCCGCCCCCTCCAAAAACAGCAAAAAACAACAACCGCTCATCCAGATGGTATCAGCAATTCACCGTTCAAATTAATTCAATACCACATAGATATCCTTCCTTCCCCACCGACTGGAGCGTTCCCAGATACCATATAGGTAGACCGGCTACTAGGTAGGTAATGTGTGCGGTGACCCCTTTTCGTGTCTTCGCACAAACCAACCGTTCCCGATCCGGACAGAGAATGAGTTTTGGAAACTCAAACGGTAGACCACTGTGCCATCTGACCAAGCGGTTGTTGTTGGAAGGAGGGGCTGGCTGGGGCCCTTATATGGTCGTTAGTGACGGGAGGGGCCGCGGGACCAAGGGGGGTTGAGGGGGGGTTGATATCGGATAAAGAATGGAAGGACTGGAGGGGCAATGTGAGGTGGAATTGGAAGTATGTGGAAGGTACCCTTCCTATGTCTTGTTGCTCTCCCTTCGGCCCGGCCGGCGTGCTTCCACTTGAGCTCTTGATACGTTCTCCATCTTCAACTCGTTCGTCACCCTCAGAACTGTGACGAACATGCGCCAAAGCCCCTCACGGACTGTCGACCCTCAAACTCGCTTTGTCCGTCTTCTTGGCCCCAGTTCAAGCCAAGACATGGAATGCGAAGTCAGTGAGGCACCGAGAAAGGTCTCTACCTCCTTGCCATGACACTTCCAAACTGCGGAAATGAGAGGACTGTTGATGCGCTGGAGACCGGGGACGTCGATATCAACGAAGGATGGAACTTGGCGTTTGGCTGATGTGGAGGAAGCAACGGGCGTAGTTGGTACCTCTAGCATCTTGCTATTGCGTAGGGGTGTTTCGTTGTCCTAGTGCTGATGATGGATGGGATGAATGCATTTGCCAACGAAGATGTCCGGCAATGATGTGTTGGCTCCTCGCCATGACGTTTACTTCGTTCATGGCCGGCCGATGTTGTTGACGAGAGCGAGTACGTTGGCTTGGAAGGTTTTGTCGGCAGTGATTGCAAAGAGAACCTGTCGCATCAGTTAATGGCGTTTTCCAAACGAAGATATGATGTTGGCGACATACCTCGTTCCATTCCCCGTTCTTCCAATCCCATACCGGTGCAGTTGTGTAGTTGGTAGACTATGAAACCCAAAACACCAACACAAGTCAATGTCAGCAAACGGCGACGTCCTCACGAAGTGTCAACCTCCATCACCGATTGTGACGAGTCCCTTCCTTCGTGCCATGTTCGATAGCAGTTGCCCATCTTCGTGAATCCCATATAAGGAGTCCCGGTACGCCCCTTCCTGCTACTCTCGGACTCATCATCACACTGCACCGCACCGCATCGCAACCACTTCGACTTCCACTTTCCACCACTGAAGTCTTACCAAACCTACAGCTTGACAACCAAAACCACCGAATCAACATCCATTTACCACCCAACACTCACCAGACCATCAAAATGATCTTCAACATCACCACCCCCACCGCCTTCAGCGAGCCCATTCCCACGGTTCCCAGCAAGCCCATCCCCACCGTGTCCAGCAAGCCGGTCCCCTCCAAGCCCAGCAACCAGCCCGAGCCTGAGCCCGAGGACGCTTTCGAGTTCGAGTTCGCTCCCTACGCCTTTGGCGACCCCATTCCCGACGTTCCCAGCAAGCCCATTCCCACGGTGCCCAGCAAGCCCATTCCCAACAAGCCCTCCAACAAGCCCGAGGAGGATGAGCTTGATGGTTCCGTCCCCTTCCACACTTTCGGCGAGCCGATCCCCTCGGTCCCGAGCGCGCCTATTCCTACTGTGCCCAGCAAGCCGGTTCCTACCAAGCCTGGTGCTAAGCCTACTGATGAGGATACGGATCTTGAGGATGAGTAAGGGACTAAGTGAGGAGGGGTAAAGGTAGAGGGTTCCTGGCATAACGGATTGAGTTGGAGCACAAGAAGAGCGGAAAGGTGGCAAAGACAGCAGGTTGAAATAAAGGAAAGGAGGAATAGAAACGAGGAAGAGAGGGCGGACGGATAGGGAAAATTGCGTCACTGATGGAAACCTGGATGAATCGCGGTATCGTTTGAAAGATGGAACGATGGAATGCATTGGAATCGAATATCTGGAGGAAAACATGGAAAGTATGGAAAGACTTGAAAGTGCATTGATTTGAGGACCTAAGCAAGATAAGAAGTGCATAAGCAATCATGATCGTCATCATCATCAATGGAAAGCTTTTCTGTTGCCCATATGCATGTTCAGCATGTGGCAAAGGCTCGTGGAATCCGATCATGTCCATGAAAGCACATCGCCAACATCATCAGAGGTTGATCTGTGACCCATAGGTTCTTTGTCAGTGGCACTATCCTCCTATACAATTAGGTGAAGGGAAAGACAACTTACCATGCGCTCAACAGCTTTCATTCACTCCTCATTCTTAGACACGGCCTCCCTCTTCCACCACGCAGTCCGATTGATCATATCCGTTGATTGTTCATCTTCCTTCTCAGAACCGCGCTTCCACCAGAGAGTCCTGTTGATCATATCGGTAGACTGCTTATCACCGTCGGCGTCTTCGCGCTTCCACCAAATGACTTTGTTGGTCAAGTCGGTGGATTGTCCGCCCTGGATGTCTTCGACATCGCGACTAGTGGGGGCCACAGGAGGGATGGCAGCTGCTTGGGCAACACCCAAAAGTGTGATGACGGCGAGGGTTTTGGTGAGTTGCATGTTTGGTGGTTCCTGATGGTGGGCTTGGGACTGTGAGCTTGGAAAAGATGATGATGGTGATGATGTCTTCACCATTTTCTGAAGTCTCGCCCGTCCTTTATACCCATATTCCGTGACAAGACAAAAAACGGGTCTGCGGCTCTTGATCCGCCTTCATATTCGTGAAACGCGCAACACTATCAGAATGCGGGGTGATCAACGCCATCAGCACCACCGTAACCGCGTACGTCTTCCTTCGAACACAAAGGGAAGGTGTAGAAGCCCGTTACGACAGCACTTTGAGGTAATGGTGCCTCGCAATCAACGACCCGTCGGTGAGATTCCTTCAATATCGAAATTACCCTATCCCAGGTCCGGAGCCGTGAGGGGTAGAACCTCCGTCAGCAACTGTTGGTGATGATGCGCATGAAGATGGTGGAAGTCGAACAGGGCTGAGCAGCGCGACACGAATGTTGTGCGCTAATGTGGAAGGAGGTAAGCTCTCGGTAATATGGAGTGAGATTTTAGACCCCAACGGCGCTACATGAATGACGACTAGCAGACTCCCCGGTATAAACTCCGGCGGTGACAATAACTGAATCATCTGCGCGGGATGATGGCTTGCAAGCTCTCTTGCCTAGATATCAACTTGACGGAAAACAAGTGCTCTTCTCCCACTCGGGAGGATTGTTCAGTGTCTTGCTCGAGAGTATCCTCAGAATAACTCTCGATCAAGCACTATGGCTTGGAAAAGCCCGCCCAAGGCCTCAGATGAGGAACGCCTCCTCCAGCAAACAGACGAAGAAGACAGCAGTTCTTTCGGAGAACCACCAAGACATAGCGGCTCATCAATATGGCTTTGGCTTTCTCTAACCTTGAACGCGACACTCGTCGGCGCGTTGGCAATCGGTTGGTTCCGCAAGATATCAACTCAATGCTTAGGGCGATGCATTCCCAACCCGGTGTACAGTCTGTCACCCTTCCTCAATCTCTCAACTCGATCACCTGACTGACAAATGCAATAGCACCCGCCGACGATGTGATCTCATACAAGACTGTTGTCTTCCACAGCGGCATACACCTTGACAAGACCGAATACCAAGGGTCATCAGACGAGGTCAACGTCAATTGGGAAGCCTTGTACAACAGTAAGAGGCCTCTCTGTCTCATTCAGACCGGGTGCGATTTCCAAGGTCAAGACACATCTAACACTCGCAGACATGTCCCTCTCGCTCATTTCTCCATCCTCCGCCTCCAAGCTCATCAACAAAACCACCCATCTCTCTGGTGACCCTCAATCCTACGTGATTCAGCTAGCCGTCTTTCACAACCTCCACTGCCTCAACATGGTCCGCAAGCTCTTGTATCCATCCAAGTACCCCAGCCCCATCCATCTCTCTCACTCCCAACCTCACGAGCGCTCTCAGCACGAACACTCCCACTCCCAGACCTCTTATGAAGAGGAGGTTATCCACCTAGAGCACTGCATCGAAGGCATCAGGCAGTCATTGCAGTGCTCAGCAGATACCAGTGCCTTGTTCTGGGAATGGAGTGAAAGGAGACAGATGATGGTGGGCAACACAGGGACAACGCATACGTGTAGGGATTGGGAAAAGGTCAGGGAGTGGGGGTTGGGGCATCAGACTGGGATGTACTTTGATCCGTATGTGAAGGTGGAGGGGGCACCGGTGAGGGATGATTCTATCGAGTTTGATGATGCTTGATACCTTGGGTTTGCGGGTTAGAGGGTCCAAGGGTCTTGGGTACGGTGTTGCTATTGAGAGCAACAAGATCAACGAGTTCGATGTCTCATGCCGGCAGGCGTTATCATTGGCGGTATCGAGGTGTGTGAATGAGGTAACAAGGTAACAAGGTGTGAGCTGCTTCTCATTGGCCGGTCAGGATCACTTGATCACGCCGGGAAATGCTCAGGTTCCGAGAAGGCACAGAGAATGACGTTGCCAGAAAAATGCAAAAGAAATACCGTTTGAACTGCGACTCTCCTCCGAGACAGTCCGCCGCACTCTGCAGGTACAAACACCGAAAAATCCGTCAACGTTTCTTTGCAAATATGATCGTCGTCGATATTTGCCTGATATGGTTGGTGGGAGACGAGTGAGGGTGTCCAACCGTCGATCAAACAGCAGCTGGATCGGCGATGGCGTGCTGCACTAACAACTCCTGCGGGTGATTATGTGACTAACTGTTAGTCTCAGCACGTGTTGAATTGCCACCTTTTCGCAACCCTTCGGCGCAAGTCTCCCGTCTTGTCGGCTTGGTTGCCCGTGTCTTTGTGCGTTCCTCGTGCATGTTTCCGCGCGGGAAAAAAGGGAGATGGCCAGGAGAAGACGGGTGATGGTCCTCGCAGTCCGTCCGTCACATCAATGCTGCCATCCGAAGCGCGAAAGACCGGACTGGAGTGATCTGAGGAGAAAGGTGTCAGCCAAGAGCTGTCAAAATGTCATTTCCCCTTTGTCGGTATATGGCGGAAAAATGCTTCGCTTGTTCGATGTTGAGCTGAACAGAGAATGATATCGTTCATCGTCATATGGTGGCCGATCTTGCAACGCCGCAACGCGACAAAACGGGAGAGAAAAGAACGCTTGCCAACGTCGTCGCATTGAAGACTTTGCGATCCCCAAACAGATTTGCCATGAACGCCGTGCGGAGAAAAAAGAACCAAGACATGACCAAGAGTCCAAAAAAGAAACAAGTGCATGACCGATAAGCTAATCGCAAAAATCTAGACCAATGGCAGTTATGTCAGCAATTCGCAGCAACAAGTGCGGGCAGCCGCCTTCCCGACGTCATCCAAAAGATGCCCTACACTCTTGCCCTTTCAGTTCTTGCCTTCCAGTCTCACCCGTTGTTGCCCGTTCGGTTTCAAAAGAGGGGAAGTTGGATAATGAAAACAAAAAGTCGTCCAATTACCCCGCCGTGTGCCGAGATCATGCATGTCTTGTCCTTCGGCTTATGCTTCGAAGGGAAGGACTGAGGAAGTCTCTTGAAGTACCCTTTGTTGCCCCTCAAAGCCGCTTCCCTTTTTTCTTCGATCTGTTAGTGGCCTTAGTTAGCAAAAGATCCAAAATGCGTCATTGGAAGATGAGAATGGTTTGTTGAATTCGCATTGTAGCCCATTCATTGAACAGAAAGTGACAGTGGCTGTTTGCTCGCCGCCGTTCGTCTTCTCAGCGCCAGCTCAGCAACAGCGCCTCGAGATAAGGAAATTCCCTGCCACAGCTGACGAGAGAAATGCCGAGTTGTTCTCAGCCTCAAGGGGATGGCTGATGGCTGATGGCTGATGGCTGATGGCTGATGGCTGATGGCTGATGGCAGCGAGAGAGCCAAGTGATATCGAATGGCTTTGATCCCAACCGACGATAGTCTGCGCCTTTGATCCCAACTTGGCAAAGAGATCCGACCAAAAACTCTCATCGGCGAGATCCGTTCAGTCCCTCCACACCATTCAGGCCGGACGAATCTGACGATACTATCCCGTCCATATCACTGCAGTATCAGATTGGGCTTTTTGACAGGCTTCATCGAGAACAGACGGGACGGGATCAAATGTGACGGTTTGCCGGTCCAGCTCAGCCACTCGACGTCCACTCTTGTCCACACATGGATTGTTCAGGCACCGTCAAAGTCGCATTCGACAGCCTGAAGATATTGGCGCGTTATCGTGGTCGTTTTCCTGCGTTTATATTTGCCATTTGGGTTTGTCCAATTCGCCCAACCGAGACGTCTGTAATCTCCCCAAAAAGAGGTGACAATCTTAGCGCCCAAAAGGAGACACTGCACTGACAGCCGGAATTGCAACATTGCGATCATGTGAAGAAGAAGAAGAAGAAGAAGAAGAAGAAGAAGAAGAAGAAGAAGAAGAAGAAGAAGAAGCCATGAGACGAGTGATTTCTTTTTCATGTCCCGTCTCTTCTCTGATATCGAATCCCCCCGGGCTATATTGGGTCGTTCCATGCCATATGGGTGTTGCTGTCGGTCACCGCCAAGTACCTGTAACAGGACTGTGACCTACCAGGTCGGTATCCCTTGGCTTGTCTCAAGTGTTGTTCACCCACGACATAAACATCGTGTAGGTAGTGTAGGCGGCAAACCGCGGGCGACAGAGAGGACAAACGTCGACGTGGTGGTGAATCTTTGGCTGTCCGCATTTCGATGCCTGGTGAAGAACTGAAGATGTTGAAGAGAAACCAGGAAGAACCTGTTCCCCATCCAAGCGTCAACCGTCCAAGCCGCAATCCGCAAATCCTCAGAAGGCGGCGGACAATAATACCCCAAAATAATTGTTAAGGACCCACTGGCCATCTGACACCGACCCCAGTGCATTCGTTCATCTCCTTCACACATGCCCATTCATTTCTTGCTGTCAACGCTTGTGGTGAGAAATTGTCCAGACTTCTTTTCTTGGGTGTTCTTCATCTCCCATGCCCTACAAAGCTTGTTTGGACGTTTCGGTTCCTTCCGCCCGTCCCCAGCTTTTTCTACGTTTTCTGTTTTCACCTCAGGTTCTTATCAGCATTCAGCTCTCTCTCCCATAAAAACTCCGACTTGAATCCGTCAAGATGTGAAACCGCACTTATGGCCTCTCACCTTCTTTTTACAGTAAGTAGAGGCCCCAAAAAAACTGGCAACACCGCAATAGTTGGACTTTGTCGGTGAGCGGTGTGAGGAGTGAGCAGTGAAAGTGGAGGAAGGAACCAGCACTTGTGCAGGTACTACTTTGGACACTGTGGGGTTCGACTTGCCAGGTGGGGTAAGTGAAGCTCATTCGCGCCATTTTCCCTAACATCTCCGCCATCACTTTTTGGAGAGAGGGAACGGTGATGTGCAATTTCAGTCAGAGAGGAACGTCGATGAACAAGGGCCGGGACGACGATTCTTCTACGGATCTTCATCTATGCTGATCATTTGCTACTCCGTTTATCCATGGCTTCCATCTCACCCGAATCGCGAGACAACAATTTCTTCCACTTCCATTGCACGGCATCCCATCAATTTAACTAAAAAGCTGGGAATGGCTTCCCGTCTCCCGCTACCACCAATGGTAGGCGACACCAATGTAGGTACCAGGAGGTACATTAGCCCAGGGGCCGTGTCCATTCCCAAACGGCTGGCTATTGGCTGGAGACAAGCCCAAGTCTTTGGTCTCCTCATCAATGATCGAATCTCCCGTCCCCCGTCGCCGTCTACCGTCTTCCGACCCGGTAAGCTTTTTGCACTAGAAAACAAGGTCAAGGGGCTGGCCTCCTCCATCTGGAGCTTTCCGTCTTTTTGATAGACTAAATTAAATCTATGTGATTCGTGCAAGTAATAGCATGGAGGGTGCTCCGATACATGCTTCAACAAGTATTAATCCACACAGCTTCCCAGATTCCGATCACCTTCTTCGTTTCCCTATTCTCTTTCTTCCAACATAATCGTCAACTGATTATTATCAAAAGCCGGGTAGAAACACAGAATAGCCAGAGAGACAGTCGAGGTTACATTCAGTCGCATTAAACCAACATCCATTCATATCCACCTCTCCAACATCATCACAGCGCCCCACCACCCAACCAGAAGAACCAGGGCACCCAGGAATCTCTCTTTTACCGACATACAATCCAATTCCAAAGTACATAATCTACTCTCCAACCGAATCGAACGAAATCGGCAAGTTCCAAAAAAGACTGGGTTCCAGACCAGACCAACAAGAAGAAGGGTGACGACGGCTTGACGGAATTTCCATTATAAACCGCGAAGGTCTCGTACCACCCATCCAACTACATCCAAGCGAATCGAATCGCATTGAAGTGGAGGTTCCGAGTCGAAGCGAACCACACCGACCACACCATCAGCACAGCACTCAAGCAGCACTCACAACAAGCAGTCGCTGCCCGACGACGAATTGACAGTCGCTTTCCGAAGCACAGAAGCAAGTTGTATAAACAGAGGCCCGTTCGCCGTTTCAACTGAACTCTTCTTCATCAAAACTCCCGTCGACAGGTTTTCCGTGCGCGCACACACATACACACCGGACCACCACCGCCGATCAACAACACATCACCTACTGTCGATCAATCCATCCATCACATCACTGCCCCCCTTATCTCTTGCAACTTTTCTTCAACTCAAACGGTTGGGGCGAAAGCAACCAAGCTGAGAGAGATCAGAGAACGCACGGAAGAGAATCAGGCGAAACACGACTCGCGTTACACACAAACAAACAACAACACCAAGCCAAGCTATCCCCAAGCTACGCTCTCTCTACCTAGTAGCGCATCCCCAAATCTTGCCTCACCAATACGTCAGAACTACAACACTGGCCGCAAGGGAAAAAAAGGACAAAATCACCGAAGGCACCTCGTTCACCTCCGGTCGTTTCGAAACAACAATTCACACACAACAACAACAACGCCCGATGATCCGGCCATTTGCTGCTTTACCAACATCACCATCATCACCTTACTACAACGCAGCAGCAGCACAAGTGGAAGTAGTATCTCTGCAGACATCACATCCAGACCTGCACCGACAACAGCAATCACAACCTGCATACCGGTACCTTTGCCGATTACCACAACAACCGCAACAACCATAACTTAACCCCTTACAACCACCACCACACCACACCACAAGATCGCCAAAATGAACGCCTACATGGTCTCCCAATCCCACCAATCCTCCTCGCTCTCCTTCCACTCCCACTCCCACATGTCCAACATGCACTCCATGCCCGAACCCCCCTCCTCCATGTCCTCCCGCGGCACCGCCTACAACTACCATCACAACCGCGACGACCTCGCCCTGCAAACCTATCTCGCTCTGCACTCGCAACACGAATCTCTAGTCCAACACCTCGACGAACTCCGCCCTTCCAGCAGTCCTTCAACCTCCCCCACGCGCTCAGCGCCCCATTCGCATTCCGCCCACGGCCGCTCCTCGCCTCTCCCCCGCCAGCGTCAGCGCTCATCCGGTTTCGGACCAGGTAGCGCTTCCTCCGCATTCGGCAGTTCTTCGTCCCTGACTGGCTCCCTAGCTGGCTCCTCCTCGCTGGCTGGATCTTCTGCGATACTAGGTGTGGATGATGATCAGACGATGATGGCGGAGGAGGTGGCGCTGGAAGAAGCCAAGCTGTGCGATGTCAACGAGGGGATCAAGCGCACGTTGACGGAGCTGCTGAATTGCGAGGCGACGAGGGGGGAGGATAATAGGTTGTTTCGGGCGTGGGTACAGGGACGGTTGATGGAGGCGGAACGGGAGCTTAGGAGGGGGAGGAGGAGGAGGTCTGCGGGGAGTGCGTGCTCGGAGTAATTGAGAGGAGAGGAGAGGAGGTTTACGGATGCGATGGCATCTTGATCTGTGACAGCGGAAGCGGAAGCAGGACGGAGTTTGTCGCGGTAATATTACTGCTCGGCTACTGCTTCTGCGAGGTTCATCTGCAAGATTGTCACGGCGGCATCTTTGACGGATTGACAAAGTCTACATCGGGGAGCAGCTTGTTCCCCGTTTCTTTTTGGAGCGCCATTGTTGGCGGACCACATTTGTGTCTTGCATAGGCATTTACGACTTGCTTGCATCTTAGCTTGGAGTTTACGGATTTGTTTTGTCTTGTTATCTTGTTATCTGTTTTTGTTCAAGTTACGCGAGTCTTCGAACTGGTTCTCTGGATACGATTTTCGAAGCCATTCCGACATTTCTCGGAAAACACCGGCCAGCCGGCCAGCAAATCTCAGGGTTGTCTCCGTCATGCGACATGACATCGACATTGCCAAATTCTATGGAACCCTCCTCAATTGGCATGGAGCTCACAGCTGGAGCAAACTGGAGCAAGCTGGAGCCATTTCGCTCCGCCCGCTGATCCGGGTTCGGGAAGCTTGCTGCTGACATGGCATGATTCGGGAAGTGGGAATGAATGGGCTGTGTCGCGAAATGGGGGAAACATGGGACAACCATGTTGCAGACTTGCAGCAGAGGGTCGGGTAATTTCGCCCTTGGCTATTGTCGCGACGATGTTCTATTTTCGGAATTCTTCGGCGGGGAGGAATCGAGCAGAATCACTGCAGTGCCCCTGGAGGAAGCATCATCAGTTCGGAGGAGGATTTTACAACCAACAGCATGTTATGGAATTTGGCAAGGGAAGGGGACGGATGGGAAAGAAGGGACAAACAAAAGGGAATTGAATGGGATGGGAAGAGTCGCATCACCTTGTCTCTGCATACGGACGGGCAGGCAACAAAACTTATTATTTGTTATTATTGTAATTTTTAGTGTTTGTTTGATTTCCGGTTTTCGATTAGCATCGGTTTGGCATTTTCAAATCTGGTTCTGGTTCCGGTTCTGGGAGGGCAGAAAGAAAGAATTGAAAGAAAGACAACAACAGAAAGTTTCAACCACCATTTTGGATCCACCATAGCTTCCTGTCTTTGACGTCGGTGAATTGGAATGATGGCTTCGTATAGGTATTGCTGCCGCCATGTCGACGCGCAGGTCGGCGATGCAGGGATGGTTTCAAGTTTCGACAACCCAATCCCGAGGACTGCATTCGAGATTATCGCCATGTCGGCGTGTCGCAGTTTGAGTGTTGCCGTCCAGTTCCGATCGCAGCCGCAGCCGCAGCCGCTGTCGCTGTCGCTGTCGCTGTCCGAGTGATCTCTGGAGTACCAAGAGACCAAGAGCCCTCAAGAGCCCCCAAGAGCCCCCAAGAGCCCAAGACCTGGAGAAAAGAAGGGAAGCGAGCCGACCGCCCGGTACTGTACCGGTAACGTGGTGGCATTTTCGTGATTGCGGAGTACTCCTGGTACTGTAGCGAGTTCTAGAGTCTAGACCATTTCCTTGGTGTTGTGATCTGGACCACCTCGAACGATGGACGGTAACGACGAAATCTGGAGACTGGTGCAGCGAAAGTGGAATGGAGGGTGGAATGTTCGGTGGAATCATGTCTCCCGGCATTGGGCCCTAACCCTGGCAGGCCTGGGATGCAAGTTGTCGGAACCGGTGAGGAAGGAAACTTGGCACGTGCTTTGGCGAAGGGGGTCACGTGTTTGCTTGCCATGAAAGATGAAGGAGCTTGGGCTAGTCTTGGATTTGAGGTCTTGCGGCAGGCAACTTTTCTCCAGTTGCAACGAACTGCCTGCCATCCAGAGTTGCGAACGTCACTGCGATTTGACATTGACATTGACATGCGCGAGACAGAACAGACGAAAGACGACGACAAGCAGATCCCATTCTCGATCTCGCATCAACGACCTACCTCGAGGACCACACAGCTCCGGCTTTATATACTGCCCCACAGTTGAGGGTCATCTTACTTATCGGTTCCGGCGCATGCGCACACGCTAAACCTCGACGCGACACCCACAACTGCCACCATGTCGGTCCTCCTCGAGACCAGCGTCGGCGACATTGTGATTGACCTTTTGGTCGATTACGCGCCCAAGATGTGCGAAAAGTCAGTACCCTCTGGTCTTCCCAATCAACTAATCACACACTAACCATACCACCAACAGCTTCCTCAAACTCTGCAAGGTCAAATACTACAACTTCTCGCCCGTCCACTCCATACAAAAGTCCTTCTCCTTCCAAACCGGCGACCCTCTCGGCCCCTTATCCTCCGAATCCGATGGCGGCCAGTCAATCTGGGGTCTCCTCTCCGGTGACCCCTCCGAAAAGACCTTCCCAGCTCTCTTCCACCCCAAACTCAAACACCTCGAGCGCGGCACCGTCAGCATGGCCACAGTGCCCCACCCTTCCGACCCCGACGCCCGCCTCGCCGGCTCCCAATTCATCGTAACCCTCGGCGACAACACCGACTACCTCGACGGCAAAGCCGCCATCTTCGGCAAAGTAGTCGAAGGCTTCGACGTCCTCGAGAAAATCAACGACGCCATCGTCGACGAGCGCGGCCACCCCCTAGTCGACATCCGCATCAAACACACCGTCATCCTCGACGACCCGTACCCGGACCCATCCGGCATGCGCGAGCCCAGCTCCTCACCACCACCTTCAAAGGCGCAACTAGCCACCGTCCGCATCGCCGAAGGCGAAGAGCTCCTCGACGTCGAAGCCAGCGAGGAAGCCGCCGCCGAAGCTGAACGTAAACGTCGCGAGCGTGAAGCCGCCGCACAAGCACTTACGCTGGAAATGATGGGCGACCTACCCTTTGCCGAAGTCAAGCCGCCGGAGAACGTGCTGTTCGTGTGCAAGCTGAATCCCGTGACAACAGACGAAGATCTGGAGCTGATTTTCAGCCGGTTCGGCAAGATCTTGAGCTGCGAGGTGATCAGGGATGCCAAGACGGGGGATAGTTTGCAGTATGCGTTTATCGAGTTTGAAGACAAGAAGAGCTGCGAGGAGGCGTACTACAAGATGGACTCGGTGCTTATTGATGATCGGCGGATTCATGTGGATTTCAGCCAGAGCGTTAGTAAGTTGAGTGATGTGTGGCGGTCGGAGACGAATACGAAGAGGAAGAGTGCGGCGAGGGGAGGAGGAGGAGGAGGAAGGGGTGGATGGGGTGGTGTCGATGAGTTGGAGAAGTGGAGGAAGTATAGGGATGAAGAGGTTGAGTGGCGGAATGATGAGAGTTATCAGATGGTGCATGGTGTGGAGGACTTGAAGGGGAGGCCAAGGCAAGATGGTGATAAGCCTCCTGCTAGACCAGACGTTGGTGGTCGTGACAGGTCAAGGTCAAGGTCTAGGGATCGTGATCGTGATCGTGATCGCAGACGCAGTAGGAGTCCTCCTCGAAGGGACAACCGTGACCGTCCTCGGGACGACCGTGACAGACGGCCGGGGCCAAGAGATGCTGACCACCGCCGCCGAGATGATCGAGACTCGGACCGCAGAGGAGACAGACGCGACCGTAGTCGTAGTCGTGACCGACACCGCGACCGCGACCGAGACTACAATGACAGGGACCGCAGAGACAGAGGTGGTAGAGGTGGTCGCGATGACTATAGGAGGAGGTAGGATAGAGGTAGGGCACAACACGCGAACTGCATTAGGGGATTATGATATCCATTGGATTCTATCTTTGTCATCGAACCCATCCCACCCCATATCCGTCTGCCAAACATACCTACCACCCTGGAAACACATACCCGGAAACTGCACATCCCATCTCGGAACCGAGATCTGCCCTGCCCTGCCCTGCCCTGGCTTGTTACAACCTGGCTGGCTGGCTGAATAGGGCTGACACATTCCATCCACCATGCTCTATGCAATAATGTTGGGCTACCACGACTTACTCAATACTCCATCACTTACGAGCTGCGAGCTGCGAGCTGCGAGCATCCTATTGTCTCGGACCTAACTCGAATGGTTGTCATTGACACGACTCGGACGGAGGCACGCACACATCTATCCGACGTCTCTTTCCATACACACATACTTTACCTATTTGGCCCCCGCGTTTCATATCGTCAATGCCACGGGCATGCCATGTTGCACTGCCCTTCCTACCGCCCGACTTACAGCACAAAGGACTATGGTAGTCTCGACAACCGACAACCGACAACCGACAACCGACAACCGCCGCCCGTCTTCCGATAGAAGGTTTTGTCTGGAGCTGTATGGCAGGTAGGTGTCTGCTGATGGATGGATCTATGGCCAATTGTCATTGAACTAGGTATCAATGCTCATCTTGCATCTTTTCTTTCTTGCCCGAAGCTCTTCGCCTCTTCAAAGTCATCACCGTTACACAGAGACTGAGAGACTGGTCGATAGCTAGCTCGGTATGACTTGCCCTGTTTTGGTAGAGGGAGGTGATTTGATGATCATAGTTCCACATTGTTCCACGTCAACTGCCTACACTACTTCTGCGCCAGGTTGCTAGGTTGCCAGGTTGCCAGGTGCCAACCAAGGTGCCAGCCAAGTCGTGTAGAGCAGTCAAGAAAAAGACCTGGGGGCAGGGGACGTATCAGATTATCAGCTCTGCTGGACTTCTCTCGTGCGTAGTAGGTTTTTGCTTGCTGCGGACACACAATCTTGGGGGAAAAGAATTGCGGCTCATCTTGCGGTGGTGTTGCGAATGACACTACACTGGACTTACACGACAGGGCCACGGCATGTTTACTCCGCCAGCGGCTCCTAAATATCACAACCTACTCTGTCGGTCACATTCCATTGCAGATAAATGTGAAAGGAAAGGGGAGAATTTGGGTGATACACGGTGTCACTGGCTCGAGGATCTGGTCTAGTCGTTGTGAAGCACCTTCTGAAGGTGTGGACTTTCACAACTTCCCTCCTCATTAGCAGATGCACAACATCAGCCGATGGTTACGCGTGGCCGCCAACGTCAACGGCTGCTGTCCGCGAATAAGACGCTATTGCCCCATCCCCATCGCCTTGTCCCCTTTGGCTGTCCTCCTTCGCCCCTCATTTTGCGGCGGCGACCTGAAGACGACCTGAACGAAGCCCAGTCCAGCCCACGGCCAGGCGGCCGCCACGCCCGCTGGCCCCGTTTCAATAGTCAACGGACAGCAGGCGAAGTCGTACGCGCACACACTCACACACACACAATACGCGGCCACCCACATCCAACCGTTTACTGCAAGGTCCCCCCCTCCTTCTTTTCGCTTGTGTCAGGCATACCCGCCGTGTCCCCGGTGCCAGTTAGATCGTCGGACCGAGTCCGGCAGATCCTCTACCTTTTCTGTGGGTTTGCTCTGCTTGATTGTGTTGTGGTTGCAGAGTGTAGTGGTTGATTAGAAGACTTACAGGACAGGTATAACTTGAAGTTCTCAACATTCTACTCCCTTCGTTGGAGACGTTGATAGCTCGTCAGGTTGATCTCAGGGTTTCCAACCTCGACAGCCGGCGGAGTGTCAACAAGCATGCCAACAGTGTTAGTATCGCTTCGCTAAGACACCCGGAACATCCTTGTAGGCGTTGTTTGCCCTTCCATGCTTGATCATGATTTGCAGGCGACGGGTAGAAGCGCGCCATCAACCCATCGAGAGCACAGAAAATGATCGAATGGGGTCTTTGGGGTGGATTGATGAGATAGGGCAATCCGGACTCAGGAAGATAACACAGTGGTTTGACACCAGTTGAAGTCAGCCATCGAGATTTGTGTCGCCCCAGAGAGAGTTGCTGGACGAGCCGAAGACGGTCGATCGGGCCCTCGACCGCAGCCACTTCGGACAGAAAAACATCACAAACTCTGTTTTATCCGATCCGAAGCTCATGCCCTTCCTGGGGCTTCCGCTCGAATCATGTTGCGATGGATATGTTTCTGATGACGCTGGTTTCATGCTCTCGTGGCTTTGAAGAGACGTGAGAGGCTAGTGTGCGGCGCAAAATCTCGTGTTGCGGGCTTGATCATGTCAGGGCCTCCTCAATATCTGCAAGCCACGAGGTTGAAGGGTTCTGTCCAAGCCCTGTTGCCCTGGGCGAGTTCCGCAGGAGGTTTGATTTCGGTTGCAACGTGAAGAAGGAAGGACGACGATGATGCTGAGGCATGGGAACAATGCACAAGTGCTTCCCTTGATTGGCCTATAAAATTGGACCTTGCTGTTAGCTTCAAGGTCATTCGTCCGCGACAACACCATCTTCTCCATGTCTTGCAGTTGTAACGGCAGTACGTACAACGCCTGGGCAACAACTGGTACGGGTATTTGCATGCTGGGGAGGGGAGAACAGCAAGGGCCACCAAGGTCTGGCGTCGTTGACTGCGCGGACTGCGGATACTGTACCATGGGCTTACTGTAATTATCCGAACGCCTTCCTTCGAGCCCCCAGCCGTCCAAAATCTTCCGCGACGGCAAACCCCCACTGACACCCTCCAATTCCGAGGGCAGCCATTCGCCAATGTCGTCTTTTTTGGAATGTGTGTCATCCATCCACACCTCGTGCTGGCGTTTCGTCTCCGAAGGGTGAAGGAAGGGTCCAGATGCTCGCTGCTTGCCGTTTTTACCGCTGATGCCATGCCACACAACACCTGGAGGTGAGGCGAAACAAGCAACAGGAGGATTGGAGGATTGGCACCCGCTTCAGATTGGGGGATCTGCTATAATATGCAGCTCGAGGGTCGAGTTTTAGATCATTGGCCGAGGCTACTTCCGACAAACATCTCTCAACGCTTACTGGGCTTGCTCTGGCTTTGCTTGGGGCGCGCAACATTGAGGGCCTGCCATAGGCCTTTAAGGCCTGCGGTAGCGTCAAGTCGATACGAACTGCCCTTGGAGGTGATCTTGCACGGTTGCTGATAAGTCGGTGGTGTGTGTTCGGAACCTGACCCTGGGGCGTTGCCGCGGCGAGCTATCAACGTTCGACAGTTGGTGATGTTTTGGATGGTGCAGACTGGAAGTTCGGAGGCTTCTTCGTATTTGACGATGACAGCTGGCAAGCAGCTCTAGTTGCAGTTGCAGTCGGGTTGCAGTCAGTTGCGGCCAGCTTCAAGGCCATTTGGCCCCAGCGACCGGAATGTGACATGCAAGAGGAAACAAGGACTCCCTAATTTCGGGCCATCCTGCCTCCAAGCTGCTGCTGAATCTGACGACAGCAACTCCTTCCGAACGACGTCCTCCTTACCTCTAGCCGGCACGTCTGCCGGTAACGCCTGCCTCTACCGACACGTCCACTCACCGCGACTGGACCGTGAACATGACGGTTCTCGGACCGGACCGAGTGAAAAAAAGGGAAGGCAGGGGCCGGCCGATCATTTCAGTCGCTTGCTGTGTGTTAAACGTGAAAAATATGACAGGTAATCATGAAACTTGGATTCCGGACGAAAACACTACCTACACCTACAGTACCGCACTACCGCTCGCGGACCTTTGTGTTGTCCAGAACGAATAGTACGACAGTTACTCAATCACATTGCACTGTCCTTCGTCGTTTGAAAATGCAGAGCATAATGGCATGACGGATTGACTGTTGGCGGCGACGGTCCTGGCCGCCCGTTATGGGCAGGGCACTTGAGCCAAACCCACAACATTGGGAACTGACAGAGACGGTCTTCGTTGGCAGCAAATCGGAAAAAGGCAACCTCAGTCGTGGGCAGCAAAAGATCGCTCACATTTTGCGAGTGCCGGTGCGGGTTCAAGGCGATCAGATCACTCCCAACAAAAAGTGATAGAGTCAGGGGTGTCTTCCCTGGGTGCTTTCCTTGGGACCACACCGTTCGCTGGTCAGTCCAGTCTCGCCGGGCCATTGTGTTTGCGCTGTCAACATGGAATGCGGGTGTCAAGGGGTGCACCGTATTGGTTCTTAGATGCAAACTCATCATACTACCTACGTATATGGTAGTAGCATGGCGTCTCTGTTTTTTATTTCTGGCTTTTTCCTCAAACTTTGACAGTCCCAACCCGAGCCCGACATCATTTATTCGGTCGCGATAGCATGTTGACGACAAGCTTTAGAGAAGTTGAAAAGGGACTGGACCGACCAAGATGAACCCTTTTCTGCTTTGCCTATTTAGCTTAGCAACATAGGAGGGAGACAGGCCTGGCCTAGCAATACTACGCTAATGACGCACGATAGAAAAGCTACAGTATGCCGTGAGGGGGGAAGGAAAAAGTAAACAATACGCACCGTGCTGCAGTCGTTGGACAGAAGTACAGTGGGAGGAGAGGGGAAGCTCTTTTCTTTCCGTTTTGACAAGAGAACTGAAGAAGACGACACAAATACTATGTTCGGCATGAGCAACTATTCCACCTTGGGCATATCGCAACACCTTGGCTTACTCAATAAGGAAGGAAGACTGAGCTGCTAAGTTCTGACTGCATCGATGCGTGTAATCAGATTGATGCATCTTGTGCCCGGCCTGCCAAGCAACAGTCTGAGCAAGTTTCGGGGGCACTGGCCGAGGGGAGATGAGGGATGTTCGATCGGGGATCATGGTGGATCAAACATTGCACCGACCTCAGCTGCTAGGGCCATCTTCACAGTCTGTCACCTAAACTCCGTTGGCATTGCGGTTCTCTGCCCACCAAAATTCTGTCACTTATCACTTTTCGCGGAATCGTCATTTATATCCGTTTGAAGCGTCCCTCTTATCAGCCTTGCAGCAGCGGACCCAGATGCCGAACGGCCGGTGCAACATAAAAAAACAGCGACGACAACGACAATCAATCGACCATCAGTTTCCATTCAGGCAAGAGCAACGAACGGGAAAAGAGCAAAGTCTGCGAACGGAAGAACCGAAAACAACTAGGAGCACGACAAGCAACCAAGCTGGTAAAGGGCTAACCGAGGAAAAAGTCGCCTAAACAATTGTCCACCATTCAGTTTTCATTCACTGTGTCAGTGTTACACGGAATCTGCAAATGGGAGGGGTCAATATCAGGTCACGCACCATACACAACAACTAACACCTCGCACTCATGGGATGCGTTGCAATGTGAGGTGTGTGCTGTGTTCGCCATTCGGATAGGAGGTCTGTGTCACCTTGAGTCCTCCGGGTATCTTCGTTTCGTCAATTACCTTACATGTTCTGTACCGTCTTGGCCTCATCCCAGTCCATTCTCCCAGTTTTCACTCATGTTTCTCACCCGGGACTGGCATCTGGCTGAATTGCTTCATTCTAGCCCATCAAACCTCACCTTGCCCCAGAAGGAGATGGCCTTGCTCACGCCCTCAGTTCACGACCATGGGGGTTTCTCACATAGGGATCACTTCTGGCCACAGCATCCCATTCGAACCATGTTACTAGAGGTAGTCATGTACTCGCGTGTCACCAGGCTTTCATGTACTCATGTCTCACACACCTCGTTTGCCCATGTTCCGAGTGGGACAGGGGTTGATGAGGTAGTCAATGAATGGGCTGGGGATATGAGGCTAGCCCCCTTCTGCCCGCCTAGCTCTCTACCTATCCTCTTTCTGGTTGTTCAGCAAACATGTGCTACGACGAGGACAATGACCAAGCATGGCTGTCATTTATCTCAGTCTGACGCTGGTGACCTGGGTGCCTATGGAGATGAACATGGGACGTGGGATTCCCTATTTGAGCCAAGCTATGGACATTTTCTCCGCCTTCTTTATATTTGACATCTCGCCTTGCTTGACCTCACTTCCTTGCACTACAGATCCATCCATCTCTCCTATGGTACCTTTTACTTTTCAGCCTTGGAGGAGGTACTTCCCTGCAAAGGCTTTTGTGTCATTCGCCGACTGGGCTGCGACCAATGGCACACACACCTGAATCTCTCGCCCGTATGCTATACCTGATTAGGCACCTCCTTCTTGTTGTTCCCACTGTGTCTTGGTTTGTTTTGACAGAGATGAGCGTATCTTGCCTCTAGCAAGCCCGAAGGAAGGACGATGATGCTGTGTGAACGCCATCGGTTCAGGTATATGCCATGTTTTCTTTTTCTTGCATTTCTTCCGTGGAAAACGGGCAACAAGTCTGTCTACGATTAGTCCGGTCAAGGCACATGGGACATGAGCAGGAGAAATATTCCTTTCCTCAACACCATTCCTCATATGCTTTCTGGTAATGTTCATCAGAGAAACGGAAGACAGTCGGCCATCGGGCGAGGGCGAAGTTGACGCACTGTTTTCCCATCATCCTATCAGACTTCACCCATCTCCCCTCCTGGTGGTTGCGATCGAGACCTGCCTTTGATACGTATGGCGCACCAGAACCCCCACCACTCCCCTGCTTTCCTCACAAGGAGAGAGATCTGCCTGCCAGCATCCGACTAAAGGTAGCTTGACTTTGCGAGCCCTTCTTGGTCTTCCTGCTCCCATGTACCTCTCCCTCAAAGTTGATGCTAGTATCACAAGCGATGGCGGGAAGGAAATCTTCAACTGCCACAACAGCCGTCGCCCTTCTTTGACAGCGGAGCCAAATCTCGAAACAAAAACGCTTTCACGCTATTATGACGCTTCATAACCTCGTCTGCGCAACCTTTAGCTTGCTCAAAAACCCAGCATATGGCTGACTGGTCCAATCAGCCACTCCGAATTTTTGTGCACTTGCACTTTGCTGTACCACAGCTGGGGTCCCGGATTCATGCAGAAATGGACAGCGGTTACATTTCCTTTTTCCCTTGCCCTTCAGCATGGCAGTAAGGTGGGCTTCCGATGGCTTCTTCCTAGAAGTACCCTCGCTTCAGTGCTAGTGCCAGGATGAGGCTGGGACCGGCCGCACTGGCGAAGCCAACGAGGAAACAAGCGTCCTCCTACACCTCGCCATGCACCCTAGCTGGGTACGCCCTATACGCCTGACATAGGGCAGCCCATGCCAAGGAAACAAGCTGGGGTATGGTTTGGCATCATGTTAGAGTATACCCGGTACAATACGGTCTTTCAGAGGCTGTAATATACTAAACTAACCATTTCCTGACGAGATCATACTGTACAGAGATTGCCTAGTGCTTCTTCTATGAGAGCGAGGAGCCTGACTGCCCTGGCCCAGTGGCTAGACTGCACGATGAAAGTGACTACAACAAACAGAGCATATGTCCGCGGTTGGTTCGTGCTCAAATCTGGCAGGGGGGCTTGTTGACTATTCTGCCATCAGAGCATCAAGACAACCAGGTGAGACCGAGGACTTATAACACTATGACATCTCCTGCAACACCTCTTCTCCGTTTCTGTATCCGTCTTGTCTCTCGTTTCTTTCTCTTTGACTTTCAAGACTTCCAGGTCACTGCCTTTCTCAGTTCGGTTGGATTTCATATCAACTTGGCTTCCAGATCACTCACCCTTCATATCAACCGAGCAACCCTCGACGTAATCGATCAGTCTTTAATCACTTTCCGCCTGCGGCACGGCATCCTCTCGCTTTATCGCATTACCATACGTTCAAGCCCTTCGTTCGAGGATTCCCCCAGTCAGACAGACTTGGTCCGAGAGACAGAGACACGGCCTCCGTCACCCGAGTTTTATAGATTCAAGACATTACTACAGCCGTACAGACATACACGACGCACGCACGACTTAAACGTCCGAGTTCACAACCTCTTCACACCGAGGTCAAGTACGCGAGTAAGCGACCTGTCAGGTTGGTCTTTGTCCTTCCCCTTTTTTTCCCAGTCCTTTCAAGTTGCTCTCCTCTTGGTTATCCGGGGTTGTGTATCTATAATAGGCCTTTTCGTGCCTGAGTTCCGGGCTGCTGGGCACAAGATAGCCTCGGTGTGTGTCGGTGTGTGTCGGTGTGTACCAAATCAAATGAACCAGGTCCTGGGAGAGGGGATGCTTTGAAGGGAGGCGAGAAAAATCCGGAGTGAGAGTGAAATGAAAAGGGGGGGGGGAGTGTGTGGCACAAATTTTGACTGGCAGCTTTAGCATGAACACTCGCTCACAAAAACGTACGTCAACCAGGTCCCGGGTCTCCTATCTAGTAGCTGGAGCGCAACACAAGACACGCATACCTTACGCATTAGGGTACCTAGACAACCATAGACACCACCTTCTCAGTCAGGCCACCGAGGGATTCTGAGTCTGTTCTCACACCAGCTCTTCTTATCGGGCTTAATCTACCTTGAACGATTGAGTCGAGTCCGGATCAAGAGCAATCAGACAGAAAGGATTCAGTCCAGAGTCTGCCCCATCTGCATTTGGCGCTGCTGTGTCTGATCACCATCCACTCAGAACACATTCACCCCGCCTTCACAGCTCCCAGGAGCCCAAACCAAACGATCAGTTTCTTCGTGCCTTTCCACAGCACTGTCACTTCTCTAGCAACGATTCACATCCCTGTTACCAGCTGCAGCAGTTCGCAAAGCTCGCCCTGCAGCACCTCACCCCTACGAGCTACCACAGCCGAGCAAGTCTCTCAGGACCTACCCACCACTGCCCTCTTGCAAGGATCAGTCCCTGATCGGTGTCTAACAACGGACGCCCAGGCGGAGCTTTAAGGCTTTTGATCGCCATCAGAAATCTGACACGGAGAAATCTTATCAGTTCGGGCCCAAAGGCAAAGGGTTTGGAGCAAAAATCCGATCAGGCAAAACAGGAAAATACAGCACGGTTTTGAGGTTGAGCTCAGTGTGGCTGGACAGACATTAGACGAGACAACATACGGAAATGGTGTCCCAGACCTGCTATACCCCTCCCCATCACGGTCACCACACACACAATCAAAGACGATATAGTAGTCGCGCCGGCCCTCCTTACTTTTGTCACGGCGGTCCATATTCTACCGAGCAACGTAGGAGCTACTCTTCTTCGGAGCACCACTCTGCCGACCCCCACCACGGACATCACTCGCAAGGGAGAATAGGCTCAGCATCTGCTGCACTTGGTGTTGGAGCTCTTACCATGTCTGATCAAGGATCTTCGTCAGCGAGGGATTCGGAGTCGCAGCCGCAGAGGAAGAGGATTGCCGTTGCTGTAGGTTGAACCACTTGAGCCCCTTTCGCCTCACTTGGACCTCACCTTTCGTTGAGAAAAAAAAAGACTGACAGCCATCAGTGCGGACGTTGTCGCAAACGCAAGATCAGATGCAGCGGTGACCCGGGCCAAGGTCAACCCTGTACGAACTGCAAGAATGCAGGGGCAGATCAGTGTCTGTTTCTTCGGGTTAGTACATACTGTCCTTGCTTCTTCGGGTCCGTTTGCATCACCACCACTAACCCTTCTTTTTTACGCCACAGGTCTCCTCCCGCGACATTCCCTTGAAGCATGATGCATCTCCCGATTTCGGCTACTCCGTCGATGACGCCCGCCTCTATGCCAACCGAAACACCATGAGCCCGGCCTCCATCCACTACGGTCAGCATCCCGGCGCCGTTGGCGTCAGCGGCCTCCCTGGCACAGCGGAAGATTCTCTCATGGCTCAGTACGGTCGTGGTTACGCATACGGTCACCATCAAGCTCCGCCGCCGACCAGTCACAAACAATACTTCCCTGCCACAACCTCATACGCCTCATCCCCCAACCCTTACGGTGATCCTACCACAGTGGGCGTGTCCAGCCAGTTCGGCGATTATACTGCAGCGGGATACCCGCCTGTACATGCTATGGCTCATGAGACGGTGGGTATCGTACCTAGCTGGGGTTCTGCTGCCAGAAAGACCCCTTACGGTGGAGTGTACATGGACTCAGCTTCCGAGTCTTACGGGGGGTACGGAAGCTCGAACCTCGTCCATCGTCCGGCACACCACGGTGCTCATCATGGCCACGGAACACCCACAACGGATTCCCAATCCCCTAATTTTTCTTTCTCCGGTGTAGCTGCGCCCCTACCCACGACCAGCACGGGTGCCGACCGGTTGTTGCCGAACCCCACAGCTGGCACCTCTCGCTCCTCTCTGCCTTACCCTGGCACAGCTATCAAGACCTCTCCACCAGGCGTCTCGAGCTCCCTCGCCGATGTCGCTGCTTCCGCAACTGCCTACGGGGGCTTCGATGGTCTCCCCGCGTCTTACGGATTAACTAGCACCGCCAGCGCTGGTCACTCGTCTTCTGTCCGATCCCACTCTACCTCTACAGATACCTACCACTCATCGGTTTCAGGAACAAGCGCGGGTGCTGGGGAACCTCAAAGCATTTTTGGCGAGGAGGGAAGAAGCTTGCAGAGCCAAGGGGCGGGATTCGATATGCACACCTATACCGCGGAACCGGTGCCGTCGGTTTCTACGGGTAACAGGAGGGACTCAGTTGGATCTTCAGCGACTGGTAGCGGAGCACTGTCCAACGGCCTGTCAAATGGACAGGCGTATGTGCCCAGCGAGAGTATGGTACAGGTCGGCCCTGATCATCATGCTGGCCATCAGGGGGTGTACGAGCAGCAACGTCACCAGGCGCTTGCTGATGGACACAGGAATTCTCTTGCGAGCCACCGCTGAGGCAGTTGTTCGGCAATCTCTTACCACATTAATACTCCCAAAAACTGGCAGGAAGTGGTTCTTTGTCGAGAAGACCCTACAGTACGTGTAGTAGTTTGGATAGTATCAGCAAGCTACATGTGTGTCTGTCTCTCCGAGCGGACATCTCAGGGTGGCGGTAGCACAAGATACAGGAATTGCAAATCACGGTATTAGGAGTATTGAAAGGCGTTCAGGTGGTACTGCGGCGTTACACAGACGGTTCGGGGCTTCGGGGAGGGGGGCAAAAAAAAAAAGAGCACGAATGCGGCCAGGAACTCTCAGCTTGGTCGAGGAGGAGGGGGATAGAGCACACAAAAAGAGGCAGAGGCCCAAGCAAGCGAGCAAGGCGGCGGCAGGGTAAGGGAAACCGGACACCGGACACGGGCAGGGACATTTGTCATGGTCATGGTCATGGTCATGGGCTTGGAGGAATGGGGAAGGACCAGACCTGACCAGCCAGCCAGCCAGTCTCGACTCAGGAGTCACGACATACACTATCTACCCCCGACCCCCGCCGCTTTGCCTTGCATTACGTCCGCAAGCAAAGCAATCCTAGGCAGAAAGTCAGGTATCATCATCATCATCACAACACTACCTCTACCAAGTAAGGGGTATCACTGCTCGCACTGCTGCATTCATTTCATATTCATTTTCTCTTTGTCATTGTCAGAAAGAAGAAAAAGATTCGTTTGTCTTTGTCTATTGCTTAAAACTGCTATTACACCTACCTTAGTACAGTCGGAATTTCTTACCTCTTTCATACCTTCTTCACTTTGGGGCGTCTTGTTTCTTTTTTTTTTTTTTTTTTTCGAGTCTCTTTTCCTTGAGGGATATTCGGTCTCTTTTCCTTGAGGGATATTCCCGTGTCGTCGTCTGGTTCTGGTTTTCGGTTTCTAGTTTCGTTTATTCGAGTCTGCATGTGTTCATTCCAGTCTCGCGCGGTCAAGGTAGATACAAACAGCAATCATACCATACCATACCATACCATACCATATCATAACGTACCATACCGTACCTAGTTTAGTTTAGTGTAGTTTAGTTTTGTTAGGTAAGGTACCAATTTCTCATCATTACCTTAGTTAAGGTAGAGAGAGCTCTTGAAAGTACAAGTAATGCCATGATTAGGTAGTCTGCCTATTCTATCATCTCTTACTTTATGTCTATAGCTGTCTTAGCTGCCCGTGCCTTGATTGAGAACTGGCTGGAACAGGCCAAACCGGGCATTCCATTCTTTCCATTCCCTAGGTACAAGTAAGCCCGGCCAGGCAGCACAAAGCGCCAGCGGGTACCGAAGATATTAGTAACCGTGATTTCTACCTTGTGTATTCGGGAACTAAGACTTTTTCTTCTCCCGAACCCTTCTCCCGTCTCCACGTCTCCCGTACCTTACTAACCTTCCCTTCTTCTCCCGTAACCGTCAAGGTCCATTCTCCCGCCTCTTTGACCATTTCCTCCGATGTCTGTTGCCTTCTTGTTCCGTTCCGTTCCGTTCCGTTCCATTCCCCCCCCCCCTTTTTCCAGACGGTATCTCTACCGTTTTTCGTCTGTCAGCAACAAAGGCCGGTACAAGAAAGGCCGGTGCTAGTACCAAACGGAAAGGCATGCATGCTTCATGAAAGCAAGCAACGCCATGATAACGTCGTGACAATGTCGTGATCTCATTTCGTCTTGTGTGGTGTGGTACACATGATATTAATGACATTGCAAAGATGGGGCATGGGGGTTATGCCGTATGCGGTTGTGACTGGGGAGCTTAAATGGGGGTTGAATGGGGTTTTGGTGTTTGTTTACTCCCGCAGTTCCTCTCGAGTCTACTTGTCCAAACTCACTCCAAATATACTTACCCTAGGTACTGTATACCGTTTACATCTAATAGTCCAACGCGTGCAGCTTTGTAAAGGAGTGGATACAATCTCCGAAAAAAAAACTTCGACTGAAAATGGCACAACTATGGAAAAGGAGGAAGAGACCCTGACTGGACTGGACCTGGACCGTAGCTGGGCTGGACCGTACCTACCTCTAGAGGTACTAATTCCTACTGGGTTGGCTGGCTGGATCCAAATCGCCAATGAGCAATAGCTTGACTTTGTAGGTAAAAGAGGCTACATGTACACAATCTATTTCTGAAACGCGCGGGAACTTGCAGATCGGTCGTGCATGTTGAGATATCGCTTTGCAGCATTTGCCAGCATTTGCGGTATATTAGCTGCATGCATGGAGATACGGGGATACGGGGATACGGGGCTCTAGTGCTCATGAGACCTAGACGGACCCGCCCCTGCCCCTGCTGTTAATACCTCTATCGTAGCGTTTTCAGAGTCCAGGCCGGGGCATGGTGGGAAGCATACGGTAGGCGAACATGGAGCGAACTTGAAGGGCAGCGGAAAGAAGTGAGTGTGTGGTGACGATTGAGCCACTTTGTGCTTGGTGGGTAAGGTAGCGAATGTTTTACTGGGATGACTCGGATGAGTAAGGTAAGTGAGGCCGGATAGACTAGACTGCTAAGATCAGCGAATCAGATAAAGGTTGCGCTGATCTATTGATTTGATCTAGACTGCTCTGGCTCTTTCAACACTGGACTGACTGGAGCGAGCAAACCCCTATCTTGGGAGGCATTCCGGGTTCTAGGATTTGGGTCTGTCTGCTGCCGTCTAGGTCCGTTTAGTATCGTCTGGTGCTGTCTTCTAGAGTCCATCTAGGTCCGTCTAGTTGCCATCTGGCGTCCGGGTCCGGGGTCTTGGGAGCTTGACTTGACTGGTAGGGTACGCCGCACGCGGGCATGTCTTCATGTCATGTCATGACAGAAGATGGGCGTCTGATGTGCGAGCGGGTACTGGGCGTTGTCTAGGGACAAATCTATACGTAGGTAGGGTAGGCATCTGTAGATGTAGATGATCTATCCGTCAACTTTTCAAGGCTGTCCAGGGGAACGCACTTACAGATGCTTGACTTGACCGGAGTATGGCACAGGACGGATTGTTTGATGCTGGTAGTAGCTTGGGAAGAATGTAGCAGGGTACCGCGGATTACTTCCCCATTCAGAAGTCTTGCGACGCTCAAGTTTCTCCCACTGCTGACACGGTGACTTGGAGGGCCTGAGCTAGAGGTACTCGTCAGCGCATGGCAAGGCAAGACGCAGCGACCTGCCTAGGTACCTCTGGAAGCTCTTGAGATAGGTAAGGTACCAAGCACCATCAAGGCGAAATCAAGGCAACACCAGCCGCACATTGCATTTCCGAGAGCGGCGCGGCCCTCTTCTCTTGTGCGACTGGACTGGACTTGTTGGTTTCATCCAGTCCAGGCCCAGCTAGGCTCAGTTGTACCTGCAATGGGTAAGGCGAACCAGCCAAAGCCCAGTTCCTCTCTCCCATCCACCCTTCACATCCTTCGGGAAGAAGGCAAGGGAACTTGAAACTCGTATTCATCTGCTGGCGTTAGCAGACTTCATGCATAGAGGGACCAAGCAACCTATCAGTGACTAGAGGGGAGTTATGTCATCTAGATGGTCTGGGCCATCATGATCTAGTGTCCCCCTTCTTCGTTTGTATCATCCCATTATATCGTCATCTCGCAGTTCAACAGCAATTCCCTAATGCAGACAGCGGTTGCATTGACGGGAGACTGGAATGTTCCTTGCAAGGACGAGGATTCATGTACTGACCCGCTTCCGACACCCAAGACAAGACAAGACAAGACAAGAGAAGACAAGACAATCATGCCCGTCCTCGACAACAGCAAGCAGTGGAGGACAGAATAGGAAAACCCGGGCGGTAAAAAGGGAGTAGGGACCGAAAGACGTTGCCTACCCCTGAACTGGGCCACGGGCGGACAGGGACGGGGAGACAGGGAAAACAAGGAGATGTATGCATCGACCGGACCGGGAGATAAAGCGAGAAAGCAGATAGGCGACACAGTACAAGTGGGACGACGACTTTCGACTGTAGGTCAACATGTTAAACCCCCCATGCCTAGGTGAACGACGACCCCCGGACATTGCCTGTGTCGCCGGCTAGCCACCTCCACCAACAAGTATGAGTGCTCGCTTCTTGCTTCCTGCAGTTCCGGCACACACAATGTCATGGGATGTCGTGTCGGGGAGCTGTTGAGGAGTACTGTGTAGATGTCGTGAGATCTAGATGAACATCGCTTGGATGCTGTGTATCACCATTCACCCATCCTGTAATCCCACTGCACGCTGTGCTCAACGGGGATTCAAGGCTTAGCCCATGTTGGGCCTAGCGTGCCGGCCTTCCAGTTCCAGGCCGGGAAGAAACTTCACTTGACTCGGATGATCGATTCGGATTCGGTATGCCGTCCCTCCTAAGGGTTGGTAGGTCCGCCGGTCGTGCCGCCCTTGAAGTCGAGGGACAGAACTCGAGGGCCCGTGGTGGCCCGTGGTGGGGGTTCCGGTGCTGTCCATGTCTGCCTGTGCATGTGCTCGAATGCCCGTGGCCGTGGCCCATGGGGTAGACTGGACGTTTTCGCACGGTATGGTCATTCATTGTCTAGATTACCTGGGTATCGGCCTGTCGCGTCTTTTGTGAGAGTAAAGCTCGTGGGCCTAACGTCGATAGCCGGTACCAATCGACATTGGATCGCGGTTTGGTGCATTGGTTTCTTGCGTTTTTGTTAGTGGTGCGCCACGTTCAGTTGTGATGAAGGATGACCATGTCATTTGTCTAGTGTAGAGTTTTCGGTGTCATTTGAGTTGAGTTGGAAGAGCGTGCTTGATTCCACTCCAAGATGTCAAAGCGATGTGTTTCTCTGAAAAGAGCAAGTGTCAACGTCGTCCGTTAACTGCCAAGCCTTCAAGGAGGTTGCGCCGAGGGCACACGTGACTGCACTGAACGGGAATGAAATGTGGATCTGTGACATCCAAACTCCAAAGTCCAAACTTCGAACTTTGGAGTCGCTGAACTTCTGTCTGTCAAACCGACCGCCGTCACCACCACACCATTGCCTCACTGTGCTGCCGGCAGACCACATACAACAATGGCTCGAACGACCCAAATAAAGCGCAAGCATATAAAAATTGCTCGCTTTTGCCGGCAATACCTCCAGCTGGAGCCTATCGTGGACTTCCCCGACGGCGAATACCTGTGCGATGCATCCGTGCAAGAGACACTGTACGAGCAGCTGTTCAGTGAGGACCTCAAGAACCCGGCGCCTGTGCGGTACCAGCTGAGAATCCTGAAGGAGCTGGTAAAGCGGATTGAGGGAAGTATTGAGGATTGGGAATTATATGTAAGTTTCTGTAATGGTCATTTGTCCTGAATGTGTCGCCGGGGCTTGAAGTGAGAATGTCTCGGCTGGCTGCTGGCTGCTGCAAAGATAAAGTTACCTACCTCCATCCATCTCGTAGCAAGTTTCCTCACCAAGCATTTCTCTTGCAACCATTTATTAGGGCCTCTCGGACAATCTCTACACAAGATTATCCCATCTGCTCTCGCTGCAGTTACCCTCCGAGGCCGATGCCGCGCAGCAAAAGTGCTACGTCACTTACCACCTGTCTCTTCTTGGTGCCGGTACTGGTCATGCCGAAGAAGATGGCGATCCGGAGTCAGAGTCGGCCCGTGATGTGCCGGTCCTAGGAGACAAAGCCCCCCACATCACCCTCCTAGAATCCCGCAACCTCATCGCCGCCTCCGGCACCACCGGCCTTCGCACATGGGAAGCTTCCCTCCACCTAGGCCAATACCTTCTCAGGCACCCTTCTCTCGTCCGCGGCAAGCGTGTTTTGGAGCTAGGCGCAGGAACAGGCTACGTCTCCATCCTTTGCGCCAAGTATCTCGGCTCCAAACACGTCATCACCACCGACGGTTCCGACGAGGTCGTAGCCAACCTGCCCGATAGCTTGTTCCTCAACGGACTACAAGGCTCTGATGCCGTCCAGCCCATGGAGCTATGGTGGGGTCACGCGCTTGTCGGCACCGAAGAGGAGAAATGGAACGGAGGACGGGAAGTGGACGTGGTGCTGGGCGCGGATATCACGTATGATAAGAGCGTCATTCCGGCGCTGGTGGGCACGATTGACGAAGTGTTTGGGTTGTTTCCCAGGGCGGAGGTGGTGATTGCCGCGACGGAGAGGAATCGGGAGACTTATGAGAGCTTCCTGAGTGTTTGTGAGGGCAGGGGGTTGGAGGTTGTTCATGCGGAGTTTCCGGTGCCGAAGAGGGAGGAGCAGACTGGGCCTTTCTATAATGATTTGATGCCGATACACATTTGTCAGTTGAGGCGGAAGTAAGGGTTCTTGGTGGTGGTCGTCGTAGGGAGCTTGATGGAGCTGGAGGGAGCTGGAGCTTGACGCCCGGGTGGTGTAATTGATAGGAGCTTATCGGTCAACCTTGATGGCCGTCTGGCGTATGGCTCCACGCCGTCGCATTGTCTGCTTGTCTTCAACCTGAACAGCAGAAACAACAGTAAAGAGAGAAAAAAGAAGAGATTGAACAGCGCTCCTTATTGATATATGTGTGCTTTCATGAAGAAATGAATCATCGAAGCGACCAAGTGGCATCACCCTCGCGAGTGTTGCTGGCTGAGGGGATGTTTGTCAACATGTTGACTTGGACGACTGAGAATGGCCCAGCAACGAGTCCAAGGCTGGGGTTTGGCAGTGGAAGTACATGGTCCGTGCACAGTAAAAGTCCTGGCGCACGGCCCACTCCCACCAAAACAGCAGCAGCGCCAAGATTTAACCCTCATATCTCAGGCCACAACTTCCACAAGATTAGGGCTTGCACCCAATTAACCGACACGGGAGTGGAATTTTCTGAGTGGCTCCACCAGAGCCTGCGAGTTGCCCCGTGCGCTGGGACTGCAAAAACACCAAGTTCAAAAAAAGCACAACCCGCTCCTCCAGCTTTGCACTTCTCGGTCTTGATCGTCAACTCGCCCGCAAGACACCAAGATGGCTGACTCCGACTCCCCCGTCACCCTGCGCACTCGCAAGTTCATCCGCAACCCTCTGCTTGGCCGCAAGCAGATGGTCGTGTACGTTGCCCTCGATCCGTGATGAAAAATGGACGACAACGCCGTCGCAGCAGCAATTCAGTATTGGATCTTTTGATGTGTACCACCTTCACTTGTCTTTCACAGAGCATATCCGAGCAAAAACTTCCATCGCGAAGTCCCACCGAAGCAAATGCGACAAAACCACCGACAAGAAACACTCTTTCCCCGAGATGAGCGCGATCGATCGAGTCAAGCATGACCCCATATCCAATCCATCCACATTTGTTACCCTGCGAAATTAGCAGCCTTTGATGCTCAAGAGGTTCAGAAAGAGATGGGAAACAAATTTTGGGCTTGACCCTTGCAGAGAAAGACTTGCGGTTTCGCTGGGGATCATGATGCGGATTGCGATGATGGGCAAAACAGAGACAAGAAAGATACTTGCAACCATCCCGGTTCGAGTGGTGGTCGGTGGTTTTGTCGCGTTCGCTTCGGTGATCGTGATACAAATCTGAGGGAGGCGGAGAAGGAGACACATCAAGTCCAATGCTGCTTATTTGCTATGCGCGGTTGTTGCTCCCTCAACAACTTAGGACAGTCTTGCTTACTCCTGCTTTTTTTAACACTACAGGGATATCCTCCACCCCAACCGTCCTAACATCTCCAAGGACGAGCTCCGCGAGAAGCTGGCCACCCTCTACAAGGCCACCAAGGACCAGGTCAACGTCTTCGGTCTCCGCACCCAGTTCGGTGGCGGCAAGACCACTGGCTTCGCCCTCGTCTATGACTCCCCCGAGGCCATGAAGAAGTTCGAGCCCCACTACCGTCTTGTCCGTGTCGGCCTTGCCTCCAAGATCGAGAAGGCTTCTCGCCAGCAGCGTACGTCTCCTCCCCCGGGTACCACCCCCAACTACAGGTTAGCTAACACCCCCAACAGGCAAGCAGCGCAAGAACCGCCAGAAGACCCTCCGCGGCACTGCCAAGGTCAAGGGTGCCAAGCCCAAGAAGGAGAAATAAGCGTATCGCTCTCCTTTGTGCTTTGTCGTTCTTCTCTATTTCGCCGGGTGTTTGCGAGGGTGTGCATTCTGTCTTGCAGTGCATATGGGGCTTCTTTCTCCGGCAGTCCATCTGCCGCCTGCAAACCTAGTCAGCATTTGGGATTCATTCGGAGGCGTGACGGTCGGGCTTTCAGGGATTACGGCGACATAGCATACAAATTCAGGGGTGTTTTGCGTGGCAACAAAAAACATGATCAACAACTTGTGGTTCCTGTGATCGATGATGTCTTCAACGTTCGTTTGGTTTGGACGAGTGTCCTGTCTTTTTACCTGCCTTTTACCTACCTCCCTCTTTCCCCCAAGTGGTCGACCTGGGTCTCGCAAAAACCGCGATCGTGCTCTCCCATTCTGCATTCCATCAGTTCCACCATCTTCCCACATACCTCCATCCTCAGCCTTTTCTCCATTCCTTCCGGATGACCCTTCAAGACCTTTCATGTGAAGACCTTCCCCAGATCCAGCCGCGACCATGACGCCCCAAAAGACGATGCGAGGTCTCCCTCTCAACTCCTTCGACTTCTCCAATTCCTTGAACCCCTTCCCCATCCACCCCCTCCGTCTCAGTACCAGTACCAGTACCAGTACCAGTACCACCACCACCACCACCACTATCCTCAGCCTCCCTCCGACTCTCACCGTTCCTCCCTTCACCGCCCTCCCTACTTCTCACAGCCGGATCCAAACCGACCGCCAACGGCCTCGAAAGATAGCGATAAACCCACCTCCCCACTCTCACACTAACCACCCCCTCCTCATCTGCACCAAGCCCAAGCCCAGTTGCATGTCCCCAAGCCGGCCAATACCCATCACCCTCTGTCACAGTGTAACTGTGTAAGTCACTATCAGGGAAGAAAAGCCCGTGGCCGTAGGGGGGAAAGGGGCCGTAGTTGGGCAGGGAACGGATATTGGTGTTTGAGGGGATCGGGTTGGGGTTGGGGATTTGGTTGGGAGTGGTGTTATGGTTGGGAATGTAGATGTGGGTGTCTATTTGTGTTTGTGGTGGGAGTGGGGGGAGGGGGAATGACACCCAACTCGGAGCGGCTTGGGCTGGGCCTGGTTGTTCGGTGGTGGCAGCAGAAGGAGTGGTTGTGGCTGTAGGTGTTGGTGTTGGTGTAGTCGTCATGGCTATGGGTGCCGTTGTCGTTGTCGTTGTCGTTGTGGTCTCGGAACTTCGATCTGCGTCTTGCTCGGGGTCGGGGTCGGGGTTGGTGTTGGTGTTGGGGATAGGCACCCTCGTACTTGCTGGGACTGGGACAGGTACCGCATGCGCCAAAACAGGCGAACTGGGCATCTCCCAAACCAAAGGCATGGGTTCACATTCCGCTACCAATCTCGCTGGCGACGCTGGTCTCGTCGGGCCGACACCCATGGGGGAGTTACTGCGCGTTGCATCTGCTGAGCTTGGCGAGCTGGTCAGCAGCGAGGGGCGAGGGGAGTAAATGGATGGGGTGAACTCCAAGCCTGGATGTATGATAGGGCGGGTGGTTGTGGAGTTGGGGGTTGGAAATGAAGGGGGAGGCAGGCTTGATAAAGTTGGGGAAGGCGATGGAGCTGATGACCTGATGTAGCGGGAATTGACGGGCTCGATATCTGTGGTCTCGGTGTCGGTCTGGGTAGGCACGCTGGTCTGGCCTTGAGTGTCTGTGGTGTCGGTCTGAGTACCGCTAGACGCGTTGGTCTGGCCTTCAGGGTTTGCCGACAGAGATGACGGTACCGGTGAGCCTGTCCCTGAGGAAGTGAAAGCCATTTTGGAGGCTCGGATTACAGCCAACTGGTGGACTAATAATCTGCTGTTGATCTTCCTTTTTTCCTGTGGGTCTGGTTTGGTCAAGTCGACTGCGAAACAGATGGCCCTCTTGCTGTAAGTTCAAGTTTACGAGAGAGCCTGCGAGGGAGGAGGAGGGCCTTTATGGAAAAAAAGGTATCGTCCTGAAGATGGATCATGAAGACAATCGGGTGGTTTTCCTTCGCACGACATGACGCCTCGGCGTGCGTCGTGGCTTGATGATACATTCGTGTTGTTTTGAGGGATCACGCAGTTCACGGACGGGGATGAGATCGAAGGCAGAGTCAGAAGCAGTCGGCTGCGATGGTTCATGCTCATCATGCTGAGGAAGACAAGTCATGCTCAGAGAAGGGGAGGAACGGAAGGAGCTGACAGTGAGACATGTGGTCCAGTGTCCATGGATGGATTCAAACCCTGCGAGCCTGGTCAATGAATCACTTGCCGGATTTTGTCGACTGGATCGGAACGATTCACTACCCTCGACAGCTGCGAACATCACGCATCGTCACGCATCTCACGTACCTCAGGGAGGCGTTTCCTGGATGGCCTGGCGGACAGCCACTTCACCTCAGCATTGTCGCTATCACTGCACGGCTTGACCAGGAGCTTGAAAGAGAATACTCGTGTATTCTAATCTATACGACGTCCCTGTTTCCTTCTTTAGGGAGGACGTTTTTTTCCACGGGTTATCTACTCTACGCCTCAAGCACGTTTCACTCATCGACTACCAGATTCCGCCCATTTTACCGATCTTCCCTTCTCTGTCCTGCCTTCTTCCATGAGCGATGACGCCCTCAGATTTCCTCTCACACAGACCTATGTCCGGAGCTGCGACCAAAAACTCGCCGGTGACTCAACCGTCAAGCCACCGGGTGAACCAACCGGAGAACTTACCCCGACACCACCCTCTGGGTGATCGCTCGAAGAACCAACAGGAGAATACCTTCTCGACCCCTCTGGCGTATCGTAAGGGGACACCGGCAAGGGTCCCCAAGGCCAAACAGGCTTCATCGAACAGATGTTGACGCTCCGCTCTTCCTTCACGTCGTATGCTCCATCAATCCGCCGGACTTTGTACCAAGGGCCGTTGTCAGTGTCGTCGTCATCCTCTTTCCGCTCCTGGTTCAGTTCAAGGCTGATGTTGAACCTCCGGGGACAATCAACCGCGGGACCGGTCCAGATACAAAATCCATCGTTCTGGCCCCGGCCGGAAAAGGGGTAACCGTTCATGGCGCTACCCCAGAGGTAGAGGCTGACGGGCGTGTTGTTGAGGTCCGGTGGACCGGAAGGTCTCGATGGTTTGGGATGCTGCTCTGGATTGGACAGGCCGGCGGGGATAACTGAACGGGGAGCGGCTCTGATGACTGAGCATTCTGACAAGTGGGTAAGGTCTGCGTCGTTGACCTGGTGTTGGGGAGGGTCCGTCTCTTCAGAGTCCGGCAAGTCACCGGGCGAACCAGGCTTGGACTCAACCGACGCTTCAACCGATGCTTCAACCGATGCTTCAACCGGTGCCTCAGTCGGCGCCTCAACTGGTAACTCAGCGGGCGATCCTGGCGAGGTTTGATCGAGTGGCGCAGGTGTCGACGGTTGCCACGGAAAGACGCTCCTGGTTGCATCAACACGTAAATGCTGCAAGTGTCTCTCGCTGCTGCTGTCTCTTGAGGCAGTGCAGTACGGGATGGGCTGTCGTTGTTGGTTGTGTCGGTCCTCTTCATTCTTGTCCTCTTTTGGCTTTTCGGATTCCTCTCTCTCTTCCTCTGTGTCCTTCTCCTCCTCCACTTGTTTCTCTATGTTATCACCGTGCATGTCGCCAGTCAAATCGACGTAGATGATAAACTTCCGGGGACACTCGGCTGCGTTTCCGGAGTAGATTACGATCTCATCAGTCCCATCAAGGGTGGAGAACGGGTAGCCGTTGATGAGGCTGCCGGAGAGACTGAGTGTCGCGGGGATAGAGGAGAGGTCGAATACGCCAGGAACTTTGATAGACACCGAAGGGATGTCTAAGGCAGAGGTGGGGGCGCTCGGGCCGCTGGGAACGTCGGGCACGAAGGGGTTCGCGTTGAGATGCTGGGGGCTGCTCATCTCTTCCAGTCGAGAATCAGGAGTGGGCGAAGACATCTTGGAGAGGCGAAAGGCAGCCTACCGGTAGACTACCCTCTTGTCTGCTGGGGGTTGATATTGCTGGGTGCTACTCGAAGAGTGTCCCTACCGAACAGATTGAGAGATGTCAGCACCGGTTACCGGTCTCAGAGTATGTGGAATAGCGAAAGGAGGATGTTCTTAAATAGGAGGAGATGCATCCTTTCCGGGGCGGCGAGGTGAAGGGATCCCCATCACTTCTCCTTGGGTGATCTTTGGTGACAGTTGCTTCCATTGGTGGATGGCTGGGTGAAGAGGTGGGCAAACCGGCCTGCAAACTGCCTGGAACGAGATCGAAGGGAGACATGGCGATAGCGAGGTATGAGTCCGACATGATGGCACACGGTTTTTGTTGAGATCAGAATTGAGGCCAATGGAAAATTGACTGGTGATCGGTAGGGTCACTGGTTGCGACAGGCAAAACCCGAGATGTTGATGATGGGGAAGAAGGCGAAATGCCCCGAAAGAACCCGACAGCAAGTCATCGAACCCAAGAATCACGCGGCAGGTAAGATTGGTTCCCAATATACGGTAAGAATATGCGTTGGAGAGCAAGGTACGATTATCCAATGTGATGCACTCACAGGGGCAGTCAAGGAAGCCATCATGGACAAGCGGGAAATTGCCCTTATCGGGCTTGTTCACCATTATCTTCGCGCACAAGAACCTTGATGGCCAATATTGGTACCTCTATTCTCATTCTGACCGATTTTGGCAGCCTCACTTCCCGACGTCCCCATTGGCAACACATCACGACCTCCTGCTCCTGAAGTTCGCGCCAGTTACCATGATCCATCGCCATTCATTGCGCGCCGCCTTGATTTCTCTCCATCGCTCCATCCACGGCCGACCACGCCATCCGATCTGAATTCAACCTCCTCGATTTATCCTTGGATTGGAGCCACTTCGAGTCACCTCCTCAGTTATGCTTAGGCGATCCAGGCGGCGTAGGGGTCACATCCCTCTCCTCTCCAACCCAGTGAAGCTGAATGGTGAAATCATATGGACCGTTCTCCTCTTCGTCAAGCGACGTCCAGTCTGAGTGGGCTTCCTCCGACGAGCGAGTAGGCGGCTTTGGCTTCGGAAGGGTAGGAATCGGGGCGCTAGGGACCGTCGGGATCGGCTCGCCGTCTTCGGCACGAGAAGGGGCTTTGGCCTGGGAAGAGTTGGGATGGGGGCGCTAGGGACCGTGGGGATAGGTTCGCCGACAGTGTTGGCGGTGGGGTAGGTTTTTGGCGGTCATTTTGATAGTTGGTTTTAGGTGCCGAGTGGTTTGCGGTTTTTGATGTCTGGTTGGAGACGGGTTTTGGGCGGTTCCTGGAAATTGTTGGTGTTGAGTTCTGGTTGGAGAGGGCCGGGAGCAGGATTTTAATACCTCTTCCTCGCAGGAGCTATCTTCTAACCTCGGCAAGAAGGTGAAGGGATTCTTGGTCAATCTTGGCTGGAGGTGATAGTCTGTCACAGCGTCGCCGTTTGACAAGGCCACGTCCGTTGGTGTTTATTTTCGTGGCGTGTGGGTTTGAAGGTGTATGAACAGTTCAATGACGAGATGAAAAGGAAAATGGGACAGCGAAGATGCCGCCAATATGACTCAGCGAGGCCGGCCTCGGAACACGAGGCTGGTAGTGGTTACCTTACTGAAAGAGGTCACCAAGACTGCTATGAGAAAAGAGAAGTGGAGGCCGAGTTCAGAAATATATTGGGAAGAACTGACAGATATACCAACAACATGAAGGCACAACACCTGTGTACGAGTACGACATTTCGCCATCGGTCGTAAGCCACGAAATGTCCCTCCTTATCGGCGACGTTAAACGAACCCCCCGATATCATACGGCCTGGCACACACTCAATGTCATACACGCGAAACATCAACATCCAGTCAATCTCCGGCTTGGATCCGCATGCAGGTACACTCCCTTATTCTGCAGGTTGCACTTCAGCGGTTCATTCTTCGAGATTATCTTTCACATGCCGCTTTGCACCGGAACCAAATATTGAGACGCGTCATCAACGGCAACGAAGGAAACAGATGACCGCGACATAAAGATCTGTTCAATTCTGTTCATCAGGCCAGGCCCCTTTTGCGTCGAGAGCTTCGCCTTTCTCTCCGTCCAAGCCTCGCGCTCACATCCCTCGCATTCCCATGTTACATATCCAACCCAACCGCTACCTTGCCGCGAATACTAGATCGGTTCCTCCGCACAATATCCCTCGGGGGCACACGCGAAAGAATATGCATCCTTCCACTACTCATTTCCCCCAAGCGAAGTTCTTCTCCAAATCTTCCAAGGTTTGTGTACCGGATGTATGCTGAGAGGTAGTCGAGCCGCAAAAACGACGCCAGCTGCAAGTGCAAGGCGGAGTGACATTTGTAGTGTTTTTATTGCTGTCACCACTGCTGGAGGCGGTTGTGGTTGTGGTTGTGCTAGCAGCGTTCGTGCTGGCGAGAGTATTTGAGCTCTTGTCGATTGATGAACCGGAGCTGGTGGAGGAGACCTCAAATGTGGAGGAAGTTTGGGAAATTGCAGTCAAGATCGAGTTGGTAAGAAGTGTATCTGGGTTTGATGGTATGTGGAGCGTTGGAGGAAGATATTTTGAGTTCGTGGAGGCGGTTTGGCTTCAGACTCGGCATAAAAGGGGAGTTCGTTCGTCAGAGTCGATGCTGAGGGAGCTGGTAACATGAGGTTGGAAATCATAGGCCCTTTTAACTCCGTCGGACAAGGGCACTTCATTGCAGGCGTGGGAGAAGCTGTCGCCGTCGAGCGTCCTGATTCAAGGTATGTGATGCTCGGTCAGTTACTTGCTTGCTGATGATTCAGCATGTCGTTGGTCCCATCCTTCTTCTGAGCCATCTCTTCGAACCGGGGTTGTACCAGCTTGGATACTGACAGAACCACCAGTTGATACTCAGGAGAATGTCATCAAAGTCAAATCAACACCAACTGAGGGCCGCATCTGATTAAGGCAAGACACCTGGATGGCTAGTTTCTTCCCTTCAGCCAGGCATGTCATTCCCATGGTCAAAATCTACCATGAAGAAGACACTTTCTGATAAAGAGCTATATGAATGCCCCCTATCCCCTTTTCTCACCTAAATAGCAATTTCTCAACATCGACAACACTTTATACACCAATCTCCTGAACACAACGCAACTACTATCACGACATTCTCACCACATTTCAAGATGTGCTCCGACTCCTTCTTCTCACAGACCCGATCAGAACCACCCTCACCATCTCCATCACCTTCACCAACTTTATCCCCCTCACCGCCCTCGCCATCCTCAGTACCCTTACCACCTTCCACAACCTCAACTCCCACCACCAGAAGTCCTCAAGTCTTCACAACCCCAGCCTCCTCCTCTCCCACCTCTTCCCAACCCTCTTCAGCTCCCAATTCCCATACCTCTTCCACCGAAAGCTCCATATTTGACCTCTCGCTATTCTTCTCACTCAACCCCGAACCAGCACAACTTCCCCGTGACCCCAGCACCGGCTCCAGCCCCGGCATGCCCTCTCCAAATCCATTCAACTCGGAATCGGAACCCCAATCAATCCCCCAATCCACGTCCAGCTCCCAAACCAGCGAAACCTTCGCCGGCCCTGGCGGTAGAGGTATCTGGTCCATCACAACGGAAGAATATCCTCGTCCTGGACAGGGACTGGAACTGGGACTGGGAGCCATGTCCGGCAATCTGCAGTCCACTGAGGAAACCAGTTCAGAAGAAAGCTTCATCTTTTTCACTAACACTGACGGACTGCCCATGAGTCCTCTGATGCCCTTTTCGCGGTACCGACGCGGGTTGTGGCGGATTGGACCGTCGAGTTCTGAGGGTGAGAGCTCGGAGACGAGTCCTGAGGGGTCAGTGTATTTGACTAGTTTTGCGCCTCCGGTGTTATCGCACGATGGTGTGAACGATGCTTCGAACTCTTCGAGCACAGAGAGTTCTCATGCGAGTCCGGAGGGGTCGAGTTACTTGGTTGCTCCTAGTTCCCCAATCGTAGGGGAAAATACTGTGAGCGGCGCTTTGCAGACCAGTGGCAGTTTCGTATCCCAGAGCAGCTTGAGGACTTCAGTTTATTTCAGTGCTCCTACGTCACCCATCCCTTCCCAGGCTAACCCCCAAGCTGCTTCCCCTAGCAATTCTCAACCCCCTCTGCTCACCAGCTTTAACCCACCACCTACTCCTGTCCTCGAAGTCAGAATGCCAATTCCCGGATCTTGGAGCTCTTCCCATCCCGGCTCTCCTACCTCTTCCGAGACTACTTCGCAAGATCCCTCCCAGCATGCTTCCCACACTTCCCAGACAACCTCCAGCCCCTACCCCAGTCTTATTCTCCACGTAATCATCATGCCTGGCTCTTGGGTTTCTTTACCTGGCTCTCCTATTTCTTCGGTTCCGGGATCGCCTGTTATTGAGGCGGCTAGGGACCCTATCAGTCCCATTACTTCCACGATACAAGAGGGCAGTGAGACGGACAATACCCCGGAGATTACCATCACCATTGCTGGGCTTAACATCTGCAATCCCACTGGTGCTGGCGCTGGCACCGACACTGACACCAGAGCCGAGGCAAGCACTAGTACCGACGAAAACAACAATAATGCCAACCTTGACTCGAGCAGCAACTCGAGAACTTTGGAGAGTGCCACTACTACCGGTAATAGAAACACGGAAGAACCTAATACTACAGAAGCGTTGACGCCTTCCCTGACCCTCACGCGCAGCTCCAGTAGCTCAAGTCTTTCCAGCACAGGTAGCACTCTGCCGCATTGTATTCAGCAATGAACGTGGAAGCGAGGATGGACTGGGCTTTGCAGAACTAACCTGACGGATTGATATGGGAATGAAATAGGAAGGAAATGGAAGTGGGAAACAAAGACTCTCCTGTCGGTGTAAGTTCCAAGGGAAACAGCAGGTAGATAGATGCCTAGGTACCTAGAGAAAAGTATATCAGACAAGTACATGAAGTAGAATGGATGAACAGGAATAGAATAAAGAAAGGGATATGTACCTCCACCTAATTGAGTCAATGACATGGACAGTACCTACCTCTACCCATCGCACATCTTCACCTACCTATCTACAGTCTTCTACACCTCTGGCTGGCTGGTAAGCAGCAAGCAGCAAACACCTACACACCAGAGTGATCAGACCAGAAGAGACAAGACCAAATCCTCAATCTCCAGCCCGGCCAATTCCCAACCAACCAAACCGCCAGCGGGGAATTGGGGAATGAATCATCAACCTAATGCGCACCTACCTTGAGCCCACCTATGTGTCATTTCCTCCCCTGGAATAATTCTCACGTGTTAAGAGACTATAGTCTAGGTCTACATTACAGGCCTCGCGGTCCAGGCTTGAGTTAGCAAACAGTATCACTACCCTAGGTAGCTACACAAAGTCCTCTAACAAAAGCCGATGCCCATGATTGGGAAATGTACCTATATAAACGTGTAGGCCTCCCACTTGCCATGTTCACCCTTCATCAACAACTGCAACGAACGCCTCCAACATTTCCATTGAATGCATCCAACATCCAACATCCAAGATCTCGGCCTACTATTGACGTTTAACTCGGCGATCTCACCAATTCAAAACCAATTCTGTCATCCGCGCCAACCTACCTGTGCCAACTTGCTAATATGTCCACCACCACCACCTCTTCCTCCAACCCATCCTCTCTGAGTACAAGCACCACTACCACACCCGCCGATACACCACTCAACACCCTCCTGCTCCAGCTTCTTCCACATCTACATCCAAATCCACCTCTAGCTCTGGATCTACTACCTCCGGCTCCGGTTCCAGCTCTACCTCAACCTCTGGATCTACCAGCTCTAGCTCTACCTCTAGTTCCGGCTCGAACAAGTAACAAGTAACAAGTAACAAGCAACAAGTAACGGTAGCGGTAGATAAGTAGGTAGGTACCTTATGGAGGTAGTAACCTGAGATGATGGGATAACCAGGAGATTACCTCTAGTACCTTAGGGAACCATACAGACTTACAGTACCTAACAGACCCTCGATTTTCCTCGATACCTAAGGAGAGCAAGAATGGAAATATATGGAGGTACTTGCAGCCACGTGCACGAAGGCCACGAAGGTAGAGGTATCTCTACCTATCTTACCTCTAGGTACCTACACAGTACCTCTAGGGAGGCTCAAAGGGGAGGAGTGACGGATCCATAACCAGGGGCACCACCTTTTGAACCTTTAATTTTGCTACGTACCTTAGGTACTTGGTGTAAGCAAGCACGCGACGTAGACTTGATAGGAACCTACCTAGCAGAACTCAAAGCTACCTAACCTACATCTAGAAATACCTACCTACCTACCTTACCTGACATCAAACATGCCCAGTCTACCTACTTAGGTAGAGGTAGAGGTATCTTACGTCTTGATCCATTTCTCTTTCCAAGTTCTCACACCCCCATCATTTCCATGGTACTTTGGAAGATCCGAATTGTATTTATCATCGAAACGAAAAGAGAATAAATAGAAAGCCCATATGTACAAGATTTCGGGCCACAACCTCCAAAACCAAACCCATCATCCATCTCAGAAGACAAATGAAGCCCAAGTGAGCTCTCCCCTCCAGTCCCTTTCTTCCCTCTCCCCTCCCCCTCTCCCCTTCCACCTATCTACACCCTCCGATTCTTCACAGACGCATCCGCATTCTTCACCAACATCTCCACATACCCCCCAAACCACGCCCCCGCCTTCGGCGCTCCCGCCAATCCACACTCCCCATCACTCTCCCCACCAGGTTTAACCCAAACAATAGCATCAACATTCTCATTCTGCAGCACCTTCTGATCGGCAGTGGGAGCATGTCCAAAGCCCGCCGGCTCAACATTGCACCACTCGCCCCACTCCTCCCTAGCGCCCGGCAGGGCTACTCGTCCCTGGTCGATGATGAAGTGCGCGGGCAGGCCGAGTTCGGAGAGATAGGGGGAGAGGGAAGAGGCGTAGTGAGACTCGTCGTAGGATGGGGACCATTCTGTGTAAGGGTCGCGCGGACGGGTGGTGTTGGAGGTTAGGTAGGGGTTGTAGTTGGATACGTTGGTGGAGAAGCCACGGATTGTGGCGTTTTTGGAGCCGGGGGCGTTGTTGGCGTTGGCGAGGGAGACGACGGTGGCGAATTCTTTGGCGGCTGTTGGGGGTGTTAGCTTGTGTTGGATGATGGGAAGGGGAGCAGGGAGGAAGGAGGAGGGAAGGAAGAGGGAACGGGGGAATAGAAAAGACAGGTCTAAGAGGAAAGCTTACCCAAAGGCAGATTATCAGCCCACCCCAACCACCCACCATGCGCAGCATCGATATACAGCGCCACATTATCCAACTGCAGGCTCTTAATCGCAAACGCGATACCTTCCCTATACGTAGGCACCGCCTCCTTGCAAAACTCCACGCCCATGTTGGTCACCGCATTACCCAACGAATCCGGCTCCAATACCACAGCGAACTGCAGATCCCTGGCAGCAGCCAGCTTAGCAGCATAAGGCTTGATGAACTGCTCCTTGTAGATCCTCAAGCCGTCGTTCTTGCTGCTTAGTTCGCCTGCTGATTCACCGGCGGAGCAATCTCTATCGGGAAGGTTATACAGCACAAGACCGACGACCTGCTTCTGACCAGTCCGACGCTGCTCATTGCGCGCGGAGCGGATGGCGTCGTCAATTTCTGACAGGCCCGAGCGTGAGGTGACCCAGACGAAGGAGCCGGTTTTCTGGACCTTGCGGACCACGGCGGCGTTGGCACGGTCGCCCTTTTGTGTGAAGGACCTGTAGGTGTCCTCGAGCTTGGTGGCCCATTTGGGGTTGGCGAAGAGTTTCTTGCCTACGAAGGGGTTGATGTCGGACCCGGCAGGCTTGGGAGGCTTGGGAGAGCCGAGGGGGGAGGCGGTGACAGAGGCACCGGCTGCCGAGAGGGCAGCGAGGAGAGTGAGGGCGCGCATTTTGATTTGGGATGGGGTGTGTGAGAGGATGGGGAGAGGTAGTGAGGTGATGGTTGGTGACGATGAGGATGGAGGAGAGGTCTTATATGGCTAGTTGTTGACCATCAAGATAGCACGTCATCCTGTCCGTCTCGCATGTTCAGATCCGAGATCATCGTATGCCGGACAACATCCCCATACCCCAGACGGCCCCAGACGGATCTAGAAGCCATAGATCCGCCGGCTTGTCCATGGTCAACTTGCTCATCTTGGCTTATTCATGCTCGGTTCAAGTCCGAGACTTCCCAGAAATGGCCAAGTGTAAAGTGCGAGACACCATGGGGAAAGCGACAAATCTCGGGGTAGTGGGTTAGACGGGCCAAGGCCTCGGCCATCGGAAGGTGAACCGTGAATCCGGAGGGAACGATACCGCAACGCTACGCTACGGGAGCCGCAGTTCCTTGACCGAAATAGGAAATTCCAGGAACCGGAACCGGGTCAGGTGCCGAAAGCGATTGTCAAAAGACGGGTGTGAGCGGGCAGTTCCCCAGATTCAGATGCGGTGGTAATGTCGCCTTGACTGTCGGTCTGGAAATGTCAAGTTTGACGAATCTTTAAAATGCGAGGTTGAACTTGCGCAAGATGGCGAGAATGTCAAGCGTGCATACCTAAGCGATGGATGTGAGAATGGTGTCGTAGTGTATTTAACTTTGACGGCATCTTGGTCCGGAAGGGACTTAAAGCAGTGATGATTCGTGCGCTTGCACCAAGAACAACGGTTTATCAAATTGGGGGGACGTTTCCAGACCGCCACTCGGCGAAACTCGCGGGCCGTACAATACAGGCTGGACTTCAATGGGTGACACTAGTTCTAGGTGCTTTGCGCTCAAGGCATGTCATAGGTATCAAATGAATATCCCATAATGTGACTTCACATTATGGCCATGACTTGGTGATAAATCGCACAATCTGAGATGGACATAAACCGTGCCCTTCACGTTCAACATGACGCATCATCCTCTTAAAACCCACCATCCCACTTGGGATAATGGCAGACTTGCCCGATTCCAATCGCACCTCTAGTCAAGCTGTCATTGGCAGGATATACGAACGCTTGGGTTATTTCGTGCGCCTTGTTATCGCGACCCTTTGCTTTTTCCTGCCATGTTAGCTCTGTGCGGCACCGATGAACAGCCTCTCAGCTCACCTTACACGGAGCTTTTGTACGGGGGGGAAAGCCAAGACCACGGAGATGGTATTCTTTCAGTTCAGCCTCTTCCAGTGTTATCGTCCAGCTGGACGATATGGAACGACTTCGCTCCGTACCCTGAGCGCTGACAGCAGTTGGTTGAGCCACAGTGTTTGCCACGATTGCCACAGCTGCCACAGGTGGTCAAGGACAAGTCTGGATGTCGAGGTCTGCGTAGATGTCAGGGGGTTGTGGTGGCTGAGTTTCGAAAATGTTTTGTATGGCTTCGATGGCTGGTCCATCCAGCGCTGACAGACAAGCTGGCGGGACGGGTCGTGTGCCAGATAGAGGCTGAGCCGCTGACGAAGGCCATCGAATGTCCGATTGGCCGAGCTCATCAGCAGCACGCGACAGACTCGCAGCACTTCCGACTCCGTATCCTTCTTCCGAAGATGATTTGCTTTTTCCATATCTTTATTCGCAGTTGCGGAGAGTTTTACCAGCGGGAAGATCGCGCACTTGAAGACGAGATCTAGGTACTCTACCCAGGGATTGGGCTCAGTTGGGGTTTCGCGACCGAGACCGGAGTGAGGGAGCAAACTCATCTCGCTCATGTGAACAATGATTGCCAGTGATCAACCAGTTTTGCTGCATCTGTCCGGTATAGCTCATGCGGATACCCGTGTTTCCCCAGGCCAGGGTCCTGAGATGGATGTCGAGGCTTGATAGCTTAGCCCCCTGGTAACGCGAGGAAATCGGGTTGTGCATACTGGTATTCCACGATTGCACCATATTCTGCGTATCCAGATCCCGATGGATGAATACGGGCATCCCCTTGGTCCAAGCCGCGGGTAATCGCAGCTGAAATCACTCCGGGTCACTCCCGGCTCCGTACAATCTTCCTGTTGTGTTGACATACCCATGGCGTCAATACATGACCGCCAACTGTCCAGCTTTCCAACCCTTTGGGTGTTTCTTTTGAGCTCTCTCTCCAAGGTACTGGGATCTGGGATCTTGGGACGGGAGTTCCACGACGGGCGTTGAGCAACGTGTCAGATGCATGTCTGGCTCCCTCGTTTTCACCGTACCGTGAGCCACAAGCCATGAGCGCTTGCATGTATTCAAGGTGTAGCGGAGCTGACGGAAACGGGAAGCAGCGCCTTGATTTCAAGCACAATGGCCGCCAGTTGCGGCTAAGGACTTATTAGTTCTAGGGTGGCTCGTCCAGGGTGTGGGGGTTGTAGGGTGTTGAGACTGGGGGACGGAAATTGAAGATGGCGAAGATGATAAATGCCCTTCATCGTCCTCATCCCATATCGCATTGCCGTTCCGTCTCCTGAAGGCGTATACGAGTGTCAGTATGAGCCCCAGAAGTTGACAGTACCCAGTCTCGCATACCCACAACCTCAAATGCCACCCCTACACTCGCTATTCCCCCGTCAAGCAGAGAGGCCATCGTTCAGTCCCGATACCTTGGCCGGCTACAACCTGAGCGACAAGTCCACCCAGAAGCCGACGATATGGCAGGTCAACCTGGTTTTGATCGTGCTAGTGGGTGCGGTTGTATCTCTCCGCATCGTCTGCCGGGCTTACATCACACGCCGACTGTTTGTCGATGACTATCTCATCATCTTGGCCGGCCTGTTCACGCTGGTCTCGGCGTCCATGGCCCTGGCGGCCACACGGTACGGGCTGGGTGAACATATCTGGAACTTGCCATTGCCGGTGGACAACATGTTGGAGATGTTGACACAATGTGTGAAGGTGAGTTCTCCTTCCAGGTATTCGAACAGCCAGCTGAGAATGTGAGGCTGATATTGGAAACCAGCACATGTACGTCGCCCACGTATTCTACTCGGCAGCCGGGGCTTTCACCAAACTATCCATCTTGACGTCGTACTTGAGGATCTTTTCTGCCAAAGCTCTGAGGTGGATTCTGTACGGCACAGCCATCGTGGTGACAGCCATGGGGGTGTGCGCCGTCTTGGCAACCATCTTTCAGTGCAGTCCGGTGAAGGCGGCGTGGGATTACACGATTGCTGATAGCAAGTGTTTTCCGTTTGTGGACTTTTTGTATGCGAACGCGGGGGTCAATATCGCCATTGACTTTGTGTTGGTGGCAGCGCCGTTGCCGTATTTTTGGAGTTTGAACATTCCCTTGAGGCAGAGGCTGATGATTTGTGTCTTGTTTGGGGTTGGCTTTATGTGAGTGTCGTCGTCCTGATGTTTCGGAAGACTGCCGTGCTGACTGTCCCAGTGGCTTTGCTGCCAGCATCATCCGCATCGTCTCACTGAGTGATGTCAAGGGTATTGACGTGACTTGTAAGTTGCCCAACCCTCCATCTTCCGGATCAAGCTGACATTGCCAGACTACCTCGTCTCTCCTCTCAACTGGACCATCATCGAGTGCTCACTCGGCATCATCTGTGTATCCGTTCCGCCTATGCGTCCTCTCCTGGCAAAACTCGCACCGCCTTGCTTCAGCAGCTACATCTCTGAGGGTGATCAAGCATCAAAGGTGTATCCAGGGTCCCAACAACGGACTCAGCAAGGTGACGTTCATGGGGTAATGGGAATGCAGTTGGAAGAGATCGAGATGGCGGCGAAGAGAGAAAGGGAAATGCAGAGTTCGACGGGGGAGTTGTTGGCGTCTGTTGATGGGCCTGGTACGCCCAAGTCTGTTCAAAGATGTTCTGTATAGCACTTGCTTAGTGAAATGATATCATGAAGTTGAACCGATCCTGGCCCATGGTGTTGAGTGTTGAGATCAAACTCCCGAGTCATCTCATCCTGGAACAGTGGAGTTCTTTTGGCTTCAGTGGATGAAACCCCTGAAACGAGAACGTGATAGGGGCAAGGGTCTGTTATGGTGGAACGGCCTCATACACCCGTAGGAATTGGACTTCAAAGGTTGGTGATGAGAGAAGATAAAGAACATGTCAAATCAATTGAACGCGGTGCAAGTGTTTTCCTGAGCGTGAGCGTGGTGTGGAAGATAAGTGATGAATGCCTCTTGGGATATTTTGTTGAAATTACCCATCGTCTTGGAAAAGCCGTTTGAGGTTGAAATTCGAGTGGAATTCCCGAGACACGCACACTGACCATGTCCCCTCTGGCAACAACTCCGATTTGTCTCCGGCAGGCCCCTTGCCGGAAAAGGTGCCGTGGGGGAGAGACATGCGTTTGTAACGGGTCTCAGTCGATGGCGCAAAGGGACCGCCGAGGTCAACCCCGCAAAATCGGGCCAATTGTTGGATGCCGACCAGAGACCTTTCTCCATTTTGGTCCATTTGGAGAGCGGAAAGGGGAGAAGGTCAGCGAGTGTCAGCGAAGAATCCCGCAGTCGGGCCCATGACTAATGATTCCCCAATTGTGCTACCAAGTACCTGTAAATTAATTCGCCGTCCCTGTGTTATAGAGTGCACCGCCGTTGATGCAAGGTGTATGTACTGGCGTAGTAATCCATAATCTCACCCAGCGCATCCGAACGAGACTCGACTCGGGACTTTCTCTCTCCTTCACGACAGACACATCCCACCTTTCGAATTGCTTCTCGTCCATTTGCGACAGCGTTCCTTCTTGTTACTAGAGTTGCATTGATGTTCCAGTCCTAAACACGACCAAGCGACTTCCATCCCAAAGCCGAATACTCCTCTGCGCGCGCCCATTCGCCTCTGTCCGGTTAAATATTCCCCCAACCGACTTCAGACCACAAACATGTGCCCGGCACCAACATCAGATGCGCAATCATCGCAAACCGATGCGACGACAAGCCAATTACCCTCCTTCTACTCTCCCAAGAGAAAGAGCGAACAAGATCATACGTCTCGAGACAATGGCGACGTCGAATCCGTAGTAGACCTCTCCACCTCCGCCTCCCTTTCCACTACCTCGGCACAACCGACCACAACTCCCGCCATCGCTCTCGACATCAGCGACAACCTCTCGACAAACTCCTCAGTCCCCTCGACCCCCCTATCCCAACCACCACCGCCCTCTCTCCTCTCGCCCTCCTTCACGCCTCCCCAGACCCCCCGGCACAGCAACCCCTTCCACCTCCATAACCTCCCTCTCTCTCTCGGAGCCGCGCGGCATCCCCGTCGACAGCTCCATTCCCACAGGAGGATGCGGCAGCAAGAAGCCCAAACTCCTCGAGTCCCTGCCGCACGTCGAGTGCATAGTGCGGGCGCGCATCCCCACCACCAACGGCGCCGAGATGTTCCTGCACCTGTACACCAACGACGTGGACAACAAGGAGCACCTGGCCATTGTGTTCGGGAACAACATCCGGAGCGAAAGTCTGGACAGGGTGCGGGAGGGCGAGACGGAGATGGACAGGCTGGTCCGAGGCGCTTACACAGGGAGACTGTACCCCGGTAGGACGACGAGTCGGGAACCTTCTGGTGCTGCTGGGACTCAGACAAAGGAGGCAGAGGAGGAGGCAGAAGCATTGGAGAAAAAGCAGACGCCGCTGGTCAGGATACACTCCGAGTGCTACACGGGCGAAACCGTCTGGTCTGCGCGCTGCGACTGCGGCGAACAGCTCGACGAGGCCGCGCGCCTGATGTCGTTGCCTTCCAACACCGCTGGCGGTATCATCATCTACCTGCGCCAAGAAGGCCGAGGTATCGGTTTGGGCGAGAAGTTGAAGGCCTACAACTTGCAGGATCTGGGGTCGGATACCGTCGAGGCTAATCTGCTGTTGCGCCACCCCGCTGATGCAAGAAGCTATGGTCTGGCGACTGCCATGTTGAGGGATCTGGGGCAGAAGGAGATCAGACTGTTGACAAATAACCCGGATAAGATCAGGGCGGTGGAGGGCCCGAACAGAGAAATTGTGGTGACGGAACGGGTGGCTATGGTGCCGTTGAGTTGGAAGGGCAAGGGAGGGTTTAGGGCGCCCGAGGTGGAGGGGTATTTGAAGACCAAGGTACGTTTGTGTTTGTGTGACAATACTACAGGTGAACCATGTGCTAACGGGTGTTTGCGGCGACGTTACAGATTGAAAAGATGGGACACATGTTGGACATGGGAGCGCTCCCTCAGTGAACATAGTACGCAACTACAGTCCAAGATTTCGCGACATCATCACCTATGCATATAGTGTACACCTATACCATACCATATTCTTCGGCGGCACAAAATTTGAAGGGCGTTCTGGCGGGTTCTTCGCTTTCTTAGATTTACAACAGTTAGGAGGCTGGCGAGAGACATTGTTCTACTGTGTAGAGCCAGCCAAAATGACGTTTTTGAATACCACCAGCTTGTACCGTGGATGTTGATTTGTTCCTTTATCACACTGTAGCATTATAGATCTCTATCAATTTTTCATCTTCAACCACACGCCCCGGACATAACAGACAGTTCTTGAGGTACCTTTCTTTCTCTCAACCTAGAGCTCTCGTGCCCGAATGTCATTTTCTCCAGAGGCATTCCCAGGAAAAAAGACCAAAGCCTAGCTCATCACGCCTTTTCACGTGCAGGAGCCGTTAACATGATCTTCCCTCCTACATCGGACCACTGTAGAAACATCCAGGCTTTGAGTTCTTGACCTGCTCCCTTTGCGCAACAATGGCTGGACCACCTCCCTTAGATGTGACCTCAATTCTGGAAAGTCCTTTGAATATCAGGCTGTCTTCACTTCCAACTTCTTCATCGTTTCTTGCCGTTGGCGCAAGTGTTGGAAGTTGCGAGACGCGATGTTCAAGTGTTGGCCCCACCAACTGCAGCCCCCGCAATGTTTCATCCAACAGGAAATGACCAAGTCTTGGCATCGACGTTGGGCCCCACCGATAAGGCTTGCAAGGTGCTCCTGGCGATTCAATGTTTGTTCTCCAGCGGGAAGGAAGCTTCAGAACGTCGCGACTGCCACCAACAAGATGCCCTGAAGAATCGAGTATACGAGGACTCAAGAGGCAGGAGCGAAAAGCAAGGTGGGATTCTCCATTACGAGACTGAACACGGATTATTTCTCGACTGCTTCTGCTTTTCTTTTCCCAAAACAACCAACCATTTCGACTTTACGCGTTCTTTTCGTCATCTTCGACACAGACACCATCCACCACCAAAAAGAGACACTGCAAAATTCCCACAACCACTCTCTACCTATCCATATCCACTGGAACGGAATTGGAACAAGACAAACATTCATCATACCCAACCCAGGCATCTCAAATTACTTCTTTCTTCGATACCAGACCTACCATTCAATCACACCTAATCCATACCACACATCGACAACAACATGAAGGATAACTGCCTTCGCCTGCGTCTCGTCGTTCGACGTCACTCCCTCCCCGAGGTCAGAATCATCCACCACGTCCCTCTGGAGAACGACCCAACCATTGCCGACCTCGTCGACCAGATCAACGAGATCATTCCCCTCGAGAGCCCGGAATGGGGCCTTGAAGACTACGTAGTCGAGCTCCGCAACAAGGAAGGCTACGCCTTCGAATGCCTGCACTTCCAGCAGGTTGCCAATGTCCTCAAGGATGAGGAAGAAGTATTGTGAGTTACATCCTCTCAGTCTACTCTCACCTGCTCTATTACTGCAGCTGCTGACTTCTGACCCCGCAGTGTCCGACCCCTCGTCACCGGTGACCGAAAGCGCCGTCTGCTGTCCGGCCGTGAGCAAATTTCCAACGATGGCAGACACCTGATTGACGGCGTTCCCTTTGGCCGACCTCGGCTCCGGTCTCCCAGAGACAGGCCCCCGGTCGACATCCCTCCTCTTAAGCGGAGAAGAATCGAGTACAATACAATCGAGCATGATGACGAACAAGCTGAACCCCTCTTCCTCACCCGCAATGGCGAAGGCTCTGAGGACCGTGAGAGCATCCGACAAGTCCGCTTCAACAACGCCGGCTTCGATACCAACGAGGACGAGGAAGAAGACGATGACTTTGTCGACCAAGAGCAATATGGTGATGAGGATGAGGAAGAGGAGACCGAAGACGAAGATGACGACTACGAGATCAACCCAGACGAACTTGTGGATGAACTCGAGGGTCTCCAAGAGGCCGAGTCAAGAGAAGAAACTCCAGCCGACGAGGACAACGTTGAACAGCCTGTCGACATCAGCCCCGCCAAGTCTCAAAAGTCCATCGACCTCTCAGACATTGATAGGATCGCTGCTCTCCGGGCTGCTTTCCCCAGGGTCTCGGTCGACGTCTGCGAGAAGCTCCTCCTTCAGCACGATAGCAACGAGAGGAAGGTTTACTGGAAGCTCCGACGCAGGAACCGTCCCCACATGACCGTGCAACAGATGCTAGCCTACAAGAGACGCCTGCAAATCCAGGAACCTGAAGCAGCGATGGAGGACGAACTCGAGGCGGAAGCTTCTGAACAGAGCGATGCCGAATCTGTCGCTTCTTTGGTCAAGCATTACGATGAGCACGGCTTCCCTGCCGGCTCCGTCCTCGATGGCTCAGCTAACCGTCACATGGTTGAGACCCTGCGCATGTCGGGTCAAGATGTCAAGCTTCCTGTTCACAAGAAGTTTGATGATGATGATGAGGAGGATAATGAGGGCACTGTCCAGCCCGCCAAAGTTGCTGCTCCGACTGACGAGAACGAGATTCCTCTCGACTCAGAAGAGGATGATTTGGAGGCAGACCTTGATTTCGACGAGGACGAAGAGGACTTGTCTGAAAAGGACTCTGACGCCTCTGACGCCTCTGACGACTCGGATGCTGTTTCCCTCTCCGATGGAGCGGAAGAGGTCTTGGACGAAGATGATCTGAACGAATCCTCCGACGAAGGATCCGCTGCTAGTGACAGCGAAAGTGGCCCCGAGGTCTATACCACGAAAGTAAAGCCCCCCGCGGAGATGGTCGCCCCCAAGAGCCCCCAGCCCAATGACGAATCCTCAAGTTCTGACGAGAGCGACAGCGACAGTAATAGTGACGACGACAGCAGCTCAGAGGAGGACGCATCCAGTAACGAGAGCGACTCCGAGGATGAGGAGGACGATTCCAGCAGTGACGATAACAACAGCAGTGACTCCGATAGCTCTTCTCCCGACAATGCCAACGCGAATTCCGACAATGATAATAGCAGCGATTCAGAGTCCGATTCCAGTGGCAGCAATGATGACGACTCGGATGACGAACCAGTAACTTCAAGTTCCAAACATGCCAACATTACCAAGGCTGTATTCCGGCCCATCAGCCAACAATCAGGTACCTTTGATACGGCCACCCTTGAGCCTTCAAGTGCACCCAACGACCAACTGGCCCAAGGCCCGGTTCCTCCAGGCCAAGGCAAGAACAAAACGAGGATGAGGAACCAACGACGGAGGCTTTCTGCTAAGATGAGAAAGACCGCGTCTAGAGACACTTCAATCATTGGTTCAACCTCCGGCCATGATGCGGAGACCTCGACACCGGCTGACCTAGAGGCCAAGAGGATGGCCTTGCTCCAGTCACTCGGTCATCTTGAGTATCTCGGCAAGCCAGCTGTAGTAGAAAAGCCTGTCGATAAGCCTGCAGCTCCCGCTACAGAGATCGAAAAGCCTGAGGCCTCTCCTGACGCCACAACCTCTGCCCCGGCTAAGCGCAAGACGAAGCTCGACGTTGACGCTGGCCGTCGCATGCTGTTCGGATCTCTTGGTCTCAAGAACCCCAAGTCTCAAGAGGATGAGGAGAAGATCCGCGCTAGCTTGATGAAGGGTGTCAAGCCTCTGGTCAATCATCGTGTGGAGGATGCGAAGAAAGACGCCGAAGTTACCGTAACCCAAGTCGATCCTGATGCTTGGCGCCAAAAGATCAACTATATTGCCGTCGAGTGCGTCGAGGAAGGCATCGAGCTCAGCGAACCTCCCTTTCCATTCTACCAACGCTGGGATCCCCAACAGCAGAACTACTGGGGCAGTGGCCGTGGAGGACCCTCGAAGCGGAAGCAGCAGAACCAGGAGGAGTACGAGGAGGAGGAGCCGGGTACCAAGAAGAGAAAGGTGTCAGACGAAGAGGAGAATGTTGTCTTGAACTACGACGAGGAGGATCCCGATGCTTATGCGGCTCAGGATCACCACGAGGAGGAACAAGATGAGGAAGACTATGATGAGGAGGAGGAGTACGATGAGGAGGAGTACGATGAGGAGGAGCATGAGAACGAGGAGGAAGACTTGCCTCCCCTTCCTGCCGATTTGACCACCCTGTCTCTGCTCCAACCGGGACAGGCCAAGGCTGGAATGGTCATCACGTGGAAGCAGTTTCTGCTCTCCAAGGCTACGAACTGGCAACCTCAGGTTATGAACATGACGGGAACCGTTGTTGAGGTCTGGGATCAAAATGATCTACGTATTCTCCTTGCCAAACGGGATAGGAACCTCGATGTCAACGAGAAGGTCTATGATGATGAGGGCAACCGAGTCTATGACAAGTTTGAGGTTCCGGAGGACGAGGATGACGGCGATGAGGATGCCGAAAAGGGTTACCGCACCATCAACTTGGCCGACATGATGGAGCCACGAGTGCTGCGTCAATCGGATGATGAGGTGCTCGTTCCCGAGACCCAACACCAAGGCAACATCACCCCGGCGACTGAAAATGTGGATAGTAAGGCAAGCTCCCGTACTCTCGATCATAAGGTGCCTTCGGAGCCCGAGTCCCAAATTCAGGAAAGCGTCATCCCTGATACGTGCCATGGAAGCTCTGCCGATCTTCAAGCTGCGCAGGTGACTTCCGCTGGCAATGTCTCCATCATCGACGGTCTCCGCCCGGAAGCCAGCCTGATCGGAACCGGCTCGCGTCCGGAGGCATCCGCCTCCGTGTCTCACGACGAACATCCAAACGTAAGCAACCCCTCGCCACAGCCTGTAACAGCACCCGAACCGCCGTCATCTCCCCAACATGGTCCCGGCGCACCCCCGTCCGAAGGCCACAACACCCCTCCGCGCAGCTCCGTTCTCGGTGACGAGCTGCCGGACGCTACGGCTCTCCCTTCCCAGGAGCTTGAATCCCAGCGTATTACACTTGAGCCGTTCAACGGATTCTCTGATGGACTGGAACAGGCAGCTGACAATCGGGGTAGCTATGTTAGCTATGCTAGGTTTGCTGTCATCCCTTCCGACACGGGTGGCGTTCGTAGCGGAAGGCAGCCGGACCCGGAGTTCAGCATTGATTTGGGAAATAACGAGATTCTCGACCGGTTTGAGCTTGCGGAGGAGGATGATGTGCCGATGGCGGGATCAGATCACGAAGATGATGGCGAGGAGGATCACCAAGAGGACGAAGAGGAGGAGCAGGAGGATATTGAAGAGGAAGATCAACAGGATATTGAAGAGGACGAACAAGAGGAATCACGACAGTCTACACCTAGACCCCAGCGAACATCACTATCCGAAGAACCTGCTAGTCCCGCACTCTCCAACATGTCTGCTTCAACTGACGACTCCTTCCCCTCTCTGAGCCAAACCATCACAAAATCTAGTCAACGCAAAGCCAGCCAGCAGCCCAAATCAACCCCCAGAGATGCCGCCCCTAGCACCAGCCAGACTCGTAAATCCTTGGACGCTGCAAATCTGGACTACGAGCGGACTATGAAGCGATTGGACGAGAAAGAGTCCTCTCAAGAGTCCACTACGATGGACGACACACAGATTAAACTAGAGAAGCGTCGCCAATTATCCGAGCTCGCCCAGAAACTATCCAAGACACCCATCGAGCGTCCACCTCGGAGGCTGCCTTTTCGCCGTACATCCACCCCTTCCAAGCTGAACCAAACCACCACTGTCACCACGAAGTCGACAAGAACAACTCGCTTCAGTGGTTCCTTCGTCATCCCCGAGGGTTCGCAAGTCGTCGAGCTCCTGTCTAGCAGCCCTGAGCCTGAGCTGAATGAAGATTATGCGGACGATGATGTGGACGAGACGTATCATGACTCGAGTCCGGGCACTAGTCAGAGTCAGCATAGGGCGCCGCCGTCCACAGCCCCTAATGCGTCGGCTTCATTTTCGACACCGAGGAGGAATCTGTTTAGTAGCACGAGGTTGAGTTCCACCCAGGTCGCCAGTCCGAGGAGGAGCCAGCCGAGTATCATCACGGGATCGTTGCGGAAGAATAGGGGTTCCGCTTCTTCTTCCAAGTAGGAATTGGGAGGAGGGTTGAAGGTTCCGAAGGCTGGTGAGGTGCTCGCGGAGGTGAAGGAGGAGAAGGAGGTGAAGCATGGCAAGTGGGAGAAAGGGAATGGGGAGAAAGGCATCGTTGGAAAAGCAGTGACGACAGGTGATCGGCCTGTTTCCCTGTTTCAGTTTTTGCGAGAGAAACCGGTTTTGCAGAGCATTATGGCGGAGTATGAGGCAAAGAAAGCAACGCTCTCCGAATTGTCTACGGCATAAGATGTATCGAGTAAGTTGAAGACCGAGGGTGTATTCTACTAGGCATGGTTGAATATGGTGGTAGGCAACGGATTATTAGAACTTTTATGTTGATATAACTGTAAATTCTTTTTCTTCTACGTTTCCATTTCACTTTTGATTTGATTCCGACCACAAGTATTCTAGACATAACAACACAAGAGTTCCATAGGGCGTTTGTATCGGCGTATTCCTTGAGTTTACATCTATTTGTAACCAGGCAAAACAAACCAGTGTCAGTGTCAATGTCAGTGTAAAATATGAGTATCCGCGCGTCGCTGTGAACATGTCCGAAACAGCAGAAGTGAAGCCATCACCACCTGGCTCCTCGTACGGACCCTTTTTGGAGCTTGATGCTGGAGGAAGGAGCAAACCACCGTACTTGCCAACATCAACAACTGGCAGAAATTGGCAGGAGGAAAGTGAGGAAACTGTAAAACGGAAAGAGACAAAAAGAAATCCGACGTGGGCCTGATTCGAACAGACGCTCCCGAAGGAACCAGATCTCAATATCAAATTCAAGTCTGGCGCGTTAGACCACTCCGCCACCACGCCTTTGTTGTTCGCTCTGTTGTTCGAGTTGAGTGATGGGTTGCACGGTTATATGGGTATGACTGAGGGGGAGTGATACGTGTCTCACGCTTGCATTCAGCAAATCTCAATGTAGGTATGTACTGTATACCGTTTATTTGGTGTTACATGCATTGTCTCGGAACGGTACGGTAGGTTTGGTGTCGGGTATTGATCTTCTACGGATAGGTAGATAGGTAGGTGGCTTGGTTTGTGTTAATCAAAGTCATTGTTTGGGAAGTTGGGATGGTGGATGGTGTCGTTTCTCGAATGCAAGCTTTGTGTAATCTCAAATCTGAAGCTTTATAAAGCCAACCTTTTCACACCACAAGACTGCCCGATGTATGACCTCAAGTGTTTTGCTGCCAATTTCGATAAGGATATTTACCCGAAATAGGTACGGAGAGAGAATTGTGAATAAATATAAAGCTCACAGATACATATACCCGCAAGGAAACTCACCGTCGGCAAAAAGAGGCTCAAAAACACCATCCCCTAGAGGTACAAACAAGCTTCACTGACCCATCCAAGGGGCCAGGGCAGCTGAATCCAGGAACATCCAACGGTCTATTTGCCCGACGGGCGAACGGGCGCAACGGTTGTCCCTGAATGAATGAATGATACGCCATGCTACGTATGCCACCGTGCTATGCCATGCCATGCCATACCATGCCATGACATCGACGATGAATCCACATGAAGTTAGCTAACTACCGATTCTCGGGGGGAGAGACACCAGGATCGAGGGACCGGAGGCATGTTTGACAGACAAGCTTCACCACCACTACAGTACCACCAGGCCGCCTCGAGAACGACCCGCGCCTGCGCTTGCGCTTGTGCCGTGCCTCTTCCTGCAGCTGTTGGGACTTGGGTTCGGTTAGGTTGGTTTCCCTAAGGTTCTCATCTGCCGCGATGGCGCTTAACTGCCTCGTCGTCGCGCTTAACTGTCTCGTCTTCGTGCTGTCCAAGTTCTCGAGTGCTTGAGTCCCAGTATGCCAGGCCAGCATGCCAGGGAGCTTGACAGGACAATTGACAGTTGACATCTGCCCTGTCAGCCTGTCCAGCGCCCCAACCGGGCGGCGGCCTGGGCCATGGCCATCACCGCTCATGTGATGAACTTGGTGCAATCTCGAAGTCCTCTTGGCAGTCGAGCCAGTCGAGCTCTGCACCCAGACTGCGAATTTGCGCGGAAGCGTGAACTATCGACGACCGAAACACGATATGAGTGTGTGCTCAATAAGGTGGGCAACGTCAAGGCACTGTGACGACTCCCATGAGACCGAAGAAGAGGGGGTGTAAGCAACGAATCACAGGCCTCATCACAAGTGTGTTAGTGGTAATGCGGGACAAGGGTATTGTGTGATCAGCCAATGGTGGTGCGGAGTGAGGATAAGGCGTTGCAGCCACTGTGAAGAGAGGGTGTGCCAAGGGTGCTTAACTGCAGAAGGGACAGTGTGGGTGAGGGTAGTTCGCGCTGTAGATTTTGGTGGGGATATCGACGATGGGATGCTCGAGATGGCTTCAACTTCTGTGGTTGTTTAGTTGCTGCTGCTGAAGATGTTTTTTTTGGTTGTCATGAAGCTTCATTCGAGTTTGGCGACGAGCATAGACAGTGGACAAAGGGAAGACATGGCGGCAGGCAAGCTGGTGGGAGGGTTGGCAGGTGTAAAGGTCAGCCGGCAGGCAGGCTGTCAGCTCGCGGCGCGCTGAGCTCGGACACCTCCCTCAACTTCTGTGTTTCCTCTTGGCACAATTTGTCCGTCATCTTTCTTCTCACCTTTCTGCCTAAAAGCATTATTTCTTTTTTTGTCATTTGAACGATACGGTCTTGAGCGTCGCTACAGTTGACTCTCCATCATGAGGTTACTCAAGATTTGCGGCAGTTCAGCTTATTGCAACTACCCGCAGGTACAGCTGTTCACTGCTCCGCCGTAGGCGACGTGGGCGATGTACTCCAAGGGTGGGATATCGCTCCTTCTCATGCTCTCTTTTGATTGGCTAAACAGCGTAGCATCGCGGTTGGACAACCAACCACATCACTCCGTTAACCACCCACCCAAGCCGTCGGGTTTGTCCACCATCCAGTCGTCTGTTCTTCCAGTGTCACTGACTCTCGCTTGCTCCAGTGTCTGATTGTCGACGCTGTGCTGCCCTGCACCCTCCAGCCGAGGCGCTGGCTCTCGCTCACTGAAAAGAGAGATGGCAATGCCCTCCGGCCTGGCCATAGGACAGACCTGATGAGGCCCCCGGACAGACACGGCTCGAGATCCAGCAAGAGACCATGCGGGGCGAACGGCAAAGTGCGAATCCGGGTACGGTGAGCAGTCGTCTCTCCGGCCAACGAGCTGGACGAAGGCCAAGGTCGAAGCCAAATTTCCCCTCTGTCACCCCTCGTCAACAAACTTGGGAATCATGCATGTGGAGGGAACATTTTGCTTGGGTGGCCGACCAGTGAAAGTACGAGGCACCCCTGCTTAGCGCTGGCGGCGCGACCTCGCGGATTGGGCACTGAAGCTCCCAATGGTTCCATCACCTCACTGCCCTGCCTGCACATGCTGGGGGGTCTCTTTTCTTCCGCGGCGCCAGCAGCACAAGGCCGGCTGGCTCTCTGAAATTGACCGGGCTGATTTGTTCTCTTCAGTTGGGCCCCTCCCGCTTCGTGGCGGACCGTGTCCGTCTGTCAGTCTTCTCTGCTCCTCCAACGTCTGTTATCTCCAGCCCTACCCCAAGCCTGCTCCAACGTGCTGGCGACACCTCCAAATGCACTTGCAGTTTCAGCGACTCCTTTCCAGAAGACTCCTTGTGTTCGAGTGATTCCAGCTTCTCCGCTTTGTCTCAACATCTTAATATTTTTTATTTTTTTTCCGGAATTACAGGGAACCCTAGGACGTCGACGCGCGGAAGTGCATTAACACAAAGGACGTGTTGATCATCGTTACTCCGCTCCATACATACAGCAGACGCTTCCTTTGTCTTCACCCTCACACAGCAGAGACGACCTCCCAACACACAACCTTTGTGGAACGGGAAACAATGGGTAGCAGCGGCAAGGGCTCTCCCGAGACTCTTTCATCAAAGACATTCGGGTCACCAATAGCATCAACAACGGTGACTTTCACATCGACCACTCTCGAGGAGAGAAATGAGAGAAACGACCGGATTGCTGCCCTGAGGCGGGACTCAGGGTCATCGTCCTCCAAGGGGTCAGCACATGGCCTTTCGAGCATCGATTCGAGACTCGGCCTCCCGATTTCAACAAAGCTCCTAGCACCAACAGAAGAAATTCCTGATACACCAAGTTCGACGATTGTCGAGTTCGGTGATACGGACAGGAACCATCTGCCGTCGGCCGCGGAATTGGCCGACAATGTCTTCCGCACTGCGTACCGCGTCCGCAAAAGCCGGTCACAGTCCCGGACACGACCTGAGCATGGGAGAATTGGTGATCTCAAACAAGAGCGCAGCGCGAGTGCCCAAGCTAACCGAGCCGCGACCCCGACAGGCTCAACAAGAGAGAGGTCCGATTCAGGCAACAAAACAAAGAGCCCTGGATTAAGGGACCTCCCAACCGACAGAAGTCCGGCTGCCGAAAGGGAGCTGGCCCAAAACAGAGTCAACATGTACCTCACACAGCATCAACAACAAAATCAGGAGCAGATCATCCAGACTCCCATTCAGCAACAGCCATCAGGTCCTGATAAGGAACTTCTGTTGGAGAACCGCGGCCTGTACCAGCGAGTGGCTGCACTCCAGCGGACCGAGCGGGATCTGCTGGCGGAGAACCAAGAGTTGCTGCGCCAGTTCAACCAGCTAAAACAGCATCACGACGTGCGCCGCAAGCAATGGAGGGATCAGCTGCGACAAAGGGAGAGGGAATATGAAGCTCGCATTCATGAGCTGGAGGATCACATGTTGCAGCTTGCTATCGCCAACCCAACGAGAGTGGCACCTATTCAGACTGACAAGGACATCATCCACTGGTTTGCTGAGCAAGAACATGCCCGACGAGTCTGGTCACAAGATTATGCCCACCGCGACGCTAACCGTCTTTGCGAAGGCCTTCACCCAGTCCAGCTGGCCGAGCTGTGCGAAGGCGTCAAGGAGTTTGTGAAGCTCAACGAGGACAAGACACTTCCCGAAGAGCTTCCTACCAACAGCAGCGAGACGACCCAGCTCCTTCTCCAAGGCATGCTTGCGGACTTCATCTCTACCGAGATCCTAGCTTCTCCGTTCTGGGTGTTTACCGCAATCTCAGCTGGAACGCTCGAGAGCCCCAGCGTTCCTCATCCCGGCACGGGACCCATTGCGACCAGTTTCCGCATGGATTTGAGTCTGTTCAATGGCATTGCTCCCATGCGACCCATCTACGCCCCTACTCCGGGTAGCCCGCACTTCCCGCCCCCTTTGATCACAGCCATGTTACCTCCAGCACTCGGAAACGCGGCGTCAGGCCTGGGTTTGCCCACTAAGACCGAGACGGAGAATCTCTACCACATGCTTCTGAGTGGTATGTCATTTCTCTCCTCCCTGATAGAAATTTGCTAACTCTTGTCCAGCCCAAAAGCAATATGCGGATGTGACCGTTCACGATTGGCGAGCGCAGCTTATGAGGCTCCTCGCCGAGAGCGGCATGAGCATGAAGGACCCATTGGATGCGGCCAAGAACGAGTCCAGACGCATCCTGATCGAGTCGAGACTCAACTACGCCCGCAAGCTGAAGGAGAAGTTCCTCGGCGGTCCAGCCAGGTTCCTCCTTGGCGACTTAGACGCCGCTGGCATCGAAAAGCTCGAACGCAGACTTCAAGATCTGATTGACGAAACTCTCCGTTTCTCCTGCCGAATCTGGTCGCGTCCCACTCCCGTCCGCCTTCACGACCTCGGAGATCTCAAGGACCAAAAGTTCAGCGCTACCCACCCTTACATGCGTCTTTGCCATGTCCAGGCCCCGCGCGGCATGGAGGAGGTGCAGCAGAAGAAGAACGACTCCAGCGAGCGCGAAAAGTCTCCTCCTGGTTACCACGACGGCCGCCCGGTGATCATGGTCCTCTCCCCCGCCATCGAATCCATCGTCGACAGCAGCAAGGACAACAAGAAAGCCGCACCGCCTGCCATGGACGAGACTCCGCGCGTCTGGGTCCGCGCTCGCGTGCTCGTTTCCTCGCCTGCCCGCGCTGCGGCGATGAAGTCACTTGGTCCTATCAAGATTGCTTCGCCTCCGCAACCAGTGCGCCACAATTCCGCTCCTACCACGGCCACAACACTGGATAAGTCCGGCTCTGGCTCGCCAGCGGGGGTGGGCACATTGCCGGCGACGCAGTTCGGGAGGATGCACTCATCACCGCCTCACTCGTCTTCTTCTAGCTTGTCAACGGTGGACACAGGCAACGAATCGTTCACGCCTGCGGGGTCAGTGAAAACGACACCGAAACAAGTGTCGATGCCGTTTGCCAGTCAGCAGGTCGTGTCACCATTTTTGCGGCAAAGTGTGTCGCCGAGCAAGATGTTTGGAGCGAACGGGAATCAGGACATGATGGGGGGTATGGATTTGCCTATTGCTTGACAAACTCATTTCGAGCGATTCATGAACGTTTCTTGCTGGTCTTATCACCGATTTGTTCTTCATTCATCTACGGGCACAGCCTCTTTTGCTTTTGTTTGTTATACCTATGTTACCGGCCTTACCAACGAGCAGCGACAAAGCGAACGAAGCGGGCGTCTTATTTGTTTATCTTAGCTTTGCCTAACCAAAATATTGTTACTATTACTACTAGTACTACTTACTCATATTTCCTTTAAGCCTTTTGATGGATGGATGAATGACATGGAAAACTCACGATGGATACCGAGGCGGACAGAAGAGATGAGCATCACAGGTGTCCATGTCTTTCTTGGAACGACGGCGGCACAGCTTGGGGATGGTTGATGTGTGTCACGTGTCATTCGTCAGAGATAGAAAAACGAGTGTAACGACGGGCTGGGCGGTACGGGGACAGATTGGGATTCGGGAGGACTGGAGGACTGGCTCACCGAGAGCAGGAATGGGAGGACAGGTACAAGAACAAGAAGGCGGGGAAAACAGGGACGAGAACAGCAATGTACGCCATCTAGGTATGGATCTTCAGCTGAATTAATGCAAGTTTGTACGACGACCCTTCTTTGCTTTTTTCATTACTCAATATTCAGTCGGCCTGGTGAGCCGGGCCGGTCAATGCTCGGCCACGGAATCAGCATGGCGATGATTGACACGCAGACTTTTTCAACAGTGCAAGCAGCAGTGTTAATGCGAGCGGACCGAGGCGATCGACAATCGTTTGGAGATTCTCGACGAATGTTGATCGTGGAGAACCTTGACCATTCGACCAGACAAAAGATGGTGGGAAGCTCGAAGGTGAGCAGTCAAAGTCGTTCGGCATGCTTGTACCGACCGCACTGGAGTTGTCAGGAACTTCCACTTGGGAATGGAAGCAACGTGTCTACCCGGGGATTGTATACTGTCCGAAACCTGAAGGGTTCTTCATGTTCGCTTCCGATCAGGCATTGTGCAATTGCAGCGCGTCTGAACTCGCATGAAAGGTACACCACATTCACAACATAAGCGAGGTGGCGACCAACCAGAATCAGCATGAGTCAATTCATTCCCGTGGGCAGGTGAGACAGGCCGGGGAATTCTGTGGAAAAATGGGGGCAAGATCAAGGAACGGCAAGATCCATCGATGGGTGTTGGGCGAGGCAGACGACCGGCCACCCGACGCTCCGGCGTTGAGGCTTTTTGTGCGTTTCTCAGCCTAGTACCAAAATATTGAAGGGAACAGAAAATGTCAAGTATCGTATGGAATTAAATCGATAATTCTTGGAATTTGTCTGTTCGACTTGCTGAATCACATACACCTCTCACGCAAAAATGGAATGGAACTGTAACTCCTCATCACCACGTTGTACTTTCGTGGTGTACTTGCCACGGACCTTTCTGTCTCGCAGCATTCACAGTGTGTCTCTCCTCGTTCCAGCGCCCTGGAGCCTGCTCGCCTGCTCGCCTGTTAGCAGCCCCTCAATAAATCCAACAATCCGGGCGACGGGTGTCAATTCCTTCCAGTCCCATCGGGTGGCCGCAGGAGATAGAATATCACAATACCGATTCGACATTCGTCGGGATTTTTGTGGTTTTCTACCTGCAACAGTGAATTGAAATTGAAACCGTTCCAAGTACCTAGACTCATAGATATAGCAAAATGCGCATTCCTTTGACTGTCGGGGCGGTCTCGGAACGGTACCTAGGTCTGTGGTTGCAGCACGGTAAAACCTGAGAGAAAAGGCGTAGTACAGCCTGGACTCCTACCACCTGTAAACTGACACCAGCTGGCAGGTGACAGGTAACACAATCCTGACAAGCAAAGAATCAAGCAAGCAATATGCCTACACTGCAGAACAACAATAAAACGCCAGGTCTGAATGGCCATTCTCCCGAAGTCTTCCACTCGAGCCACTGAATGGACAAGTCGGTGGTGGTGTGTGTCACACACCAACCTATCAAAGCCGTCAAACCTATCACCCGCACCCCATGTCTCGGTCTTCAGGTCTTGTCTCCTTTTAGAACAAGACATGTGATTGGCTGTCCTCGGAAAATTCCAGTTGGTTCAACCGTTCGAGACGACATGGGTGAGATGGTATGGGCTCAACGTAACGGGCTGGATGGATCTGGCGAGAAAAGCGAGCGAGAAAAGACGCCTGGCAGGATTGGCAGAAAACAGGATGAACGTGACGGACAAAGGCCGGGTGTGGCCGAAAGCCCAGGGGTTTTCTTGGGCGGGCTGTTGGTTGAAAGCTTGAAAGCTTGAAGGGTGGGAGGGTGGAAGGTGGATGAATGAATGAATGAATGAATTTTTCGACTACGTTCTACGCATTTGACATCCCGACTTCAGACATCGAAGGAAGAGGAACATAGAAGCGAAGAAGAAGAAGAAGAGCCAAAAAGAGTAAACTCCCGCCAATGATAGGTATCCATCCATAAAACCCATAACAAAAGAACCAAAACCCCAAAAGAAACCCCTTTCCCATTCCATCGTCATCATGAACCAAGCTCAAGAGTCAACGTCCTCTTCCCCGTCCCCGGCGACACCACCGCCGGCGACGCTATCCGCTTCGGTGAGGCCTGTTGTGTCTTGACATCCACCGTGGTCTCCATCACCTTGATCTCCCTCTTCTCACCCAACCAAACCCTGGCCTTACTCCAGACCCTCTCCTCATCCTCAGCAAGCACACTCTCCCCATCAACACTTTCCACAGCCTTCCTAACAACAGCAGGTTGCAAAACCATGACCACCTCCACACCCTCACCCCCACTCGTCTCCAACACGCCTTCCCTCTTCTCCTTTTCAACCTCTGGCTGCACCAGGGAACTCAACTCATCCAATCCCCAAAACTCTACCTCCCACTCGACGCTCCACAGCCTCGCACCAAACCTCAGCGCCAGATCCATCTCCGTGGTCAAGACCTGCTCAAGCTTGGCAATACCCTTGGCGTCAACCTGGTCCTGCAGCAAGAAACGCGCAGGACCGCCAAGGAAGCGCTCGGCGAGCTTGACGGCATACTCGCGCCTTGCTTCGGCGAGGAGACGGCGGTCTTCGTTCTTAAGGATGGAGGGGTGGGTGGGGTCGTGGACCAGACCGCCTTGGGCGAGGATGGAGATCATTTGGGAGCGGAGGGCAGGGGTTGCTAGCGGAGTTGTTTGGACTGTGTGAAAGCAAGAAGTGTTAGTTACCTAGCTGAGCAGGAAAGGGAGAACAGAGCAAAAGAAAGAGGCTTACCTTTAGACAAGAACCCACACATGCTCTTCAAGTCACCTTCACTTGGGAGTTTACCCGGGAGCGCACCCATTGAGAGACCAGGCGTCTCCAGCCCGGCGGATTGTAAAGAGGTGATGAGCGGCGGCGGCTGTCTTGGGCTCAGCGTGGCTACTGACCTCGCTGTCGCCGGCTGCTGATTATACACCTCCGCACCTGCAGGCACGTACGAAGCTGCTGGCAGCGGGGGAATGCATTCCCAGGAGGCTAGGTCCATCCTGAAGCCGACTGGAGACATGCTGCCGGGGCGGGTGAGGGTAGGGGAAGTCAATTCCGCAAGATCATTGCGTTGCAGAGCATTGAAAGCCCAGAAGGGAGGCAACAGGGCTTCGGAGGTGATGAAGTTGGCGAGCATGGCGTAGAGGATGAGGCGAGTGACATTGGCACCGTCGTTTTTGGCGGAGTCAAGGAGCTCGGGGGGCAGTTGACCCTCTTGTGTCAAGCGGATGAACTTCTGGATGGAGCGGAAGAGCTCTTTTTGTTGGACGGGGTGGAGCTCAATGATGCGGTTGACATTTGGGTGGGTAAATTCGTCAACCCAAGAGTTCCAGACGGCGGTGCGGGTGGAGAACCAAGTGCTGATGTCGCTGTTGGAGAGTACAAGCCCTTGCTCGGGTTGGGACTTGAAGGACTTCTTTGGGGTGGTGGCCTTCTCGAGCTCAGCGATGCGCTCGTCGCGCTCGGCGATTTGCTTCTCTTGCTCGGCAACCTTGGCCTCGAGCTGGGAAATGGTACCATCCTGCTCGGAAAGGTTGTCCTCGTGGACGGTGAGCTTGTGCTCAAGCATGGCAATGAATTGTTCTTGCTTAAAGAACTTCTTCTCTTGCCGAGAGAGTTTAGCTTCGAGATCCTTAACGTCCTCTTGTTCAGCGAGCTGGGCTTAAGCTCCTTGACCTTGGCTTCGTACTTTTCCTCTCTCTCCTTGAGCATCTCTTCCCAAGCACGCTCCAGCAAGGCCCGGTCCTTCTTGGCCTGCGCGAACTCCTTTTGGGTTGCGGTGAGCTGGTTGGCGATGGTCTGATTCTCCGCAAGGAGATTCTCTTCGGCACGCCGGAGAGAAGCAAGCTGCTGGTGAAGACTGCGGTTCTCAATGGCCAGCTCCTTGTCTGGGTCTCCGTTATTCGTGCTGCTCATAGACGCCAGGAATCTGCTGACTCGGTCGTTGATGCCCTTGTTGCCTAGCTTGCGAGCAAGCCCTCCATTCTGCTTCGGTGTGATGGGTGTCACGGGGGAGATGATTAGGTCATCTCCTGCTTCCGCGGTGTCGTTCTGGCTCGCTTTTGGCTTGCTGTTGCGGGCGGTCCATAGCTTGAAGATGTGGTCTGCTCGCTCTGCTGCCGTACCCTGAAGAGTTGGATGTTCTCCATACTCAACAATGGTTGAGCTAGGCGTCTCGATGGCTGGGCTGAGAGGATAGGCAGAGCCAGGGGCAGGTGTAAGCGGGTGGTGGTAGGCCGGGGTAAGTGGTGTAGCCGCACTAGCCGGTGTCGCAGGAGTGAGCGGCATCGCATTGGGATGGGGAGTAAGCGTGTGAACATTGGCTTTGGGGGCGGGTACCGGTGTCAACGGGCCGTTGGGAGCGGGAGTCAACGGGAACTGGGTGCGGGGATTTCCAACAGCCGGAGACAATGGAATTGCCGTGACAATGCCAGGCGATCCGGGAGACAGAGGAAGGGCGGAGATGTTGGGGGTTGCCACTTTTGCCGAGTTGGGGGCACTGCTCAAAGGCGAGTTTGTCACCACTAAGGTCAACTTCGGACCTCTCAAGGGTGACATGGAATGTGGGCTTTTTGGGCTTCTCATGATCGGCGAGTTCGCCGGTAATTGTGCGGTAGGGGAAACGGCGGACTGAGCAGTCTGGGGCAAAGCCGTGACGATGGGGGTCGCGGAGGCCATCATGATGGTGGTAATAAAACAATAGTTAAAAATGGGGTATAGTAAGAAACAGATAGGATGATGGTCTTGTTGCTATAGTTCGGCGATCCTGCACCAAGCTGATGGATGTGATGATAGATAGAGAACAATGAGGACTCTCGGCGCGAAGCTCTCACAACGCTGACTTCAAGTGTGAAGTTGAAGCTGAAAATGAGAACAATTTTGAGAGCGTGCTCGCCGTGAGCGAGGCCAGACTTACATACTTTCTGGTGTTCCTCAGCTTTTTGTGATAACAATAGAAGAGAGCGGTCCAGTCAACATGGGGTTGCAGGGGTCTTCTACCGGGGGATAGCGCGGACTGGCTCGCGAGTTCTCCTACCCCCTGTCCGGCGCTTATTCCTCAACGCCATTGGCTCCCGCAGCATCAACACCACTTCCATTGGCACTCTTCACATCAGGCAGACTGTGTAGGAAGCACGCCCAGCATGGAAGTGAGGACCTCAGCGGGCCCTCAGCGTGCTCTCAGTGGGCAGAAGATGGTTGACTACCCCTCCTATGGCGCCCTTGTCGATCAATTTCTTCCAGCGGCTCTACCACTCACTCGGGAAGCCATCTGCAAATGTCTTGCTCTCACTTGCCCTCCTCGAGCCTTGTCCTCGTACGGCTTCTTGGCTCCGTAGCTCCCGCTGATCATCACCGTGGACTCTTTTCGCCTTAATGCAGGCCACTCCATCCGGATCACATCATGACCAACCTAGTCGATCGCTTGGGCGGCTGGGCGGTTAGCCAATTGTGCCAATATCCTACGCCTATGGCATTACCTTTCCCAGAGCGAAGCGCAGGTGGAGTCTGGCCAGTACGTAGTTTTCCAGACTCGCATGTCATCTCCTTCCTGGGACGCGCAACAACACCAGAAGCAAAGAATCGAACGAGCCATTTTGCCTGATCCGGCCTGGAATCAGCCATACTGTGCGGTAGTGGGGTGTGGTAGGAATCCAAGACATGTGCCGATCTGAGGTATGAAACCAGTCGCTTTTGAGGGTCATCGAGACACCCATCTTAGGGTGAGCCAAAACGTGGGAAGTGAGGATCTAGATATATCAGTTTTTGTTTCAGCTTTCGAGGAGTACTGGATCTTACCTTGATGAAAACTGTTAAGCTCTCCGTTCTTCATTGCATCAAAATTCCATAACTCTTTGACATGGCGATGTCATCTCTGGTCAGCAACCCATGTCACGACCAATGAGCCATGATCACTGAAGAAGCCGTCGCTGCTGGTAAGGACAAACCTTCCATAGGGCAGCGAGAGCCGAAACCCTTCACGATCCACCTCGTCGCGCTTACCGGCTCGGGCTAACGGTCCTCGGCTCCATTTCCTTGGGAGAGGTGAGTTAGCCATCATCAACTTGTGATAGGAATAAGCGCCTGCATATGAGCGCGGCTGATGGAGTGTTGACATGGTAGAGATGCTATGTCAAAGTTGTGACCAGGCCCTAGGGTGAAGATGTCAGTACTAGCCAAGTCCGACCGAAGAAGGCTGACCAGTGTCGGGCATAGCAAAATGCTAGTATAAAGTCAACAACGCTCCCAACCTCCATTAACACCCCATGACTGTCATATATACAGCTCGGTCCTCCTCCTTGGACGACACATCTTCCTCTTATATACACCACCAGCCTTGTACTCCTCTAACGCGGTATATCCTCCAGCCTATTCCTTCTACATGCTCCTCCATATTAACGACAGTGCCTCCCAAACATGCTATGCAAAACACAACAATAACATATCCAAACCAAATCCTACCTCCCCTACCTTCTAACCAATGCGTGACCTGGCAGACCTTCCCAAAGGGTGATAGATTCGACATAATACCGTCGCCATCCTGTTCCCAATCCCAGATTCCCCGATGTTCGCCCGAGAAGCTTGACTCGACGCTCGATAGCGATAGCACAAAGTCCCATACCCCGATCTTTCGCCTACCGTCTACTGTGGTTTCTGCGCAAACCAAAAGTAATAATTAAAATACCGATGCACCTTCGGATTATCCAGTCCCTTTCTCGCTTCCATCATAATAATCTCCTTCTGCACCTGATCCAACCCCAGCGCATCAAACGGTCTTCCGGCAAGCGCCTGCATGATCTCGAGAATGGCCATCTTCTGATACATGCCCACCAATCTGAGCGTCTTATCCTTGGCCCAGACGCCAATTGGCACCTTCTTGACCACGCACTGGATGTTGACGAACCCAGCGTCGGTGAGGTATTGCCTCAGGATCTTGGGAATGGTGATGTTCATGTTGAACTTGGCAAAGGCTTGTTGGGTGAGGTCGTAGAGGAACTTGACGGGGTCGTCGGCGGACATGGTGTCGTCGTCGCAGAAGACTTCGCAGTTTAGTTCTTGGAATTCGATCCAGCCGCCTGGTTTGAGGGCGCTGTTTGGGGTGTTCGTTAGCAAGTCATCAACAAGGGGGCAGCAACGGCCATCATCTGGGGACAAGAAAGCCGACTTACTCGTAAGCATGACCTAACACAACCGGCAAATTCTTCAACACAGTCGCCATAAACCGAAAATGCGCATAATCCACCTCTTCCCTCATCAACCACTCCTGCTCACAATCATCCACCAAAAAGTCCACATTGGGGGGAACCCAAAGCGGTTGCACAGGACTGATATCCATTCCCCGGACCCTAGCCATCGGCCACCTATCACCGGCATCAATCGCCCAAATGCCCGTCCCCGTTCCAATATCCAGTATATTCTGCGGATTCTTCTCCAACGGCGCCAACACCAGCTGGCCGTCCAGCAGCTCGAGAAGCATGGCGTGCTTCATGTCTTCGCGCGACAGCTCGGCATCGTCATTGGGAATCGGATAGCGCGAGTTCTTGTAGGATTGGTAACGTCGGCCGTGCTCGTAGGTGTGCGCGTAGATGGAGGAGGTGGCAGAGGTTGAGCCGGTCGATCGGGTTTCGTAGCCTTCGGTGAGGGAGAACTCGTCCGAGTCGGAGGCGTCGTCGTGGCCGGCGGCTTCTATGTTGTCGTGATGGCCGTGGTGGCCGTTCTGTTGGCCTTCGTGGCCGTCGTTGTGGGAACCATTGTTGTAGGGACCGGACTTCAATTGCGATGATGATGATGATGATGATGCTTGCTCGTAGGTGGTGGTTGGAGCTAGGAGGGGAGCTTCGTGAGTTTCTTCATCTTCCGAAGCTCGGGAAGCTTGCTGCTGCTGCTGAGGTGCGTCTGACACAGGGCTCGAAGTGGTGTTTGCGACTTCATCAGCGGGAGCGTCCGCGGTGGCGGGTGCTGACTTGTGCATCGCGACACTGTCCTCTGCAGCAGCGGGGTCTTGAACTGCAGAAGTTTTGTTGGACTTGGGCGCATTCTTTGAGGTCGCATCGTTTGCAGTTGATGATGACGGCGTCGCATCGTGTGCTCTGGCGCTGGCGCTGGCGCTTTCGGCTGTTGGGTGGTCGCCGGAAGCCGTCATTTTGGTGGAAAAGAATTTGGACCGTAGTGATTTCATTTAGTTGTTTGGGGGAACAAAGTTCGAAAGTCAGGAAGAAGGATACCGGCAGAAGATCATTAAAGTGTAGGAGTGATCAACCGGGAGATTGGCGAGATGGACCACGAAGGGGGAAGGAAGGGGCTTCCTTGGATCGGGTATCGAATTGGTAATTGCACTCGGGACTGCGCCTTGGAATTGCAGTGGCGATATTGCAGTGAGTGAGTGATTCAGAGGGGGAAGCTTCGAGATGTTCTCTCGGTCTGTTAGCTTCGGTATTCTCCCCTCTTTTTGTATTTCAGTTTCTGTAACACGAAGTCTTTTTTGAATGAACAGACTGAAACATGGAATACAACCATCCTCAAGGATCAAAGGATTCCATAGCCGTCATTACTTCCACTTAGAAGTTCCCCGGAACGAAATCCTCCACCTCGGCTTCCCGGGGCCCCGAGCGATCTTCCCCATGCACCACGTGGTTTTAAACATCCCATGTCTCGCCGAAAATCCACCACAGAAAACGTCATCTTCCTTGTCAGTCCAGCTCCGTTCATCTCGTCTTTCTTTTTCTCCTGTCTCGGTCAGATGCTTATTTCTTTCCATTTCTCTGCCGCTTTCATCTATTTCTTCCAATCGACCGTCTTGGAAATTGGGAATTGGACAGCCATTGTTGGTTACCTTAATGGACATCCATTACAGCCCGGGCACAGACATCCAATCTTACAAGACATTCAAAGAAGTTTCGTAATGTCGTAATCTGCAACACCGCGTGGTAATGTAACGTCGGCCAAACCCCAAAACTGCCGTGGTGCCGCTTCGCCAAGCGAGCATGAAAATCCGCGGATCCCATTGCGATCTCCCCGATCCTACTTCGTCGATCCCTATTTTCTCGAACAACTCCGGATGTAAAGTCCGGATTATTCTTTGCGTGTTGATGGTGCGGAAAGTCGATATTCGACAATGCGCACGGGAAGTGAAGTTTGTAAAGGAGCAAAAATACCGTTACAGCTCTGGCCTAGAACGACGATGGCACAGATGGATACACCGAGGTCCCGGGCGGGTTAGGATTCTGTGAGCGAGTTCGTTACATGCACCCGTATGCATTGTATCGCATGATAATCTTTCCCGACTTACCTCCTCGACCACGGACAACACCACCCAAGAGCAACACCCAAGAGCAACACCCAAGAGCAACAACCAAGAACAACACCCAAGAACCAACAGATGTTTTATCAATTACCATTCGGTCTCATCCTATGTGGGTATACCAACTTCCTCATCGGTTTCTTTCCCTCTTTCAGCTTCTCCTCCGTGTCCTCCCTATTGCTCGCATTCGCTTGTATGCCTGAATCCCGTCATGCTCCCATCATATGATACGATCGAATCGAACCCCTTGTGTTCACAACCACAAAACCTCGGCTACAACCCATCCCCCTACAATCCCAGGAAGTTCAAGGCTAAACACTTCTCCCATGCCCCTTCCTAACCATCAACATCTTCTCCACACTCGTAGCATCCATCGCCAACTCGGCCTCTTCCAGCGCCTGCAACGCCGCTTTACTTCCCCTCTCAATCATATCCCTATCATAATTTTCAAACACCTCCTTCCTATCCGCTCCACTATCTCTGATCGCCAGCAAAGCCTGCACGTAATTATGCACATCAGTAACAGCATGCTGAAACCCCTGTCCTCGCAAAATGAGCATCGGATGTCCCGCGTCTCCAGCCAGCGTCACTCTTCCGTTACGATTATCGAACGGTTGAGCGATCCAGGTACCCATTTCGTCGATGAAGGCCTTGGTGTGAGTCTCGTCTTCAGGCGTGGAGTCCAAGAGGACTTGAAAATCAGGTGAGAGTCCTTGCCAGGACTGTTTGAGGTAGCGAACGGCGGCGGGACCCTTGCGTGGAAGGTTGGGGGTGCTGGAGAGGGAACCTTTCCAGATTTTGGTCCAGAAGATCGTGTGCTTGAGGTCGGAAGAAGGATAGGATGGGGAGGAGGTTGTATATTGGACTGTGATTGTGATTGTGTTAGCTGTCGTCGTGTTTCTGTGATATCGTTTTGCCCGTAGGTCCTGTTCCTGCTTTCGTTCTCTGTCTTGGGGACGTAACGTAAACAAGGAGAAAACATACCTCCAAACCCACCAACAGCCCCTCGACTCATCACCAGAGACGTGACAGGATGCTTCTTCAGTACCTTCTGCACCATCTCTCCATCATCCTGATAATCAACGATACAAGTCCCGATCATAAACCCGCTCCTCTTGACCTTGGCCTTTTCTTCTCCATTTTCCTGATTCGAAAACAGGATCTCCCTCACTTTTGAACCAGCCCCGTCCGTGCCGAGGACGTAATCCGCCCATACTTCCTCTTCCACTCCGTCTTCCTGTTCAAGCGTGACCTTCACCTTCTCCGAATCAGACTCAGTATCCAGGCTGGTCACTTTCCTTCCCCACTGGATATCAAGTCCTTCGCTCAACACCTCCCGCAATCCCCGCCTCGTAATCCTTCGGCTGCCGGGTACCGCGCTCTTGAAGATTAGATCGCCTGTTTCGCCATTGTACATGGGCAGTGTCTCGGCCCAGTCGTCAAACTCTAAGTGAGGGTTACTGATGGCGCTATCAAAGTTGGCGAAAATGGAAGGCGGGAGGAGGGAGGAGAAGATGGGGAGAGCCCAGTGGAGGAGGATGGTCCAGTCGCGCAGGCGCGAGTTGAGGTGTACTTCGGAGTCGTAAATAAGGACTTGGAAGCCGTTCTTGACGATTGTCAGCAACTGGAACAAGGGAAAGAACATGTTGGGGGAGAAGGAGGCGTTGATGGGTATACTGACATTTTTGAGGGCTTGAGCCGCAAGGAGACCGGTGAGGCCAGCGCCAATGATGGCGACGGTTGGCGAGGAGTTGCGGTCTTTTGACGCTGCCATGTTTGCTGTTTCTCGATACCTGGAGGTGAGTTGCTGTGATGAAAATATCGAGCCGGAGTCGCACAAGTTGGCGACAAAGGGAAAGTTGAAGATCAAGGGATGTTTTTGTACACCACTTAATCCAAGTTCAAGTGAAGGTGCGTAGACGTGTGAATGGGATATGGCTCGCTTTTGGAAGAATATCCCAACGGAATCAGGGTGCAGGAGGAAGAACCCTGGTGGCCACCTATCTCCAGTCCGGTCCTCTAGCCTTACTAGTCCAGGCACCAGGTGAATTTGACCTTTCCCACAAGGAACCCGCCCGAACACTGACGACGAATCGAGAGAAGCAGAGGAGACGGTCCGGTTCTGTGAAGGATCACGATGGTGGTGTGATCGGAATATGGGTATGTGAGCTCGCACTTGGGTTTGCTCCATTCCATCCCTCGGAATCCAATTTCCAACAATCATGAAGTTTCACAGCATTTCCGTCCGGTCATCCATGGGATTGGAGACCCATCGGGGAGGTTGCCTATCCCGACAGAGTGGGGCACTCTGTTCCGACAGGCGTCGTGTCCGAATTGCCGGTATTTCCACCGTTGTTAGCCGTTGACCCAGAAACCCAAAAACCAGCAATAAAACCGACAATCGCTTGCATAACGTGGTGGCATCGCTCGAGTTCTTCGATAGCTTGCTGTACACCGAAGTGTGGACTGCCCCTGTGGACGATTGTCTCAAATTTCGCAGTCCGAGCTAAGGCACGTAATCTTGTAGGGTGTTGCCGTACCGAGTTAGGATGCCGAACATTCCCCTTGGAAGCCGCGGAGGTGTCGTCAGTTGACCGGTAATTGTCGTTTCACGCCGATTGATATTCTCCGTAGTGTTGCCGAAGTTCATGAAGATGATGCATGTCTGACTGGGGTGGTGTTGGTTTGATCTTGGGGGTTTTGAGGATGCATCCTTTGTTAAGGGAGAGAAAGGTCACAGCTGCTCCGGAATCCGGAGTTCGCTGTTGGTGTGTGGAGAGGGGTGTAAAATAGGTACGAATATTTTGCTAAGATACCGGGATTGGGAACGGGTACGGTAACGATGGGCGTGTAAGATTCAACTGAACTCTGGGCGATGACGGGATACCGTGCTTTATCCGTGGCTGTCTCGAACGACAGTAACCGAGAAGTTCAATGCTTTCATTTCAGTTGATGGAAAATGGGCAGACTCTGAGATCAACAGTTGGCAGGAACGGGGAAGGCCAGGGGCATTGCCAGCCACGAGACCGACAGCTTGTGACTGAGACCCGGGAGGAGGACGAGAGCATCATCTGGGCCTCACCCGCCCTTTGGCTTTTCTTTTCTTTTCCATTCCAGAACCCAGAATTAATCCTGATCTTTGCCATCCATATTTCAATATTTTCCCGCAAAGAGCGAGATTGGAGGGCATCGCATGTGAGCGTTCCCGATCCTGTCCGGCGTACGGTGTCCGGTAACTTTCGTATCTTTCAGCCACCAGCTGCTGGTGTAAATTACACAGACCGGTATCCAATTTCAACCTTTCCTCCATTCATTGCCCTTCAACACAAGAGCTCAACACAGTCTGGTGAACACTTGCCCAGTCCAACTCAAGCAACTCCCCACTCCCCACTATCCATATTTTCCAGTGGTTTAGTCCCATACTCCTCCGGCACCACCTCCTCACCCGTCCTCAAATCCATATTCTTGATCGTCGCCTCCCACCTCTCCTGCGCCAGACTACACCACCGAAAATGCTGCAAATACTCCTCCCTCGAGTACACCAGCATCCTGTAGTGGCTCGTACACATCCTCAGCTCCCTCCACGCGCCCACATGACTGGCAAGCTCCGGGTCGGCGGGGTAATCAGTTACTCGAGACGAGAGAAGGCAGCCCCAGCATACGTGGCTGGAGTGTCCGGAATGAAGATGCGGAGTGGCATCTGACGGGGAGCTGGGAAAGGGATATGGCAAAGCCATGGCCATATATCGAAACAGGGAAAAGGTGCGGAACTCAGTATCTGTCATATCGTGTGGTTTTCGGTAAAGGGGAGGTGTTGAGCCAGCGACTTTGTTGAGAGTCTCATTGGTAAAGCCGGGTGGTAAGTGAATCGTCACTTCCCCTTTGCTTTCCCCTTCCCTTTTGCCCTTGGTAGTGTATTCGACTTCGAATTCCAGTGGATGAGGTGATCGAAGGAAGGGATCATCTGGCCCGGCTTTGATGAAGATTTTCTTGCTGAGGTAGGGTCGTTCTTCACCCTCTCTTTCCCCGTCGTTTTCCTCGTCCACCATTTCGATCCCCTCATGCCCACCATCTTCAACGCTCCTCGTCTGCCTCACCTCCAACCCTCCTTCCGGAAAAAAAAAACACTCCCTTGCGTCAAACACGCCCAACATCTCCTCTGGCCTGTCAGAAGAAGCACAAACAGCCCTGGGGTGCCGCCATATCCACATCCTTCACAGAGATGGAGCGTCACTCTTCCGCTTATCTGTTCTCGCTGCTGCTCCACCATCAACTTCTTCAACCTCCCCAGAGTCCAAAACCTCGCCGCCCCGTACGAAGCAGCCAACGCGCCGGGCGCGTATTCAACAGCGAATTGCACGTCTTTCATCGAGGACACCATGGTTCATAACCGGCTGGAGGAGTGTTTTAGAGCCCAAAGCGTGGCGATAGTGAAACGCTCGCAGACCTTGAGGAAGAGCTCGTAGGGGAGCACCGGCGGTGACAGCCCGGGTTGCGGGTTGGTCTTGTGATGCTGCTTCTGCAGCTTTCATGTCCACGCCCGCGTCCAAATCCTGATTCTCTACCAGATTTTCAATCCCTTTCGACTCCTCCTTCAAAACATCTACACCCTCCACCCCCAATTCCAACGAGCAGGACCTCCTCAAACCCCCCACCGCCTCCTCCGTCGTACTCAGCACGTTCTTCAAATACCACTCCGGCGGGCAAGTAATCACCCTCAGCAGCTTATCCGTGTCAATTTTCGCTAGCTTGTCGAGCGGGTACGGCTCCTTGGAGCGCGCTATATCCGGCATGTGGGATCCTTGAATATATGCGGCTTCGGTATCGGAGGAGAAGCAAACAAAGGTGGCTTGAGGGGGACGGCTACTCTGGGGGATGAGAGATGGGGAGGTTGCGGAAGATGAATTTGTTTCTGGTTCGGGCTGACATTGTGAGTGGCTCGAATGGCGTGGCAAAAAGGAGGCGTCGTGTAGAAAAAAAGTGGAGAGGATGATGGTCTGGTATATGTAGTCAACCGCCAATTGTATAAAGAAGCATAAGACTATAACTGAAGATCATGAGGGTGGTGAGTAACGACCAAGGTGAGTAAGATGAGGGGTTCCCTGACACTGAAACGCATGTTACCTCTGAATCAGGCATCCATCGCAATCAATTGGTCGATTCGACGCCGGATTATTGCATTGGATCCCAATAGCATCGGAAAAAAATTGAACCTGCGCGCGTTCCACGGTTTGCACCTAACTGTGCTAACCTCATCCTCGCTTCCCCATGGTTGTCAAACGGGCTGCTTGAATCCAACAGGTGAACAAGTGACAAAGGTCGGATCAATCGATGAAGCGAACCTCGGACAATACCCGCAGCATCCAGCATCGGCATGCTTCCCACTCTGAATACCGAAGCCGCACCCCATTCTGTACGGATGACGCGTCTCGCGTGTGACAGAAGCGGCTGAGAGCGGGTACCGACAGGAACAGCATGCGGACCGTCACGCAGTCCGCTACGGCAATCCTACCATCCTACGGGCTCGGTTTCGGGGTTGTCCGATGTCTGGTCTCCAATTTGCGGGGTTGTAGTATAAGCCGTCATTCAGGCGACCCTCCCCGTGCTTCTTGGATATATCTCCCCGATCCCATCCCTTGCGTTGCCTTGTCTTTTTTTTCCCAGCTGAACTGGTCGAGCAATTCTCATCTCCGTATCCATCACCAACCCATCTCAAAGATCCAACCATCGCAAGAAACTCGACCACAACCTGCATCTCAACAAGCCCTTCCGTCACCCACCATACAAGTCAAAATGTCCCCCTCCAAGGCCTCAACGTCCTCCTCCCCCTCCGCCCCCTCCACAATCATACTCACCAACCCCTCCATCCCCCTGGACTCCCTCATCCTCGTAACAGGCTGCAACGGCCTCATAGCCTCTCACGTAGCCGACCAACTTCTCACAGCTGGCTACCGCGTCCGTGGCACCGTCCGATCCGCCTCCAAAAATTCCTACCTCTCAGACCTCTACTCTTCCCGCCACGGCGACCCCAACAAATTCGAATTGCACGAAATGCCAGACGTCACGGCCCCTGGTGCCTGGGATCGCGCCTTGGCAGGAGTAGCAGGTATCATCCACTGCGTAGGCGCAACGGATATGACCACGCAAGACGCCGATGGCGCCGCCAAGCAAGAGCTAGAATGGCAGATTGCTCTGCTAGAGGCTGCTCGCCGAGCAGGGACCGTCAAGAGTTTCGTCTTCACCAGCTCAGCGTGGGCTGTCTGGACGCCTGATTCCTCGCGTCAAGTCACCCTGACAGAGAAAAGTTGGAACGAGGAAGCCATCGCCCTGGCGAGAAAAACGGGTGTGGACCCGAAAGAGAAGGGAATGGCGGGGTTTATGGCGCTCAAGACGCTTGTTGAGCAAGGCGTTTGGAAGTGGGTTGAGCGCGAGAATCCCGAGTTTGGATTTAATACTGTTTTGCTGGATACCGTTCTCGGCGAGTGTCTTGATCCGGTGCACCAGGGGATTCCGAGCACACCTGGTATGGTATACTGGATTTGGGAGAATAAGCATATGGGTATTATCGACTTGATGGAACCGCAGTGGTTTGTGAATTGCGTGGATATGGCCAAGGTGTATGTTGCTGCGCTGACGTCGTCGGACCCGAAAGTGGATAGGGAGCGGTTGTTTGCTTTTGGAGGGCGGTATAGCTTTAAGGAGGTGGCGCGGTTGTTGGGGGAGATTTATCCGGAGAGACTGAGGGAGGGGAAGTTGGGGATACCGAATAAGGAAGGGTGGGATCAGACAGAGGTGCCGAATCAGAGGGCCGAGGAGCTATTGAAGAGTGTTGGCCAGAAGCAGGGGTGGACGAGTCTGGAGGAGAGCGTGAGGGCGAATGCGGAGAGTATTTTGGTTTTGGAGAGGGAGGGTAAGGGTAAGGATGTGCCGAAGAGTAAGTATGACGAGCTGGATTAGAAAGAGGAGTTAATGATGGTTCGAATGTTGGGTATATAGAGGAATACATACGATAGCTTGCCGACGCCTAACTCCTCGAATATGCGCTACAGTGGCGCCGTCTGTTGTTCCCGTCTGCGAGCCGCCACGGGGCGGCGCATTATCATATCTCTGTCCGGGGAGGACTGCCATAACCAACATGGCAGACCGCTCCAAGCGCGACCATCTCCGTCTTCAAGACGCTGTGGGCTGCACATTATTTCCCACCGTCTTGTAAAGATCTCTCAGCTCGAACGCCTCGATGCCGCCCTCGGGAATCTCGCCAATGATCCTTGCCGGCTGACCAGCAACAATGCTGAAGCTAGGAATAACCATATTCGGGGGAACAACCGAGCCGTCGAGCACCTTGACGTAGTCCTTGATAATCGCAAACTCGCCAATGACGACCTTACCGCCAATATGGACGTGGTTGCCGATCTGAGCAGCTTGGACGACGGTGCCGGGGCCGACAAATACGTGGTCGCCGAGACGGAGGGGCATGAATGTGAAGACTCTGCACACAAGACCATCGTTAGCACTTGAACAAATGGCGATGGGAAAAGAAGCTGACATACCCCTTGTACATCCTCCCCGGCGGCCTTAGCACACATCCTTTGCTCAAGAAACAATATCGACCGATAGCGACGGCGGTGTTATTCGCTGGACCACTGGACCCCGCAGACTGGGCTGGTGGGATCGTCCTGGCGAGGTCGCCACGGATCATGACGTCGGGCTGGATTACTGTCTTGCCGCCCAGCATGATGTTTTGGGTGCCGACCAAAGTGGCCTTGCGAGCGACCTTGTTGCCCGTGTCGGTCTCGATGTATTCTCCTCTGGGGGGTCGGCGGGACATGATGGCTGTTGTATGGGTTGTCGGTGGTGGTGGTGGTGGTGGTGGTGGTGTTGTTGTTGTTGTTGTTGTTGTTGTTGTTATTGCTGTTGTTATTGCTGTTGTTCTTGTTGTTGTTGATTGTTTGGTGTTTTGGTTAACAATTTCTATCAGGCACCCAAACAAAGGGCACCTTGACGGTTTGGCGTTGATAGCGCGACCGGACAAAAGTGCCGATTGAAGACAGGGATCACGCAAATGATGACCTCTGATTGGTCGATCAGCTAAAGGAGCTTGAGACCTTGGACCACTCACTGCGGAACACACGGCGGACACAGGCGGGGTCCCCTGAAAGAAGCGCTGAAGCTGATGATTCGCTATCGTCGGTTCCGCGTCTTCCACTCGTTGTCCGCTCCTCTTCCACCACGCAAGTCGAGACCAGGTTGAAGCCTTGAAGCCCAACAGATGTGATGGATCTCGACAAGACCTGCGGTGAGCGAATGGAGTCCAACAACTCCAGAATCGCCTCAGTTTCGGCCACAGACTAGACTCGTTGCAGTTATGAGAGCATCACCCCATGTCCTTGTCTCTTGATGGCCATTTGGGATTTGGGATTTACTATATCTGTGTTGGTTCCCTTCTTTTCGGTTGATTGTTGACAGTTGACCTCCATTGTTGCTGTAAACAACAGTCCCCTGAATGCCCTCATTCCCATCTCGCCATCAAAGTCAACAACCAAAACACCATGTCCGCCACCCAGAACCAGAACCAATCCCCTCAGCCAAGCACGGGCTCCTCCGCCTCTCTCTACCTCTTCAACATCTCCCACATCTCGCACCCGACCTACTCTCGACCATCAACAACCACCACCCTTACAACCGGCATCGACGAACCTTCCCCATCCGAAATCCACCAATCCCGCCTTCGCGTCCTTCACTGGCTCCTCAACCTCTCCCAAACCGACGCATCGTACCCATCCATGAACTCAACATACTCCGGCCCCGCGTTCGCCCACCCCTTGATGCCCTCGAACAGAGCCAAACTCTGAATAGAGCTATCGCCCACCTTCAGGAGATAATCAGATAACCAGCGAGCGCCCCGGCTGCCGCGACCGGTTGAAGAGCCGCAGTAGAAAATCACTTTTTTCAGGCCGGTGGCTTTGAATATGGCGTAGATTGTGGGCAGAGTTGGGTAGAGTGATTGCGCGGGCAGGTTGAGGGAGCCGCGGATTGTACCGCCCTGGATATACAGTGGAAGAGGGCTTGGCGTTAGCGAGCTGGACTATGATGGGTCGACGGGAGATGGTTACGAACCTCGAAATCGTTCCTGCGCAAATCGACCAACACAAAGTCCTTGCCGATAGCTTCACCCGTTGAGCCCTTGAGCATCTCTAGCACTTCGGCGCGGGAGATGTTCATCAGGTCGGATTGAGGCTCGGGGAAGGCGGCATACCATGGCGCCGGCTTGGACTCAGTTTCTGGTGCTGTGGTCATTTTCGCTGCGATTTCTTGTCTCAAACGGGCGAGAATTGGATGTTACACGCGAGGAGTTACACTGCCGTCCGTCGTGGAAAGATGGAAGCTGTTGAGGAAGCCGTCGAGGAACAACACAGAACACCACATCACGCAAAACGAGGATCCCCATCCTTGGCGGTTAGTCACCAGGATGGCTTCTGATTGGTCAATTCTGGGGCATGCCGAGGATGCCCGATGTTTGTCCGGAATCATCCTGGCTGTCAAAACACAAAAAAAACACGACTTTAGCACATTACGATTTGAGCGCAGCAATACACCACGGAGGACTCTCCTGCGACTCAGCGAATGTCCTGTCGAAGTACATGACGAGACCTCGTGCCCATGCGAGGCGGCCGTCGGGACTCTTGACCTATCCAACTGTTCACAGTAACCCTTCGGTGGCTCACTTTTCCGGATCGACTATCTCGTGAAGTCTTCCAACCCTGGCAGGAAGCCGATTGGATGGACCCGAAAGGTTGTAATGGCAAACTCTCGAAGACGAGGAGGAGTTTTGGACGGAGAGATGAAGGTCTGGAAATCAAGCGCTGAGGGAGAAGGAAAGGGCAGGTTAGAAAAAGCTGGCTAATGCCAGAAGCCTGCCTCGGTGGCCGTCTGGTCTACTGCGTGGTCGATCCATATCAACTTGTCAACTTGTCAGTCACGCGTGTGGCAGGCCACGGGAACGATAATGTCGTCCCGGACAAGCGCAGCTTCTATTTGCGCGGACAAGTCATACGGTTTTTTTGCTACCCCTACCGGATGGCACCTCTCATACGACATACTTCATTCTTGACCGGGAACAAAGACCGGTAGCCGCAAATCCAACTTACAGGCTTTTACCCGCTTTTGCTTATGTCTGTCTGTTTCTCCTCTTTGCACTCGGCCGACTTGATATAAGCCTCCACTACTTCCATATGAAGAAGCCTTCGGCTCCAGACTGCTGGGACAGTTTGGGTCCCATAAGTCGAGCCAAGAAAAGTTAATAAGCAGTTGGCTGCACCTAGCGCTTGGAGCTTGTCGGCAACGCTGGCTCGATGTTTTTGGGCCTCCATCACCACCAGGGGCTGGGAAATCGTGTCTCTGATGAGAACAGACGACCTTTGCTTCCTCTCAGAAGGGCAGGGCTATAAAAGGGGAGACAGATTATAGATGATCTCTGGATGGGTAACGAAATCCCTCCGCACATCATTGTCATTTTCGCCTACCACAAATCAACGAAGCAACAAAATCAGCAACCATGAAGTTCATCACTTGCTTCTCCCTCTTCGCCACTGCGATACTTGCAGCTCCTGCTTCTGCTCCCGCTCCCGCTGCCGTCTTCGACCCCCATACCATGGACCCCAAAGCCCTAGCCGCTCTCAAGACGTGCGGCGGTGGCACGGGGTATTGCAGCAGTGGACAATGCTATTGCTCCAACTACTGCGAAACTGGATATTGCCCTTGGACTCCTTGCGGGAAGTGCTAGTCCAAAGCTCAGCTTGCAGTGAGTGGCCATGGAATCTATGAATGGTTGCATGTGATTGACACCGAACAACAGCTCTGAGCAGAAGCCCGGAAATATTATAGACGGACGGGAGAAGAGGATCACGATCGAGGAATTGAGGAAGGAGGGTATTTCTAGCACGGAGAGTGGCCTGCCAGGCAGACGAGGCAGGCACGCGACTTGCTTGTGAGCATGGGAAAGAGCGAACCGCAGCGGAAGTTTTGAATCCCACAAGAATTTCACATCAGGTCTCCGGCCGCGGGATATGCTCCAAGACCGATAATTCTTGATGGAGGTTTCTCCTTGTAGGCCTTGTCAGCGGAAGGAGCGATCGTGGGCGGAGGACACAATTTGATCAAGGAAATTTCCCACTCCAAATCGCTTTCTCCTCGACGTTTCCTCTCGCTGTTCAGTTGCTTCACGAATCCAAAAAGAGCTTTGATTTGAGCTCTCCGCCTATCTGATATTTCGCCGCTTTTCTCCAACGTCGTCGATTTCGTTGCTTTCATGCCTCCCATCGTAAATGCTCCCTTCTGTCAGGATGTGTTCTCCTTTCACGCCTTTCTCGCTACATGACCCTACTCTCTGAATTATTGCCTCAGATCAACGACCATCCCGTCCCCCAATCTCAGCCGCGACGAATGCAAAGAAGAAGCATTGCCGATCCAGCCTTTTGGCTTTGATTGCATAACGGCTTGGATATTGCATGCGATGTACGCGCCAGGAGTGGTCACCCACGGAAGTTCGGCAACTTCATCCCCCTTCGTTGGTTATGTTGCGCGGCCGGTGGAGGGCGACTGGTGCGGTTCAAAGCACGACTCCTGACTGAAAACATGGATGCTTAGCAGGCTGTTGTATCGTAGCATGCCTACCTCGAGCGCATCAGCAAGTGGTGCTCAATACAGCTCTTTCTCGAACATCGCGCCACGACAGCCTTTCAACATTCCAAGACATGTCGTCGACCTCAGGACACCGTCATGGCTTCCAGAAAATCCTAGTCAACTTGGCATCCGGCACTCGTTCCTGCCAATGCTCTTGGCTTACACTGCTCAATGCTTGATTCAAGCCACCACGCGATCTCCCGAAGTTCTTCACTCCTCTCTCCCCTTCGGACACATACAATACCCTGCCGACCATACACCATTACGAATACCCATCCCGTCTCGCACCCGCAGATAGCACTATGGGCTGCTATGGACAAGACGAAATAACGCCGAGCGGTATTATTTGCTCTGCAGATTGGTTGACAGCGTCGCATCCTGCCGTTGACCCGCGCATTTCACACATGCCGTGCCGCTCACAAACGGCGGTAGGATAAGGTACATTAGCCTGATGTGTACACTGGCAACGGATTACGGCCATAACACTGGATGCCGGAACCGGTTGCCAGAATGCTTGCCTTCCGTACAGGTGTTCAAGTGCATTACTGGGCATCGAGAACAAGTCTGGAAGAGCAAGAGAAGGGACCAAAGCCACGGCTCTGGTATACTGACAGCTTATGGACCAGGACGCTCCGCTATTACCCTTGGTATAGGAGTTTGGAAGCTGAAAACCGCATGGGAATGGCACTGGGATAGCAAGTGAATATTTCCAATGGCATCTCGACGTAAGTATTCTATGATGAGTGGTGCGCCTCTTCCACTCACGTCATGCATGTCGGATCTCTTGTCCTTCTGGGCGATCGGCTTCAGCCTAACCGGACCTCACTTGATCAATCACTGACTTCAAATTCTCCCTTCCAGGAGCCACAGGCTAAACGAACATTTCACGCATTCATTCTTCCCGGCTGCAAGTCATTGCCTGTCTGGCGGTTGACAGCTCAAACGAGAGATGAGTGTCGGGGATAGACACCAGGAAGACACCATCAGACCCCGGATCTACATCCAGCCATTTCCTTGTGTTCATGTTGCAATATGGAAAATCCGTCCGGCTCTAGGTCCGGCTTGCCTAGGCCAACCCAGAACTGGATGATCCTCCATCTCGGACTTGCTTCAACTGGACGAGTTCGCCTGCCGTGAGATGAACATGATGGGAATCGAACCAACAACAAACCATCACTCCACGTTTCCGATCTATCGGGTCTCCCCAGCCAGTTACATTTCCCCTTCTCCATATTGTTTACTATCCGAAGAGGCAACATACAGCCTGACACAAGTCACTTGCCCACGGAGGCTTCCCGGAAACCGTATCCTAGCTGAGAAGATATCAACCGGCGCCACCTCCAGTCCATATATGCACCGCTCGGTCCTTGATATCTGTCCCTTCCCTTAGGGTTTCCTTCTCTCTCCATGTCCGGTCTCTACACCGTGTTATCACCTACCTTCACCTGCACCACTCACCACTCATCCTAACACCAGCTAGACATCACCGTCAAGATGGTCGGCGGCGGCCCCCAGTCCGATAATCTCATCCATCGGATGGCTATGGATGATCCCATCCCATGGTGGAAGAAGCCGCGTCTGCGAAACATGTATCTCCTGCTTTTCCCCTGTGTCATCGGTATTGAAATGACATCTGGCTTCGATTCTCAAATCATCAACTCGGCACAGTTGTTGCCTGCTTGGAAAGAGTGTGAGTTCTTCATTTTGACAACTTGAGGAAAGACATGTGCTGACGAGAGTAAACAGACTTTGGCCACCCAACGGGCGCCTATAGCGGCATTCTCGCTTCTGCCCTTCCTCTCGGTTCCGTCCTCGGGCTACCCTTCATCCCACTGATCAACGATACGTTTGGTCGAAGATGGTGCATCATGTTTGGTTCCTGGGTCATGATCATTGGCACTTTTATCCAAGGTTTCTCAAAGAACGGTATGTCCGCCACTGCTGAAGCCAGCTACAGCAGCCACTACAACTTCTCTGAACCATGCTAAAATTATCCAGCCGCCACGTACATCGTTGCCCGCGCCATCATTGGTTTCGGTCTTCCCTACGCCATCGTAGCCGGCTCGTGTCTGATTGGCGAGCTTGCCTACCCCAAGGAACGTCCCATTCTGACCTCGCTCTTCAACGCCTGCTACTTTATCGGTGCCATTGTCGCCGCCGGCTGCACCTTCGGTACCCAAACGATCAAGAACGATTGGTCATGGCGTATTCCCTCCCTTCTTCAAATGGCTCCTTCCCTACTCCAAGTCTTCTTTGTCTTTTTCCTTCCGGAATCGCCGAGATACTTGATGAGTAAAGATCGTCTTGAGGAAGCAAAGAAGGTGCTTATCACGTACCATGCCGAAGGAAACGCCGATAGTGAGTTCGTCAAAGCAGAAATTGCCGAGATCAAAGTTACTCTCGAGATCGAGTTGGAGCATTCAAAGCAGTCGTGGGCGGATATGATCCGCACCGCTGGTATGCGCCGCCGCGTGCTCATCGGTTCCTTGCTTGGCCTGTTCACTCAGCTCTCCGGCAATGTCGTCATTTCCTACTTCCTCGGTGACGTTTTGAAGTTGATCGGCTACACGGACCCCAGCTTCCAGACCAAGTATAACTTGGGCAATCAATGCTGGAGTTTGGTCTGTGGTGTCAGTGCCGCGTTGGTGGTGATGAGGTTCCGGCGCAGGACCATGTACCTGACGGGCATCTTTTCCATCTTGGCGGTCTACGTCGGCTGGACGGTTTGTACCGCGGTGTTTATTTCGCACAGGAACCCCGTGGCGGCCAAGTTCAGTCTTTTCTGGATCTATGCTTACAGCCCGGCTTACAATCTGTGTTTCAACGCTCTTACCTACAGTCAGCCACCCTTTCTCTCCCCCATCTGGTTCAAAACGCTAACAAAGAGTAGCCTACCTGATCGAAATTTTCCCCTACGCCCAACGCGCCCGTGGTATTGCCATCTTCCAGTTCTGGGGCAAGGCCGCGCAGTTCTTTGGTACTAATGTCAACCCCATCGGTACTCAGGCCATCGGATGGAAGTACTTGCTGGTGTATTGCTGTTGGATTTTTGTGGAGGCGGGGCTCATTTGGTTCTTGTGGCCTGAGACGTCGAATCGCAGTTTGGAGGAGTTGGCTTTCTGTGAGTGTCCCTGGGCCCCTATTGTCAGGATTGGGGGAGTTAAGATTGGTGAGTTATTGCTAACAAAGGTTGTGACGCAGTGTTCGAGGACAAGGAAGACTTGGCTCAGTTGCAGCAGAAGAGGGTCGAGACTGAACAAGGGGTGGGAGAGTTGGACGATGAGAAGCATGCTGTTGTTCAGGAGAGGCAGGTTTGAGTGTGTACGGATAAGTGGAAGGGCAGGATGATTTGGCTCTCCTGGTCGGTATTTGTTGATGGCCTTAGTCTCCTAAGGGCCGGTCGGGAGGAATCGATAGTGGTGTTCTCCATAGCAGACATTTGTGAGAATAATTCATCGTCGAGTTTTGTGACTTTGGTCTCGATTCCCCGGTTCCGTTATCTCGTGATCGATGAACGGTTCACGGTGACGAAAGCTGGCTGATTCTGGTGATGCGAATATCAGATGAAGATGTGGGCATCGAGGCAATGGGGGGTCCATCGGTTCATCCCGTTTCCGATATCTACATAGCCATCAGAGGAACTACAAATATGCCCGAAACACAAAGGAAGAGGTTGCGATCAGTCCTTCAACGTCGGGCAAAATGAACGAAAAAGTAATCATCACTACCTCCAGTAGCGCCACACTGAAAAACTTAGCTGGAACGCGGTTCAAAACACAGACAAAAATTAACCAAATCACCCAAGAAAAATAAGAACGGACACAGATGAGCTAGGGACGAAGAAGAGAAAAAGAAAAAAAAAAGAGAAAAAAGTAGAAAAAACTGCGCCAAGAGGGAATCGAACCCCCACCTCATCCTTGGAAGGGATGAATCCTAGCCGTTAGACCATTGGCGCTTATTGTTGGAAATGGGTGTGTACATTTGAGGTTACATAGCCCAAATTTGGTATCCTGCACACAGTAAGCAGAAAGCGGAGGACGTCGGGTCCAACCCCTCTTTTTTCGGGGAATCGTGATGGCGGATGACCGAGGCCGGATCTTCTGTTCAGCGACGTCGCAGATGCAGGGACCAAGATCATCAATTGCATCCTCACATTTCTATCTCGATTCAGGAAAACGCGACATTCAACTTTTTGCTCACCACTAGGTGCGGAAATGAGCGCGTCGCGACTTATCTGCCATCGCCAAATACCCCGCGTTACGCCAAGCATGCCGGGTGACGGGATCTGATGGCTCACCCTGCCCGCTACGCCCCGCTTCGAAAATTGAAGCTATTCTCATTTCTTTTCATGCTGCCCTCATGCTGCCCGCGTGGACGCATGGACGTTTGTTTCAGCTGTTTTGTCATCGACTCTCGCACTCTCGAGTCTCGCCCAAGGCCAGGACAAAATTGATGACATGATTCCGTTCGTCAATGGTGGCTTGATGGAAATGGACAAGCCGAACTGAACATTTCATCATGTCTCATTCCCAACCGGACTGGACTCTTTACCACCGTCACCCTCATTCCACCAGACACGGGCCGTGATTGCCAAAAGTGGAATGTATGTCGGGCACGCACCAGAACAGTGCAGAAAGCCATCAAGCCATCAAGCCACCAGCGTAACATAACGGGGAAACCCGTTGACGGCTGCCCGGTGAGAAGCTTGTTGGTTGTTGAAATCTGAGGGGAAAATGCAACCCTCTTTTGTTTCTTGTCAAGTTTGTTCCTGATGACTCTGCGGCGAACAGATGGAGTTGAACGAACCAACTGCCTAAAAGTCCCTGGTGAACCGCCGGACGCTACTGAATGCCTGCCCCTGCACTCAATTGTTTACAGGGGGGTCTTCCATGAGAGATTGAGAGGGGTTTCAGTGTTTCCGTTGAGGGGCAACCGCCGCCGTGGAGGGGAACGCCAACGCCAACGCCAACGCCAGTAATGCAGGAGTTAAACCAAGTGCCAATAGCGCCCACCCCGGACAATGCCCAGCTCCCTTATCGAGCTGTATCGCAGACGCTGATCGGCTTGGCAACTGCCCGAGTAGGGAGGTTCCATTGAATCAATTGGGGATGTTACCCAGCCATCGGTCCCCAACCATCAGCACACTACGAAGTGACTTACAGAACACCATCACTCGTTCCTTAACAACCTTTTCCAGATCGGCATCGGAGACTAGTACTGGGCTAGCGTAGTGCTTGTTCCTGCCAACTGCCGCCCGAGGCAAGCCTGGCAAGTCACTGGTCACACGGGAAATGGACATGGGGAGGAGGCGAGGCTCGATCTGGTCAACATGTCCGCACCGACTTGGACCACTAACAAGAGAGATAATGGATGGGAATTTCTTCACACGGTCCGAGGCTGAGGGTTGAGGCGTTTGAGTGAGTGAGGCTTGTTGTTGCAGTTATGTAGGTTTGTACGGTAACGTGACCAACATGGAATGCCAAACGAGGACGGCAGAGACGATAACGCGAAGAGAAAGGTGTAGGAAATGATTTGAAAATGGACTGGTAAGAAAACACTGCCTGCCTGTCCAGATATTAATGGCTAGTTAATATCCTTTGCTGACACTAGCAATCAGCTCTGCATATACACGTGTAGACATTGTTCTCACCAAACACACACAAACAAGCCCCCCCCATGAATGGCAGGCCGGCGAAGAGTGGCAGGGCTCAATGAGGCAGAGGCAGGGGATGTGGTGCCTCACGACAGGTGTGGCGCGAACTTATGCTGTGCTCTTGTGCTCTCCTCGGATTGTGAATTCACACGGCCTCAACCACAAGTCATCCAATCCACTCACCTCACTTCGCACTCCCACCCCTGATCGGCAGAGCGCTACACTTCTCAACGTTACCTACCTTGTTCTTCACTTCACTTGGCCAGCCTCATGTGAGATGCGGCCTGCAATGACACCCCAGATAGCCGACCCCAAAGGCGACCTAGGATCCGATTGGGAAGGTTGTCGGATTTGACCTTCCAGAACCTGTCGACTGCACCGAAACATGTCCATCTCAATGTTATCGACGGCTTGGGATGCATGGCGTTCTATCTTCGCCGCCTGGACTCACGTTCGTGAAGTTCAAGTGAGGAACCACGTTGTATAAAAACTTGACCATGACCCAGACAAAGATATGATTTCCTTTTTCTCCTCAGGTCATCCTCTCCATCCTCATCATTTCATCCACCCAGACAATTCTCCTCGGTTGTATCCTTTAGGATCACTCCTCTCCTCTTTAGTTCATCATGCAGATCAAGTCCCTCCTCCTCGCGGCCGCTGCTGCCCCCGCCGCCCTCGGCGCTGCCGTCGGCACCGTCAAGCCCTTCAACTGCGGTACTGACGCTCCCTCGCGCCAGCACATCCAGATGACCAAGGAGATTGCTGAGAAGGAGGCTGCTTTCACTGCCGCCGGCGGTGTCTCTGCCCAGGCTGCCATCAACGTCAACGTCTACTTCCACGTCGTTGCCTCTTCCACCTCGCTCAGCGGTGGCTACGTTACCGTACGTCACTTTCATCCCCAGATTCACCAAACTGTCCACTAACACATTGTCCAGTCCACCATGATCAACAACCAGGTCTCCGTCCTCAACACCGCCTACGCCCCGCACGGCATCCAGTTCACCCTCAAGGGCACCGACTACACCGTCAACAGCAACTGGGCCGTTGACGGCTCCGAGCTGGCCATGAAGAAGGCGCTCCGCAAGGGCACCTACAAGGACCTCAACCTGTACATCCTCAAGGACCTCGGCGACGCTCTCGGCTACTGCTACTTCCCCACCTCGGTCACCTCCAAGTCCAACGACTGGTACTACGACGGCTGCTCCATCCTGTACAACACCCTGCCCGGCGGCGACCTCACCAACTACAACCTCGGCCACACCTCCACCCACGAGGTCGGCCACTGGTTCGGTCTCTACCACACCTTCCAGGGCGGCTGCACCGGCAACGGCGATTACGTCGCTGATACCCCTGCCCAAGCTTCCGCTTCCAGTGGCTGCCCTACCGGCCGTGACTCTTGCCCTAGCCAGACTGGTCTTGATCCTATCCACAACTATATGGATTACTCTTATGAGTATGTTGCCTTCTTCCCACCTTGATTTATATGTTTGAGGATAATGATGACTGACAACAAAAACAGTACCTGCTACGAGGAGTTCACCGCCGGCCAGAAGACCCGCATGACCTCTTACTTCAACCAGTACCGCGCCAACGCCTCCGTCTAAGTGTGCTTTGGTCTTGAAAGGATAAGTCAACGACTCTGCAGCAGTCATGGCTTGAACCTTTGATCAAGAGTCCAAAGGAGGCTCGCGGTTCGCCCGGTTGTATATAGTTGTGTGTTTTCTTTGTCGGATTTTTTTGTCTGGATCCGGCATTGAGAGACGGATGGATGATGGATGTATGTCTATAACGATGAGATGATTGAGAGATGGATTGATGGATGATACCTGGTGGATGGAGAGAGATACCAATACCAAAACCAAAAATGAATATATCCCGTCTTCTGGCGAACACTTCTTTTTTTTTCCAGTGCCGCCCTTTTTCCCGCTCGTGGTCGTGACTTGAGATGAATTTGGAGTTTCTTGATTCAAGGCAGAATCGTGTGTATCTCCCCTCAATCAATTTTCGCGCTGTTACGTTCGTGCCTCGGACTCCAGGGGGGAAATGAGGCAAGATGGGAGTTGATGTGCCGCTGGATAGAATTGGAAAGACGGACGCGATTAATTGCCGAGTACCTTGATACCTACTATGGTAGAAGTTGAAGTAGATTGGAGGTCGAAGACGGAGCCGCGCGCACTTGAAGTTGGAGCAGGCGTGGAAATCGGCATGAGGTAAGCAATATAACTCCATGCAAAGCATGCAAAAGCACGCAAAGATGTCAGACAGCCATGACCAGCCTGCATACCTCTACCTACCGTAGGTAGCATGAATCCGGCACGAGACTGGATACTTACAGTACTACACTACTAACGAGACATCAAATTAGACCTTGCAAGATAGGGCCAAATGACATTGGAAAGAAGAGAAACTGTAATTTGAGTGGTATAAAAAAAAAAAAAAAAAAAAAAAAAGCAGACGACGACGACATCATGTCCCCGTGCTCCTCCGCGCAGAAGACAAACTAACTACCTACTATGAAACAAGTGATGCCCCCTCAAGCCATCTAATCAGAGAAAATTTATACATGGAAAAAAAACAGAACACTCTCTCCGCTAGAAAGACTCTTCTCCATCAAGCCTCAAACTTCTTTTCTGCCCTCTTCTTCACCTCATCCGCATCCCCACCCATTTCATTTGTCTCCCTCTTTTTCTTCTCCTTCATCTTCTCAGCATCAGCCTCAGCCTCCCTCTTCTTCATCAGGGCACTCCTCTCCTCAGCCCTCTTCCTCATCATCGGCGCATTCTCCTTCTCCACCAAATCCATGACTCCCGTGCCATCATCCACCAACTCCCACTCCGGTTCCGGCACCGGTTCCCTCTTTTCCACCACCTGCACACTTGACCTATCCCTCTCCCTCTTCTTAACCTGCACCTCCCCATTAGTCTGACTAGGACTCAGCCCATAAAACTCCGTATAACACTGCAAATTCGGTCCCCAAGGATTATCCTCCGGTCCCATCTTCGGGAAATATTCGCTCTCTCCCTTATTACAATTCGCATAAGCAATAATGACATTAAACCCCGTGCCGGTGAACTTCTGGCCGGAAATGCCATGGCCGACTTTCCTCGTCACGTTGTCCGCGGGCCCTTGGTGGCAGCAGTTGTCCTGCGGGATGGTGCCGAGCGTGTTGATGCGCGTGCCCGTCACCCGCACGATGGCCTTGGCGTCGTTGCAGATGTAGACTCCCGAAGTGTTCTTGCAGGCTACCCGTCGACAGGTTTTCCACCCGACTTGGTATTCTTGGATGTTGTACTTTTTTTTGAAGTCAAGGAGAAGGGCGGAGGTGTCTTCCATGTAGCCGGTGGCGAAGATGCCGCAGTAGAGGGCTTTCTTTTGTCAGTTTGGAATAGAGGTGAGAAGAAAAGGAACGGATAATATACCAGAATCATAAACAGGCGCGGTCCTCTTCCCGTGCACCATCCTCGACATCCCCACCAGCGACGACCGTCCATGTACAGCAGATTGGTTGCGCTTCGCCCAGTACGGATCGAGGTAGTTATCGTTGAACTTGTCGATAGGCATCAACCAGGGATCGGCTTCGTTGTCATCGCCAGCAACATCCTTTCTCTTGTCGGAGTTGTTGTTGTCGTTGTCATCCTTCTTGGCCACCATGGAGCTCGACCTGTCAACAACAACATCTTCAACACCGTGGATGTGTCTCTTGGCTTCCAGCAGCTTGTTGTTGTGGTTAGCCAAAACAGAGACAGCGTTATTGAGACTAATGCCAGGGTTTGGAGCAGCATGGACCTGGGCCACCCAGAACCCCGGCGCAGCCATCAACAGTCCGAATCCCAATAGGGTGGCGGTCTTGGTGCTGGTCTTGGTGGTGGTAGTGGCGTGGTGTTTAGTCGTCGCCGTCGCCGTCGGCGTCCGTTTGAACGAGAGTTGACGCATGGTCATGTACACTAATGGTTCGATGTTATTTGCGATGTGATATGATGTGTCAGTTGAGATTTGAAACGAAGATACTCATAGTTGGAAAGTTAAATTGAAATAGTCCTGCTGCAGCGAGCGAGCGAGCGATCGGTAGTATGTTTGAGTAAAAACCAGATTATCGAGGGAAAAACTAATGACATGAGATGTCTATTCCTTGTTCAGCGAAGTGACGGCGCTAGAGGGTAACAGGACTGTTATATGCAGTTTCAGAGGTAAAGGGGGATGAAAGGATAGTAAACAACAATAGTAAGCGTGGTGCCGTTTCTTGAGATTGTGCGAGTGCATGTCAGGAGGACACTAAGGACAGGGCCACCAAGGGCTGAGTGGCTGGATGTTTTTTCCTGGGTTAGCGATGGCTCGTGGACACATTTTGGATAGTGCCAAGTGAAGAACAAAAAAAGACTTGGGAATGGAAGTGTCCATATTGCCGTGATGAGGTTGGTGGTGATGTTTTGGGATCTTGCGGTCGTGATGCAGCGCAGGTGTCAGGAACGAAGGCAGCAAGACTGTCGTGACCCTGTTGAGATTGTTGGCATCAGTAGCATGACGAAGGTCAATCAAAGAACACAACTCAATAGGTCTTGCGACTGAGCTTACTTCAAACCGTGCTCATCAACTCCAAGCATGGCTGGCATGAAGCCATCACCATAATCCTCCTCCACCATCACATCGCGACATCACCCAGTCAGTCACACACTCCCGCGGCAAACCCTCACAAGTCCCATTACCTCTAGCACCATCCAATAACGACTGTCCGGCAGTTCAAACCCAGACCCCAAAAGCCGAAAATCCGACCACCCTACATCATCATCAAGGCACCACCACGAGCCGTTCCTTTGTCTTCTCAAATCCTCCCTTTGTCTGGCCTTCCACACCTTTCCACACCCCATAAAGAAACACACCACCGCGTGGCTTTGTCTCAGGAACAACCAAGAAACGATTTGAACAAGTGCGCCACGATCCAGGCACAGGCACAGGCACATGCCACACACTCATGCCACAAGAGCACATGTACCACTAAGTGTCGGTGTCACTGTCGACGGCAATGTTGATGTCAGAATTGTACTGTGCCAAAAATAGCAGGCGCACTCGACACCGGCAACGGCAGCTGCGGCTGCGGCTGCACCACTCTTTCTCCCGCCCCATCCATCCCATCCATCCCAGGAACCTCCGTCGTCACCTCTACCTCTACCTCTACCCCTCCCGGCCCCGGCCCCTGTCCCGGTCCCACTAACTCCCCCCTCCCCATGTCCCCCATGTCCACGATGTCTGAGTAAAGAGATCCAAATCCACTTCCCATCCCCCAAAGCCCCGATCCAGGACCAGACCACCACCCCCTAGGTCTAGTACTCGTACTTCCAAACCCACCATATTGTCCATCCCTTCTACTACATATAGTAGTTCCATCCGGGCCACGAGTCTCATCATGATCCCAGCGGGAATTTCCCGATGCGTCGCCCCCGTGGATACGTTGTGCTTCACGTGCATTCCGACGACCGCTATCTTGGACGACAGGCGACGGGATTGGGGATGGGTTGCGTACCCAGAAGAACCGAATCTTGAGTAAATCGTTCGGCGAGAGATTCATCAATTTGAGTTCGCGGGCTAGGACTTCGGTGGGTGTCAGGGTCGGCGTCAGCGTCAGCGTCAACATTTGCATTTGAGTTTGCGTCAGTGTCAGTGTCGGTGTCGGCGTCAGCATCCCCGTCAGCGTCAGCGTCAGGATAGGAGGTTGAGTTTCATCAGGAAACCACTGGCGCTCCCACCCTGACGCTAAAAGATTCCTTAACGCGGCTCTCAACCTTGTCATTTCTGCTATGCGCGGTTCATCGAGGACTTTGTGTTCGTCTACTCATTCTGGACTTAGACTGGGGCCACTGCTCATGGAGTGATCGTATGTGGCTGTGTTATTCAGGATGGAGTCGTCGTCGATGAGGGTTATGTTGGTGACGCGGAGGATCTTGGCTAGGAGGAGGAGCGGGATTGGAGGAGTTGTAGTGGGCTTCTTGTTGGACTTGTTGTTGGACTTGATGTTCATCACCCAAAATGGGGGTGGTGGGGACGAGGCTGATCTGACGTTGACACAAGGTTCGGACCTGCGAGTAGGGGATGTAGATCTCGCCGAGGGCTTTAGGGTCGGGCTTGTACCGGAAAGCAACAGCAGCATCAGGAGGACGAGGGTTTTGGTCCTGGTCGACCAGAAGCGAAGCGGGAGGGAGGTAAAACTTTGACGGCCGGGATGGATTGCGACTCTCATCTGGATCTGACTCCGCGGCATCATCATCATCACCGTCGTCTTGACCAAACGGCTCATACCCTGTCTCATTCACCCACACCGGCGGATCAGGTAGGCCGTTGCCTGTCCTCTGTATTTCCTCCCTGTTCCCCCAGTCCACCAACCTCACGCGGTCCTTTTTCTGCCAGTTCAGATGCACCATCTCGAAACAGATCCTCTCCGTCTTTCTGTTCCACGGAATGCTGTACACCACCTCCCCCCTTCCGGAGTTCGGTATTGTCGAGTAGGGCGCGTCCCAATCGACCGTCACGAAAAGCAGATCCGGCAGGATACGGAGCTTGATATCCTTATAGACCGCCTTGGATACCAGCAGCAGATTGCGCACATGGCGCGTGGCTTCTCTGAGATTCGGGGTAGAGCCGACTTTTACATGCCAGGGCGGACCGTAGAGAAAGGAACCTAGGAATTGGGCGGTAGGTGGGAAGCCGCTTTGGTAGAGGGTTATGCGCAGGACACGGAAGGGGTCGACGACATGTTCCCAGATGCGGTCTCGGAGCTCGGCGGGGAGGAACTCGAGGAGTGTGAAGGATTTGGATGGGGAAGTGCTGGTGGACATGTTGAAGAGTTTGGAGAGGCGTTTGTTCATGGTGTTGTTTTGCTGGCAAGAGCAGGGTTGAGGATAGTGTGATGTTGGGGAAATGCAGCAAGTGATGATGGGTATTTATTAGCGACTGAATGGTTGTGCAAAAACTGGTGATACTTCCATATCAAAAACTCATTGTATTGTATTTGCGAAGTCCGCTGATGGCTTGTGCACCCAGCTGCCTTCCGAAAGATAGAACAAGGAAACGCAAACTTTGTATCCCTAACCATAAGCCTCACTCACGATCGACGCCTGACAGCCGTTTCATCATGCCTCAAAAGTTTGGCCAATACGTCCCTCCCACGCGGAACTATCCGCAACAGTGATCGTATGGATATATCTCAGCTTGCCCCCTTCCAACCTGAACATGTGACTATCTGGTGCATTATCCAGATGCTCAAAGTTGCAGAGCACACTCACGGTCCCCATGCTCTCGTCAATGACATACCGGCGATCAGAGTTGGGTGGCTGGGTGTTGTTGCTAGGGATGCCAACCTTGCACGAATCATCCGGTGCCCCTTTACCGGTATACACGCTTCCTTCCAATCGCGCACATGGGGTCCCCCATGGGACAGCGTCAATAGCACTCTTGTTGCTCCACATGTCCAGATAGGCATCAGCTGCTGCTTGCAACGTTTGTCGGGTGTCTCGCTGAGCAGGTGGAATGATGGGCCAGCTCTCTTGTCGAGCATATTGAAGCGTTCGACTGGCGTTGAAGAACCACGAGCCCGTGGTGGAGACGATGGTGTCGATCTTGTAGACGCTGTTGTCAGTTGGGTAGTGGTGGATCTGGGCACCCAGAACGAAGGGCTTGTGTGATGTGGCGGAAACGATTTCGGTAAAGGTTGAGCAGGTGGTCATATCGATGATGGTGCGGTTGAAGTCGATCTTAAGGATGTTGTAGAAGACCCCCGCGACGATTATGGTGGGTTTGTTGTTTTCGATGTATTGGAAGTCGTCGGCAATGTTTTCCAAGGGGGCAGCTTGACCCATGGTCAGTCCCAGTAGGAACTGGTCGACTGTCAAAAGGAGTTCATCACGATTGCAAGCGGCGGTGGCGGTTGGCATAAAGCCTCCTGCGAGGATGGCGAGGAATGCCCAGGGTGGCAACATGGTGTGATGCTTGGAAAGTCTGTCAAGCGACCCAGGAGATGAGAAATCGAAGAGTCCTGGGATGCAAACTGCTTGACTGATTCGCGAGTAGATATGCTGGAGTTGAACAACAGCCCCGGCGATCAGAACATTTGCCGTATGTAACGTCCATGTTGCTGAGTGATGTCCCCTCTGGCAAAATGCATCACAGGTTTCCCCGCTCGGGACAGACGCATGAGCTCTTCATCCATATTGCTTGACGATCCAAGAAGCGGGAGTTTGTTGTCCACTGTCAAATGCCTGGATCGTGGTCTTCTTTCGCCGTGGTTCTGAGAAAGGGTTAAGGAAGGGGAATGGTAGATGTAGATATTGCTCAGCGTGGCCATCGGATCGCTTGATCCTGCTTTGACTAGGAAGAAAGTAACGACTAGTTGGTGACTGGGCACTTGCCAACGTCGCTAGAACTTCGGGTCCATATCTTTCCCCTCTTCTTTCGCCAGTCTCGTCGCCTTCGATTTGTTGCTGTTGCCCTCACGCCGCCAAGTTCGTTTCCGAGCTCGTTTCCTGGCACTGCCGCTCCCGCTTCTGCCACTTCCAGGCTGCATGTTTGACGATCCAATTTTCTTCACAGTTGGATCTCAAGGGATGGGCGGTCTGGATTCCCTTGTCAGACTCGCGTGCCTTGACGTCGTCGTTCCCTCTTGGTCTCGGACGTCTATCCATTTCCCCTCTGTGGCACCACTTGGTTTCTGGGCCGATGTTTAAGGCCTTGTCTCGCAGCGTTATCTGCCTTGCTCAACCCCGGCCAAGTTCCATTCTGTCAATTCCCGGCGTGTAAGCTCCTTGAGTAGAATCCTGTCTGCCGAGATAGCAGCCCCGTTGGATTCCGAATAGGCGGGAGTGCCTTGGTATACTCCAAATGGTTGTATGACGGGAGTATCGAGCTGTCTGATATCAATCATGCCGTGATCAGAGCCAGTTTCCAACGTTCGTTGGGACCGCTGCCTCGGATATAGCTGAATATGTATGGCTATTCGTCAGGGCTTGAACCGCACGTTTCCCCCTTGGCTACCAGAAGTGGCCCTTGCCGTCGTCGTCGGCGCAACAACGCGGCCTTGCCGAGGGACGTCGCTCTGGTGTATCCGTTCCATCTCCAAATGGCCTGTGATCGTGAACTGCCGGTGACAGGAGGACTCTCCACATCTCGGTGACCCAGGTGTTGCTACCAGCTTGCCGTCCTCAGCTAGCAGAGCTTTGCTGTCACCACGACACCAACTGCCGACATGTGCACTCGTTCATTGGAATTTGGGAAGGCTCCGGACATTCGTGGGCGACGAGGTTGGTTTAAAGTTGTGGTATTTGTCCCCACTGTCGATCAAGGTTTCAAGAGTTCAGGGGCGCAAGCATCGCGGTCTTGTTCGCTCGAGGGTTACGCGTCCGGGTCGTCGGCATCGAGAAGGGGGCAGCGGTCTGGTTGGGAAGTAATCAGAAGGGGCATCGTATAGTTCGCAGTTGGTCGGGAAAAAAACATGCGGCATCGAATTGGGCGTCATAATTTCGCTGACGGTGTCGCGCATCACATTTCAAGGTTCGTCCGATTGTTGTGTTTTGAGCTGAACGGGAGGAAAGACGACCGGGCTAAGCGACACTCGGATGACGCATTTTGGGGCTTGTCAGCCTCGGGTACTGTAACGCTGTGGAGCCCAGAATTACAGGGCCTCCGGTGCAATGAGTTAGCCTTTAATCCTATATCATACGCTAAAAACTAACAGCCACTAATATTTTACTCCCCTGGAGCACATCGGCCCTGCTTCTTGGCATCTGAGGCTGAACTTTCCTTTCTCATCAATCGGCATCGTATTACTCCTGAAACCAATAGGAGACACGAATAAAAGGAGATATCGACCATACTGAGAATGAACGGCCAATTCGGGATGGCCCAACTGTCTGGCACTGCATCATGAGCTGACAGACCCAACCCCCGGGCCCGACGATCAGGCGATGAACCACAACCACCTCCCATGGCCTCTTTCTTCGATTAGGGGGCGCCTATCCGTTCCATTGTTGTTGAGCATAAAAAAGCTCAAATCTTCGCATAGTTCTTTACACATTGGCGGCGAAGGTCACAATAGGACCTGAGACAATGGAAGTGTCTCCTCGGCAAAGAGCTTCAAACGGGAATCGACAAAGGGCATGGATGGACGGACAAAGATCACTTTCATTCATTCACTGCACCAAATGCATGACTCCAAGAAAAGCTCAAAAGGCAAAACAGCTGATTGATTGTATTGTCCAAACTCCAGAGTACCTGCCAGAAAACCCTTCGCTCACCGACCTTGGTCGAATAAGCCAGGCACCGATCAACACAACTTACACACCAACTTCCACTCGTGCAGTGCCCGCCTCTTGAGCAGATACCTACCTAGGTATCAACAGCGCCCCGGCATCATGATCACTCAAACGGCCAGAAACTACGTCTAAAATATCTAAACATTAGTCCCCTTCACCCTCGGTCCCCTCGGCCTACCCTTCCACTTCCTAACCACCTCCTCCCCCGTCCCCTCATACACATACAACACCCTCTGTTCCTCCCATTCTCTCTGTTCCCTCCTCCTCTCCTCCTTCCTCTCTTGAATCCCCCTCATATGCTTTTCCCAATTTTCCCCCTCTCCCATCCCCAATCCTTTCCCCTCTTTGACCTCCTTTTTCACCTCCCCCCACTGCCTCTCCACCTCTTCCACCTCCCGTTTAAGTCGTTCCCCAATCTCACCATCCCCGGCCTTGGCACGCATGATATCGTACTTTCGCTTATCGTCACGATCACTGAGTATGTCGTACGCTTCTTTTAACTGGACGTAGCGCGCCGAGGAGTGGAAGGAGGGGATGTAAGTTGGTCCGCGCGTGCGGGCCATTTTGCAATGGGTGTGGAAGGCGGCGCGGATTTCGGATTGGGAGGCGGTGATGGGGATTTTTAGGGTGGCGTAGTGGGAGGGAGTGGTAACGTGGGAGGGGGTTAAGGAGGGGGTTGCGGAGGGACCTGGAGTTGAGGGGGTGGTGGAAGTGGTATTGGTGCTGCTGGCGCTGGAGGCGCTACCGGGAGTGCTGCTGCTGGAAGTGATGCTGCGAGCGGGAGTGCTGGGGGAAGACATGTTGGGCAGGGGAAATGGTCATGGTTGGGATGCGACTTATATGGAAATGTGTTAGTGCTTTCGTTGATGACGATGATGGTTCTGGTTGACTGGAGAAGCAAGAAGAATGGGTCAGACGGTAGTGATGAGGTGAGTACTTATATGCCTCTTCTCGTCGTCGTTGGAGGTATTTCCTTGTTCCATTGTCAACCTCGAATGACTAATCTGTTCGGTTTTCACAATCATTGGTCTGGACGAGCGGGACAGGACAGGAGGATGATGGACTTGAGAGGAATTCGGTCGTCAAAGAAACTATTCAGTACCAGACTTCAAGGCATTGGACACGGGTAGGTAAACTGGTGTCGTTCATTGAAAATGCGGCATAGTGTTGTAACAAGCTCATTGTTTTGATCCCGTCCCGAGACGGTAGGTAAGGTACCTAGCTTTGCAACGTCCCCGTCCTGTAACCAAGAGCAGACAAAGAAAGATCTGGACGTGCCGCTGCGCCGTCTCTGCTGTTAAAGGACGAGAGGAAGGTGCACCCCATGCATGCCATCCCACCAAATCTCTCCTTCCGTTTGGTGTGTAAGGTACTTGGATTAAACAGCCCCCTGAATCCGAACTGATTCCAATTCTTTTCTTTGCTTTCAAAGTTTGTAAAGAACCACGCACGCACACACCAAGCTGTCAATTGCCCGCCGTTTCGGAACAGTTATTAAACTGCCATTCCTCGAGACTGGGAGAAGAAACTAAGAGTTGGGCAGCTGCTAAATATCCAAGGAATCCGCGCTCAAATACCATGTTTAGCTTTCGCCAGAACTGAACTTGTCGTCGCTGAATGGTAACCTAACCTAACCTAACCTAGCGGTAATCCTGACGACCACCCCAGTGCCCAGCAACCCTGTGGCATGAGATGAGTTCTTCGTCTTGTACATTACGCTCCAGAACATGTAGGATATTGGACGAACAGAAACTCCCCGCCAATGTTCGACAAGCTAGTTGAAGGAGAGGTGTTGATGGAGCTCATAGGGTTACAAAGAGCGGATTCAGCGCAAGGACCACACTAAGGAGGCGGTCTCGCAGCAAGAGAAAGTTCAGTTGAGCGACGAATTTCGATGATGATTGACGCCAGGCAGGGCTGGGCTGGGCTGCTGAGGCGGAGGCAATGCCAAACTTCCTTACCGACAACGACGACGATGACGATGACGATGACGATATCGATAACTGAGCGGCAAAAACCACCTTACCTAGTGATATGGCCTGGCTATTCCTTCCCTTGTGAACTACTTCTCTTAATTAACACTACCGTAGGTAGGTTAACGTAGATGGAGAACAAGGAGAGACTATAGAGAGGCCAGAAGGGGCAGAAGGGTTCGATACTACCTCTACTAAGGTATTGTCTTTGTGTTCAGACAATGCGTGACATTTTCCATAATTAACTCAGTTTTTCGCAACAAAGGGGTTAAGTGCGTGTGTGCACTTACTTCTCTTTATGTATGGCACATGGAAATTGCAACTCGCAAAGGCCATTGTTCACTGCCGATGAAATCCGGGAGTCGGGACAAACCCCTTTGTGCACGCCGAGTGTTCATAAACAGACGAGGAGATACGACCGACCATGCTGTTCACCGCGCTGTTGTCGTTCATGTCTCCTTCTGTCCTGTTCGATCCTTTCTTGTCTTGCTATTCACCTCGTGAACTCTGAGCCTTACACCACCAGGTTCTACCAAGGATACTCGACCCATTATACACACATTCACACACACATTCACAATTTCACATCCGACATCCGACATCCGGCACCCCGAATCGCAACAACAACAACAATGCCTTTTCTCCCCTTCTCCTCCCCCATCCCCGAGGAAGGGTGGCACGTAGGCCACATAACCTCAGACTACAGCGAGCGCAACGAAGCCGTAGAGCAGCAAATGCTCCACGGCGGCGCACCCAACGGCGCACCCAACGGCGGCGGCAACAATCGGCATGAGTACCACCTCGAGCCCGCGTCCCCCTCCGCAGCCGATTACTACCCGATGCTGGACGTCGTTGTTGAGCAAGAAGAAGGGCAACAAGAAGAGATACGCTACGAGATGCACTCAGGTGACCAAGAATTCCAAGACTGCCGCGGGGAAGACACCTCCAAAGAAGTGGAACAGGAGTTCCCCCATCATCACCTGACATATGTCTGCTACCCCATGCGGGCGCCGGATAGACTCCGTCGGGGGCGTAACGATGCGGCGGGGGACGGCGGGGGGCTGGGCACTAACAAGTTCCTTCGACCTCCGGTGCCTGGGCGGGAGGGAATCGACGAGGACTTCCCGGATGGGTTAAAGCTGATTTTCGTCAGCTGGCTCAAGAAATACGACCACGACGTTCCGACCGGCGTGACAGTCGGTCTATGGCGCACGGCAGGGGGCCGGGCTCGGAGCCCATGTTTGTGGTGGTCAAGCGGCTGAAGGGATGGTCCGAGCAACTGCTGCGTAATCCGGCGTTGTTGCTGCCCAGCCGCGTGCGGACTGCGCACGAGGGAGATGTGCCGGGCGAACTCGCGTTTTGCGATCTTCCGGGCCCCGAAACGCTGCAGTTCCGGTTCTTGTTCAGCCCGCACCTGACGAGTCTGCCGCAGACGCACGCGTTCCAGCTGAACGGCTGGCCCGGAGAGAACGTGACGCATTTCGGCAAGTACTACAATGGGCAGACTGTGGAGAAGTTCATTGATATGTACAAGACTGCCCAGGAACCGATCCCGGAGGCCATGATTTGGCATGTCATTGCGCAGGTTGGACGGGCGTTCAAGTTTATTCATACGGGAAGGACGATGCCGGATAAGACGCAGCCGAGGGGGTCCGTCAGGGGACCGCCGAACGAGGGAGAGGAGGAGAGGGAGTGGATCGACAAAGAGGAGGAGAGGGCGGCGAACTGGACGCCCACTGCGCATTACGATGCGCATGCGGCCAATGTTTGGCTGCATTTCGTGACGCAGTATGAGAGGGATCACGATGGGGATCGGTGTCTGGAGCACTTTGATGATTGTTTTCCGCAGGTCATCTTGGGAGATTTTGGCCTGGCGGTGAATGAGAACAGTCGTGCCGGTCACATATGGTTCGGCATGAACGATTGTCCAAATTTGCCCGACAGGGAAACGTGGAAGGATAAGGCCGAGTTTGGCCTGATGCTGCATCATTTGCTCCTGGCCGGCCGCAAGGATGTGCCCAAGTTTACCACAGGAGCAATCCCGGAGAACTGGGCTGAGCATTTTGGTGGGTGGCTGCGTGATCATTACTCGTGGGAGCTGATTGACGTGGTCAAGCGGTTTAGTTACCTAGCGAGATTGGCCGACCGAGGCCGAATGGCAGAGATCGGGTTCCATAACGTGATGAGACCGGAATACGAGAGGTGGCAAGACGGGTGGACGTTCGATCTGGCGCCTTGTAATGACTGGTTCCATAACTCCATGATCGATCTGGCTGATCGGGAGGTGGACAAACGGCGTGAGTCCCGGGAGGGCGTCGACAGCGTGAGGTGGGCAACGGGGCAGCGGATGAGCAACATGCCGTACCAGGTCCCGAACAGAACCAAGTATAGCCAAAAGATGCGTCGTCTCAATCCCGAAAACTCTGAGGGCGCCATTCAAGTGTTCGCTGTTCCGGTAGACGGTAAAGAGACACTGCGCAGCAAGGCGAGGACTATCTACAACCGTAAACTCCGAAGACCCATCACTGGGGCCTTCTACCGTCACCCGCCTGACCCGCCTGACCGTGTCGACAAGGATAAGCTGTGGGTGAGCAAGACGTACAGGTTAGAAAGAATCCGGTACCGCAAACACCAGGCCATCAGAATCGAATCCGATCTCAAGAAGAATCAGTTTACCCCGCCGCCGACTCCTCGTGAGGTTGAAGACGTAGAGATGAGAATGTTTGAAGACCCGTGGGAGTCTCGGATGCTGCGATGGGACAGCGATGACGAGGACGAGGACAAGGAAGAGGAATAATGTGTCAGCATTGATAGATTAAGACAAGAGTGTTTGAGCCGACACTTGCTAGTGACCATTGCTGGGACCTTGATCAGGCTCTCCGTGAAACCAGTTGACGTCTGTAATGCCCTTTCATCACCCAAAGAATGGACTGGGCAAATGTGTTGAATCCATATCCATTATGACCCAGGGTCCAAAAGCCTTGATGGGGGCAAGGAAGTCTGTCGGCGGAGCTTTCCAAGGTCGGAGCATTTTTGTAGTTTGTGCTTTCGATAAATGTTAAGAGGGTGTCGTCAAGTCATTGCCAATCGAAAAAGTATTGGTGTGGGCCATAATGGTCAAGTGTTGGGTTGTAAGATAAAAGAGGTGATGTTGAAAGAAGGCTGTACTGTAAAGAGAGAAAGAGAACGGTTTGGCGACAACGCTTGATGAAATGGGACTGCCTGCCGCCAATTGGTCCGTGCATACAAGCCGGAATCTGTCATATGACTCTGCACGTGTGTCTTCTTCGGCCGTTCGACAATTCATGACGCTCGGACCACTCCATCATTAGAAGCTGGGGAAGCTCCACAGTTTGAGCATCGACAACTGAGACTCAGTCTGTCAGTTTCACCAAGACCAAGACCACGGCACCACCACCACCACCACCACCACCATCACCATTCCCACAAGACGGTCGCCCCCTCCAATTGCCGCGATCCAAGATGGCGTCCGATTCTTCAATCACCACCGCTCGGCGTAATTCTCCCCTTCCAGAACCATCCCCCGCCTTACAGAAGATGGGCTTTTGCTAACTGGAGGGGATTGCGACATTCGCAACTTGGAAACCAAAACAGAGGCCACTCGCCAGGATATGAGCGATGCCAAACTCCCCATGGCTTACCGCGACAGCTGCGCCCACCTCCTGATCCCGCTAAACCGGTGTCGCTACGATACCTACTACCTCCCGTGGAAGTGCGAGGTACGACGGACATTGCTCTAGCATCACAGCCACCGAATCTACCTACCACGAAGACCGAACGAACTACGAACTGACAACCTAACCCCTCACAGGACGAGCGACACACATACGAAAAGTGCCAATACGTCGAGTTCAAGAAGCGCGTCGCCAAGATGGACGAGTTGAGGGCGGCCAAGGGTGGTGCGAGGAGCAACTGATTTCCATGATAAAACACAATCGGGAAACGGTACGAACCACGGGCGAGAGCACGGAAGACGGAATACAGGACGCAAGATGGAACCACAGCACAGCACAAGCACATCGCGAGGAAAACAGGATCGCGAGACCACAACCCCCGCCCTGTACATACCTTAGAGAAGGGCGATAATGAGACGGTTTAAGGACAATGAGCAGGGCAGGGTGTTCTTCAGGTCTACAAGTTCAAAAGGTCCCCGGACACATCCATGCAATTGGGGGTCCTTCAGCTCCACCAGCGCGAGTCATGACAGTGGATTGTAGGGCTGTAGGGCTGTAGGGGTAAAGTCAGTGCGCACCTTGATGAACTGGACAATCGACTGGGACGAAAGATCAATTGCGAGTGGTGCTATTGGCGAAGGAAGGCTCTGGGGTCAATGGATTGCGTATGGAGAGTGCCATGGGACTGATATGATTGACTGGAGCAGGAACCCCAGGTTGTTCGACAACGCGCCGGTGCTTTAAACTCCAGTACCGAAACCGGAGCTTAACCGCGCTCCCAATGTCAAACTACGAGTCGACAACACTTGGCTCAAATCATCTCCGACAACATGCGCAATCAGCTTTGGCCAATGGATCACCGGGTAATGTAATCCGATACCCTTTCTCGCCCGTACAATCCTTATCTGATCACTTCCTCCTTGATAGGGCCCTGGTTATACAGCATTGAGAAGGGACCAAGGGCTTGGACCGGAAATGTCACATCAAAAGAACCATGACAGCTCTGATAGCTTTCGAGTGGCAAACGCTTGTCATTGAAGCCCGGACCGACGCGATGCCCTTATCAAGACCAACTTACGCCATGCACCATAATCCCGAGACACATCGTCCTTCTCGGAAACACCATCGCCGCTCAGATCTACCGGAGATGCAGACATCTCAGCGAGTGCTACTCCTCTGGGAGTCCTTCATGGCTGCCATAACCACCAGCGTGGGATGCTATCTAGATGTTCAGTTCCAGCACCCTTGGGCAAGTACCGGATAGCCAGCGGCGAACAAGCCTTTGGTAGTGCCAATGGGTGGTCGTTACAAGGTCGCGGCGATACCGACAAGCGGCTCCTATCAACCGCCATGCATGCGGTTATCTCGATCCCCCATTCCGCGGAGAAAGTGGTTGTAAAGGGAGTTTCTTCCTATAACCCTGAACCTATATCAGAACACACACATAACCCTGGCCTTGATCCTGATCCCTTATCGCTGGGCCCTGGCATATCTCAGCCCCTTTCCCCTGTCAAGCCTGATTCACCCCCTCCCCCGGATCCCCCGCCATGGATGGTCAGCCACGATGGAACTCCCAAAGAAATCGATGGGATGCGACCGATAAGGAAAAGTCTGGGTCTTTCAAGCCACAAGCGTGGGATGGTTGACATCAACGGAGATGTTCAGTTCGATTCACAGGACAAAGTGTCTTCATCGTGGAGATGATGAAACTACCAAGATATCGACACACGACGTCAAAACATAAAAGAGAATGAATGCCTTGGACAACGATGTCGGAAGAGAGGACTGGATCAGTACCTATCTAGGCTCATGCTGTGCTACGTCTCGGTATCCCATCAGGCCTTTGTCGTAAAGCCTGTCAGCCCCCGCGCCCAGAAACAGTTTGAGCTCAGCTGACTTGTTCGAGCTGCTGAACTTGAAGTGAAGCGTCAAGTGAAGCCTGAATCGACCATTCTCCAGTTCATCACTTCCCCTTCTTACTCAGGCACTCCTACCTCTTATCAGCCGCGTATCACTTACACCACCACCATCATCAACCAGGTTACCGGCAGTCGGCAGTCGGCACAGGGTAGCAGCCGAACGAACGTCACCTACTGTACGACAATTGGGTTGCTTACACACCGTTTCTGACGTTTCCTATTGGCTCTTTTTCTTACAATCCTACAATCCATCTTTACAAACACGATGGTCCTCGGCTTCCAGTTCTCCTTCCGCCCACCACCCCTCAACCCTCCCACCAAAAAGGCCCAACGCATCCCCGTCTTCAACCCTATCGACCGCCATGGCCGCGTCTTTTTCTTTTCGTGGATGGGCTTCTTGGTAGCCTTTTGGGCTTGGTATACTTTTCCTCCTTTGGTATGTTTTTTTCACTTACACTTACAAAAACACTAACACTCCCCCTTACGATAACCAGCTCACCCACACAATCAAACACACCCTCCACCTCACCCCAACCCAAATCTCCAACTCCAACATCCTCTCCCTCCTCGCCACCCTCTTGGTGCGCCTCCTTTCGGGACACGCCTGCGACCTCTACGGTCCTCGTCTCGTCTTCGCCTCCATCTTGCTCGTCGGTTGCATCCCCATCGGCCTCGCCCCCTTGATCCAAAACGTGACGGGTCTTTACGTAATCCGCTTCTTCATCGGCATCTTGGGAGGATCCTTCGTGCCGTGTCAGGTGTGGACCACGGCTTGGTTCGATAAAAACGTGGTGGGAACGGCGAATGCAGTCGCGGGAGGATGGGGGAATGCGGGCGGTGGGGTGACGTATTTTGTTATGCCGGCTGTTGTGGATGGGTTGGTTAGTAAGTGGGGGATGGGGGAAAATAAAGCGTGGAGGGTCAGTTTTGTTGTGCCATTGGTTTGTTTGTTGGTTTGTGGGTTTGGGCTGGTTTTGTTGTGTGAGGATACGCCGACCGGGAGGTGGAAAGATCGGGAGTTCGAAAGAGAAGGGTACGTGAGCGAGGGCGGAAACGGGGACGGGGACGGGGACGGGACTGGGGACGAAGAGGTCGTTATCAACGGCGTTGATCCCAACCTCAAGTCCCAATCAGGCACGCAAACTCCCACACCAACAGCAACAGCAACAGTAACGGTGGACGAAGAAAAGGGATCCAACTCCAAGCCCCAGTCCCAAACCATCTCCGACACCGAATCCACCACCACCGCCGCCCGAAATCCAGACGTCGAAAAAGCCGAGGCCGTACCTACCCTTATCCCAGGAAGCCCCAACACCACCACCACCACCAACACCCCAGTTCCCATAAGCATAAGCACAATCCTCCTCTCCCCCCAAACCCTCTTCCACACCCTCACCTACGCCTGCTCCTTCGGGTCCGAACTAGCCATCAACTCTATTTTGGCCTCATACTTCCTCTCCGTTTCCCCTTCCTCGCTCACGCAAACTTCTGCATCGAATTACGCCGCCATTTTTGGGTTTCTCAACTTCGTTACGAGGCCAGCTGGCGGACTCATCTCTGATCTTGTGTATAACCTCTTTGGTGGCGGTGGTTCATTCCCACTTCCTTCACCCAACTCCAGGTCCAGCTCTAGCTCCAGCTCCAGCTCCAGTGGCACTACCAACAGCCCCAACGCAAAAAGTCTCTGGGCCCGCAAGTTATGGATCTCCACCTGCTGTTTACTATCCGGCATTTTTTTGTTACTCCTCGGCCTGTTATCCTCCTCCACCTCCTCCTCCACCTCCAACCCTTCGCTAGGAACGGTCATAGCGCTGGTAATCCTAGCAGCAATCTTCCTAGAAGCAGGTAACGGCGCCAACTTTGGTTTGTTGCCATTTATCTGGCCCGAAAGAAACGGGCTTGTGTCAGGCGTGACGGGTGCGGGAGGGAATCTTGGCGGGGTGATGTTTGCGCTTGTTTTTAGGTTCGTGCATGTGCATGGAGGAGGTAATGGGGGAGGTAATGGGGCAGAGGCGCAGCAGAGAAAAGGGTATGAAAAGGCGATTTGGATCTTGGGGGTGATTAATCTTGTCGTGGGCGTTTTGGGGGTGGGGGTTTGGCCTGTGCCTACGGCTACGAGAAGTACGAGGAGGACATGGAGGACATGGAGGAGGATGGGGAGGAAGCAGCAGGGAGAAAAGGGAGAAAAGAGGAGGTGGTGGTGGCTGTGGTGATTGGACTGGTTGTTTGGTTGTTTGGTTGTTTTGTTGGTGTTGAGAGTGGAGGACTGGATGGATGGGAGAGTTGAGACTTGGGAGGGGCGGGCAACACGAAGCGGGATGATGGGATTACGAGTGATGATAGGTAGAGGTACTTTTGGCGTGGTGTTTAGGTAGTGGTGATTTGCCTTTGTCAGTTTGTGGTGAAGCGAAGCATATATATACTCAGTGGCGAGGTGCTTTTCAACCGATACTATGGGCTTTTTCCCTTGGAGAGTCCTCAACCATAGCAGTCGGAATGGAAGCTCAACTTCTTCCATTATAAAAGTGTAAAAGACCCGATAAGAACCAGCCTTTGATGGGTCTTGCAGTTCTCATTGTCTCGTTGGCTTTGGGCATTGCGCTGACTTTGCCGTTTGTTTTTTTCTTATAATTTCTGATACTGTAGCTTTAAGCATGTCAGCAATACGAAAAGGAAAAAAAAAACCAGTATGAAAATTTTTAGAACTGAACTCATGAGGAGTTCTAGGAAAAATCAAAAAAATCAACGTTGTAAAAAATGCAAAAATATATGCCTACTACAGGAATCGAACCTGTGATCTTTGCATGTCGTCGTTACCCTTTGGATGGATCCAAGGGTGTGATACAAGTGCAACGCATTAGCCACTATGCTAAGCAGGCATTAGCTTGTGAGCTTGTTGTTGAATGAGCCCCGTTGACCTTTTAATTATGTAGGACACAAACAAGGTCCACCACAGCATTGCACGTCTACATGGGTTGAACGCAACTTGCGCGGAATGCAAAGGCCGACGCTGGTGAGGGCGGACACTCGGGTTTAGTGAGATGTTCGCATTTATTTGGATATATGCAAGTCCACAGACATTTTTTTTTAAAGTGATTGAAGGCCATCTTCCAGGCCTTTGCGGTCAAGTACAGCGAGCTTGTCCGGCCGAATGATGATACGGAGCCGGATGATGATGATACGGACCCGGCGGGTGAGGATCCGAAGAACCGCCCTAACAGCAACATCGAACTGCTGCGTCAATTCTTGGTCAAGTCACTCCGCAATGCCGTGGATGACTTACCGGTTGATGCCCAAGAGTTGAAGGAGGTGGTTGAGGCGCTTGATGACAAACATGCATTGGCAGCGGACACAGGGAAGAAGAAGAGACGTCGCACCACAGATATCTCTGACGACGAGGCCGACGAGTGTCATCATCATTTTGATGCTTTTCCGGATGGCGAGGTTGTCCTCCCCCGTAACGACGACCAAGCCGATAGCAGCAGCAGCAGCAAGCATGACTACGACTACACCCTGCCGTAAGACTAAGAGACGTCGCGCCGATGTCCCAAAACCCGTTAACGTTCAAATTCCGATAGGAGCAAAGCGCGTCACCCTCAAATGGTCCTCCAAGTTCAAAGTCTACGGCGGTGGTGCGTTCACCGTCCGTGCCCACAAGCCGGTTGAAAGCCAGGACGAGGACAACGACTACTTCGAGGTGACTACCGAACACCTTGCCACTCTCAATATCGAGTTTTGCCCTGCCCCAGGATTAGGAAGTACCACTTCCCTTCCTTTTCCCGACAACAAGAATTGACGACAGTCTGAGTCAGCCCTGGACGCACACGCCGAACAGCCAGACAGAGACAACAACAACAACAACAGTGTACAAGTAGCTACTTACTAGCTGCCCCCTGCTGTTCATGTTGGATAAAGGTCTGTCTGTCCCTGGTCAGTTACTCTCCTCCTCTGAGTCCTCTCACATTCCTGGCCACCTCCTTGACTCCTTCCGGAGCGTATCTGTTTCACCAGCTAACACCTATCTCTGCCTGCAGACAACAGATGCAGAAACGCAAACCATCTTGGGCATCTTCAGCATCATCGGCGGATACATAGGGCAGCAAGGCCACAGGCGAAACTCCCAGGACATGACGGAGAGAATGTTGGCTCTGCTAAGCCCAAGGCATTGGTTTCTTTTGCTGTTTGTTGTTGAAAGAGTCGTGCATGCCTGGGTTCTGGCAGGTAGTAATGTCTGATGTCTCCGGTCTGCTGTTACGAGTACCGGTGCTCGCACTTGGACGACATGTCCCTGGCGAATATTAAGCGAACGGATGGATGGAGGGATGCCCTGTTGGACACTCGGCTTTTTTTTCTTACTGTTGAGTCCATCTAGGGCAAATTGATACACGGAATGGACACTCATTGAGATTAAAGGACTGATCTGAACTGCATTTCCATGACTCTTCCGCCGCGGGTGCTTTGTCCCGCGGCGAGTTCGAAGGTGGCAGTTGCGATGCGCTGGCCATGTCCTGCGCGGAAGGTGTGCCCCCGCCAGTCCCCACACGAGTCTTTCTTTCCATTAGGTATTCTTCCATTCGTCTGGCATTTTTACCTAGCCTTTCCCACTGATGCCTTCTGCTCGTTTCATCCCGCGTCGAGTATCTGTTCGGTCAATCAGCAATTTTAGCTCTCATCTACCCCCCAATGTTCATTTCCACCTTTGTTTTCACGACGCATTGAGAGACAAGCGCGAAGCCTCTACGCCTTCTCCACCAAGTACTAGCAGAAGAGCCCAGGCTGCACTGGATTTCAAACGAGGATGAGGCTTCAACAACGGGAAGGGCGCGGAACGCCTTCAGCAAGATTTCTCGCCAGCCCGAAGGATTTGGCACCAATTTCGACGATTATTCCCAAGGAGAAGTGCCTTCCTAGCCCATCCACAGTCCGTGGCTTCCAACCCGATCTCAACGTCAACAATGGGCTTCCCGTCCTCGAGTTCACTCCGACGACCCTGCGATGAGCGCATGGAGCAGGCTCCAAGTGGCTCAGATACTCCTTTGGTTCCGAAAGAAGCACCTTGCTTGGTAAGTTACTCAAAGTGCATTCGCAGCATACCTCCGCATCGTATCCATGATGGCAGCTAACAGAGACCTTTCTGGCTAGGGCTCTTTTCCAGCATCCAATCTCCAGAGAAGTGGCGGAACAATCAAGCTGAAGAAACGAAACAAAAAGGCAAAAGAGAATGCGTGCTCGACAAGATCCTCGAATCAGGCCCAGGAAAGACGACAAAAGTCCGGAAAAGCAGAGGCCGACGATTCGGGACATCTCAGACAGAGTGATCAACCCGCTCTTCACCACTCCCTACTTGGATACCGCATCAACTACTCTGCGGACTCAGTCTCTCCCAAGGCCTCCATCTCTTGCCTGCCTATTGCTTTCCCATCGACGGCCGGCCACGCATATAGAAAGGAACGCGCCAAACTGAACGCCTCGTGGCCGTCGCCAAGAAAGAGTTTGCCGACTGGTGCGATTCCTTTCGCTGTGCTTGGCGCGAGAGTGGATCATAAAGATGATGGGTGAACAAGAAGAAGTCGCTGGCCAACCTGTTTGGCAACAAGAGAGAGAAGTAAGGAAGGGGTCCAGCCACTGCATACCAGTGTCCTGGCATGAACAAAGTACAACAATGTGAATGCCAACAGGAAGAAGCCCCCTACGATTGAGCAAGACAGTACGAAGGTTCCGGAAAAGAGCAAGCGTGTCAAGACCGACACCGGCGCGGGGGCGACATACTTCATAGTATACGCCAGAAGCCCTTACACCGTGCGCATCTCCGAGGCGACATTCTTATTGCCGAGGTCTCTTCCAGCACCCTTGCGACCGTCCGAGACAAGATGGGCCCTGGAGCCGGAGGCGCGGTCTCTGCTGCTGCTGCTGCTGCTGCTGTTGTTGTCAAGACCGATGACAGTGATGACCGATGGACTGACGAGCGGGGATTGTTGTCAAGGGGAACTTGGAAGAGAAGGGAAGGAACGTCTGGTGAGTAAGAATTGCGCCTCTGGAAATTCAGATTGGATCCTGGACCAGAAGCGTCCACTCCATTTCACTTTTTACGCTACGCTTTGGACACGGCAAGAATCTTCTTCGGCTTCCATCCAGAATGAAAGAATTATGGAGTGTCTGGCAGTTATCTGTTTGGAGAATGTTTGGACGGCTATCTGGACATGAAAGACACTTTGCAAGAAAGGGCTTTGGCTTTTGATCATTTTCTCTCGCGGATAATCCATTGCCTTGTCCCAATACTAACAGACGAACGAAGGAAAACGGACGCCTGCCCATGGGTCTCAACACGATACAAAAGGAGTACCCTGTATGTACTATTCCGGTCAACACAGGAGACAACAAACATTGCACTAGACGTCTTCCCTTTGCTGTCAATGTACTTTTTGACCTTCACGAAGGAACAACCCTTCCTGAATTCCCGTTTAGTATATAAACTACCTGCAGCTCTGGTTTCTATTCTCAAGAATTCTGCTACCTGTACAGCATCAGGGCCTTTCTCTCATTGACTATCCACTTGCTACAGAGAGTAGTAATTCCTCCGCACAGCCCTCTGCAACACTTCCGGTAGAGGTAATTATCAGCTCAACCGACTTTTTCGGCCTCACAAACCGCCAGTCTGTCACTCACTAGACAATCAGGATGTCACGAAACGGCTATGCGAGGAGAAAGACAGCAGAAGAGTGGTCGAAGCGCCTGGAGGACATGTTATGTGACAAGGATAGTATAACGTATACGCTCCATGACCTTTTCGAAGAGATCGACAAGCGAGTTGCCCCAGTTTGGGGCAGCAACGACCGCAGTATTGTGTGGCAAGTATACTTTGTCGCGGCTCTCAGAAAGCTTGTGAAAGAGATACCCCTGGGCCCCCACGGACATCAGCATCGAATACTTACACATGGAGATTAAGCGCATGAACTCACCAGTAAAAGCCGCCGCAACCCCCAATGGCAAAAATGAGGCTAGCAAGCCCGTCGATACTTCTACCACCGACACGACCTTCAAAGTCGACACCGAAGGCGACTACAAAGCCCGCATCGTTGAAGATTGCACTACCAAGATCTTTGAGTTCACGTTGAACGGTCCGGCGACCGTCATGGTCCAGATTACAACTACTGAGACTGCTGCCGCCCGCAGTGCCGCTCAGCTGGGTGCCCTTTCCATTCGGAAGAAATAACAGGTGAGTCCCTATTAGAGTATACCACTACGGGCACTAAACTACGCATCAGCCCTACAACCTTTGGTATCACAGTTGACTGACATTGCGCTTCCTAGCATCTATCTTCATAGGCTCTCAAAAGACGTACACGCGCAGTAGTCCTCAGAGAATGTTCCCTGAGGAAGCATTGCTAGATGAGTATGATGGTGATGGGGGCATTAAAAGGCCAAGGCTGGTGGACAGACACTCGACAAATCCGGGTTGTTGATAGCGGGTATGAATGTTCGTTCGTTAGGAAGCGGTGGATAATTGATTGGTTTGTCGTCTTCCGTTGCGAACGTGGATGCATGGAGATATATTACCGTGATGCAGATGCATGGACCAAGGCATTCGGAAGCAGAAAACTTGCCTAATAAGAGAAAAGTTGGTTGTTAACGTGTTGTTGAGATGAAACGGAACAGGGAAGGAGGAATCGACAACGGGCTGCTCTCTTCCACTTCAGCTGCGAACTGGCAGGAACCATGGCATGGTCCCACGACCGAGGCGATAAATACCTCCGGTCAATTCCGTTGCCCTGAACTCACTCCGTCCAAGCTATCTCCATGTCTGCCAGCGTCATGACTCATCCAATGCTCCATGTAGGTAGGTATCAACCATGCTCCCCTTCTCTCCTCAGGTCTTCAAGCCTTCGGAATCTCATCAGTTCGACAGCACGACAGCCAGTTCTTCAACACATGTACCGGTACATGCTTTCCTTCTCTCTGCTTGACCCGACTAAAAATGCCCGCATCTTCTCCTATGATCTCGAGAAAAGAGTCGGTCCAAATAACACAGCTTGTTCTTATTCTTCTTAGTGGCTGCCTTTATACCTTTTGTCCCCGGGCTCATGTACTCTCCGACCCGAAAGTCCAGTAAGTGAGTTGAGTCTCTGCATGTCCAGAAGGACTGACGTTCGTTGCTGGTACTGATATGTTACCGGATGCAGTTGTTCAAAGAGTAATTCACCGAGCAGAACGCTCCTTCCAAACCAGAGGATAGGTAGGTAGCCTGGAGCCTACTAGCCATGCGCTCACTCATTGCCTTCAGACTTCTTAGAGCCAGCCTCCAAAGTACGAACATTGCGGTCCTTGTTGTCATCGACGCGGCGCCTCTTGTTCATGTTTCTGAACGGTTCTTCGGCCTCCACCTGCTCGCGCTCAAGCGCATCAAGCTTCTCCTTCAACTCTTTGACATTCGGCGGCAGGTCGTTCAACATCTTGCCGAGAGACCGAACAAAGAACTGGTGCCACAGCGTGCTGGGGTGGTCTTCCGCATCGATGTCGTCGGAGCTGGCGCCAAGATGAACTTCCGGCGAGAGCTCATGGTACTTGACGGCGAAGGCTTGGAGGACGGTCGCCAGTTCCTTCTCCCAACCCTTACCGGAGTGGTAGTTCATGAAGAGCTGTGCCAACTTCACAGATGCTCGATCATTCGACATGACTTTGGACATGGACATGTCGATTGCGGGGTACCGTTCTGGAAAACGAAAGTGATGGAAAGGTTTGCGTCGAAGGTGAAATATGAGGCCGTTGTCTGGGTAACGCAGAAGGCGTGAAAAAGGAGTTATTGTTGTTGTTGTTGTTGTTGTTGTTGTTGTTGTTGACAAGAGCTTCGGTGAACGGCGATTAACTGACTGCTCAATATTTGAGGAGGAGGAAGAAGGGGAAAGACACGGAAAGAAGGCGGTGTTTTGCGACTGAAAGATACTTGACCTCGTTTCAAGACGCAAGGTATTGTGCCCGGCCGTCCGCCTGTCACCTATGCCAACCGGCCTGGGTCCACTTCCCAGCACCACCGCCCTCAGCTGGCTTTGCCCCGCGCTCGTTTGTAGCCTCGTCTTTCTCCTGGATACATCATCAGGCAACTTCTTTCTTGCGTTCTCTGTCCTCGAGGTCCAAGGCCTTCTCTTTACTCCTCTTCGATCTTCGTGAAGGAACTACTTCCCCGGCAGTCATGTCCAGTGGAGGTATATAAGACTGCTGTGCTGGCTCTCTTCCGTCTTGGGCTTCTCATACTCCCAACATCACCACACTTTCTTCGCCGTTGATCTTCTACTCCAAAAACCAGTGGCCGCGCCTCTTCTAGGATCTCCGCAACACCTTATTCTCTTCACCGAGCTCTACCAACTCACCCAGAATCTCATTACCTCCGTCACCGGCAATCACAATGACCCAGAGCGCGAATGAGAACGTGAGGAAGGGCGCCAAAAGATGGGCCACCTTTCTTCTCGACACCCAAATCAAAAACAAGAGAAGCGTCAAGCAAGTCCTCCAACACCTTGCTGAGGCGTACCACAAGCGCGTTGCTCGGGTGTGGGATAGCAGCGAGCACAGCATCGCTTGGCGTAACTACTTCGTCGCGGCTCTTCAGAAGGTCTCGAGGGAGATGCCTCACAAGGACTGTAGTACCGAAGAGTTGCTGAAGGAGATTGCGCGCATGAAGGCGCCTGTTGAAATTGTTGCGCCCCCCAAGGACGACGATGGCAACAAGACTTCGACGCGGGCAGTCAGCAAGAACTTGACAGAGGCAGCCAACAAGCCCGTCGATGCCTCTACCACTGGCACCGATCCCTCCGCCGCACCCACTGATGGCGGTGATGATGGCAATGATGATGCCAACGATGGTGCCAGCAACCCCGTTGATACCTCTACCCCCGAGACCTCCACCAACACCACCCGTCGCCTTCTCTCTACCACCACCACCTGCACCGAGAGTGGCATCATAATCAACACCCAAGGCGAGTGCAACGCCCAGGTCATGCCAGACGGCACCATCCAGTTCCGGTTGGGCGGTCCAGCTACGGTTACTTACCGGCCCTCTGTGACTACCTCTACTACCTCCGGAACTGGGATCAGTGCTGCTGTTGCCGCTGCTATGGCTGCTGCCGCCGCTCAAGGCACTCCCTCTGTGTCTGAGGATCAAGTCAACGAGACTACGACTACTACGACTGAAACCGTGGAAGAGTTTGTCGACACTTCCTCTGTAAGTTCTACCAGTACGGATGCTGCTATCGAAGCTGTTCTTGCTGCTCTCGCTGCTGCTAGGGCCGCACGTGGCACTCCCCTTTCGTCTGAGCCCCGAGTCCATGAGACTACGACTACTACTGCAGCTACTGAACAGACTGTGGAAGAGGTTGTCGACAGTTCTTCTAGAAGTTCTAGCGACAGCACTTCAACCGTCCGTGACACTCCGTCTGGAACTGATCCCAGAGGTGATGACACTTACACCGTTCATGGCACTCCTTCTACATCCAATGCTGAGGCCCCAAGTACCTCTGGAACTGCGACCTTTGGAAACGGTGCCGCCGATGAACACCCCTCCGGAACTCCTGGTTCTGCCGACCGCGACACCCCTACTGGACGTGACACCGCCGGCGATACTTCCATGTCTACCGTCGGCGACACCCCCTCTACATCCCAAGCCGTGGTCCATACTTGTACCTGTGGAACCACTACCTCAACCTCTGGAAGCGCTGTCGTCAATCACACTTCGTCTGGAACTTCTGCTTCCTCTAGAACTGCCACTCCTGGAGTTGATGCTGCCGCCCGTCGCAGTCGCTCTCCCTTTCAGTCCCTGGACCAGGTCATCCACTCCGAGACTCCCGAGGAGACCCCCGATGCTGCCGCCCACGTTACTCTCTGGGGACCACAAGCTGACACCGTCCGTGGCACTGGCACCCCGTCTGCCCTCCAGAACCAGACCCAAACCCACCACGCCTCTGCCCATACCTCGACCTTTCGAGCCGCTGTCGCCCGCGACACTCCTTCCGGAACTGCCGAAATCCTTCGTGGCACTGGCGCCTGGGCCCATGCGGACCTAGTGCAGGCGGCGCAACGACAGAGGAGCAGAGTTAGACTGGCAGGGGCCATGATCTATGACCTCGGTGATACTCGTGTCGAGGAGCTGCTTGCCCCTGCCCCTGTGGAGGAGAATGTTGAATATGCTCAGCATATAGCTCAGACTCTGCTTCTTCCCCTTGCCTCGGGTGGTAATTCATCCGGAAGAAATATCGCTGCTGGCAGCACTCGCCGCTTTGCGCCTGAGGCCCAGGTCAACAATGGTACAGGTACCCCTGGAGCTGCCAGTGCCAGTGCTGCCGCTGGTGATACCGGAACTCCTGTTGTTCAGGCCCAGGCCCATACCTCTGGAACCCATGGTGTTGCTGCCGGTGATACTGCCGTAACTCCCCTTGTGGCTCAGGCTCAGGTCGATAGTGATGCCTCTGGAACTTCTGGTGCTCCCCCCACTCGCATCGACACTCCCTCCGTGGCTGCGGATGAGGGACACAATTGGGATCCCTTCTCGGCCCTGGTTGAGGCTGCTGCTGCTGCCACGCGTCTTGAGACTGGTGGCGGTCCTGGAGCTGCTGGTGATGCTCCAGCTGATAAACGTGATGGACACAATGGAGCCTAGATGGACACGCAAGCAGTGGACTATACTACTCATGCAGGTAACCATAGGCAATCCGACATTGGGCCTTTCGAATTTGACGGAATCAATGGAAATTAACGGCATTAGTACTCATAACTCAGATCGTGAAATTGCTGGTTACTATTTTTCCGAGGAAACCTTGCTAGAGGAGGATAATAATGGATAGAGGGCTCAAAAAGGGGTGTCGGACACTCATCGATATCGTTTTAGTGGCAGTGTCTTTGCTTTCTCCATGGCTAGGATCTTGTAGAAAAGAGATTTTAGTATCCAATCGCGCTGCTTTTCTTGTATTTGTGCTGTGTGGTGCGCCGAATAAACGGTTCTAAATTTCTCTTTCCTCCATCAATCAAATGGCCATGTACCGTGCATCGCCACGCCCGCTTGCACACTTGTATGAGCATTTGCCTGGCTGAGCTGGAGGCTTAACAGGGACACAACGCTAATGTGGAGAAGTGAGCTGGATCCGTTCTATGTATATTTAGAGGGACATCCTATAGGTCACTTTGTGAGTTTTCTTTTTCCACACAAACCCTGTTGGGGTGTTTACTGACATTCATTTCTAGCTCAAGGAATCTTTAGCAGTGGGATGCTACCTAAAGGTAAGGTACCTTGATTGTTCCACACGGACTTTTGGAGAGGGTAAAGGATCGTGAATCAAGCCACCCGGCTACATTTAGTTGAGGATTAAAGGGAAGTAGACTAAGAGGAGTGAGAAGCTAACGCTTTCTCACGGGAGAAGTGACCAGAGCGGTAAAAGGAGCCAGAAGTTGCAAAATGTAGAGGTAGTCGCGCCCACTAGAAGTTGGGATGCAGTACAAAGCATGCTGGTGTATGTAGCTAAAGACATACTACACCTTCCAGTCAAACAGATGATGTGGAAGCGGTGACAAACTGAATAGGAGCTTAGTACATAAAGGTCGTAACATGCAAGCTAGCTACCTTTTGTGAAGAAGGAACGACAGGGACTGGAGATGTAACAGAATGCAGCTTTCCATCGATCTATAAGGTAAGTACCTCACTCTCTGTCATTAATTGCACGCAATATAGCAACAAGTGCTCGGAAACTTTCCATCTCAAGCCTCTTGCGCTAAGCTTATGTACCTCTACCTTATATAGTATAGCCGTCCTAGGTAGCGGTATGCATCGGTCGCGTCTCTTTCCCGGTTTTGATTCTTCTTAGCCAGCAAGCCCTCGTCCTAGTGGATCACTATGTGCCGCTGGGTATCCCTCGCTCCAGTCAGGCAGCGTCAAGTGCCTGCCAGAAATGAGGGGAAAGAAATTAAAGAAAAGAAGCAGAACAGGCATAAGGTTCAAGGTGCTGGGAAGCATCAGTGTCATTTATAATAAGTCAAATATAGAGGTACATTAGTTAGGGACGGATCCATTGGGAATACTCGGACGTTGGAAAAGTGTACCTGACTCACCATCAACTCGGACCGGCCATCATCAAAGCTGCTCCCAAGGCCACTCCCGCCGTCAACATCACCAGTACGGCTAACGTCAACAGCACTGCCGTAGTTAGTAGTGTGACGAACCGTTACAAGCACAGGAGTATTATCGCTGGGATAGAACAATAGAGTAACGGAGTAGTAGCCAAAAGGTACTGGTAGGTTGTGATAGCTATTGCTTGCTGAAGAACCAGGTATAACGAAGGCCAGGAGGCCTTCTTATATACTGGTCTTCAACCCCGTCCCGTGGTCCCGTAAACTCGGGACCCCGGGTCCTATCTGATTGGTCAATCTATCTAGCTTACATGAGGCTCAACGATTGGATCGTAACAAGTAGCAACGCCATGGTCCAAGGCAACAACGCTGGCAACGTCAACAACACTCGCAACGTCAACAACACGGGCAACGCCGCTAGTCCGAACAACAAGAAGCGCCCTGCCGATGCCATGGACCCTGGCGGCAACAGTCATGATACTTTGCACCCCAACAAGCGCGTCATGACCCAGACCAGCAACGACGGGGTCCTCCTTCCTGGACCTATCTTAAGCGTCGACACACAAAGCGATTACACAGTCCGCATCGTCGAAGGAACTCCCCCCACCTTTGAGTTCAAGGCGAACGGCCCAGCCAAGGTCCATTTCAACATGGGTTACTCAGGCGTCCCTACTGTTGCTGATTTTGGCCTTGATCCTCGGGCTGCTGCAGCTGGCGCCGCTGCTCAAGCTCCTCGTCCAATTCCTGCTCCGGCTCCTGATGCTGGCGCTGCTCCCGGTGCCCCCCGGTGGTATGGGGTTCTGTTGCTGTCGCTGGTTCTGGCCCTCCCCTTGGTGGTGTCGCTGTTCATGCACCTCGTGCTCCTGGTGCTACGGCCGGTCCCAGTGCCGTTGCTCCTAGGGCTCCTACTGCTGCTGTGGCTCAAGGTCCTGGTGGTCTCTCTGCTCGGGCTCCCGGTGGACCCGACACTGTCACTGCTCCCGGTATTCTCGATGTTTCAGGCGCTCCCGGTGCTATTGCTGCTCCTGGCAATGTCGCTGGTCCCGGTGGTGCTATCGCTACTCCGGGCGGTGTTATCGTTTTTCCTGGTACCATCCCGTCTCCTGGTGCTGCCGTCACTCAGGCTCCGGCTCCCGCTCCTCCACCGGTTCCTGCTTATGTTGTCCCTGCTAGTGCTCGTCCTTCTCCTGGCGTTGTTGCGTTTGCTGATCGTGCTTCTAACGCTGCTCCGGACGTTGAAAACGCACGGCAGCGTACGGGTTGGGAGGGCATGGGCTGCCGCGACGACTACGAGTCCTCGATATCGTCATCGGGTGAGTGTCTCTCTTGAATCTTCCTCGTAACGTACCTCTAGGTACTTCCGGCTTCGGCTAACTTTTGATCATCAGAAAACACACGTAGCGACAGTCATGTGGCTTGATATCCATTCACAGGGTGAGGCTATACCATCTTCTCGGAGCAGGCGATGGCTGCTCTGTCCTTTGCTGGGTCGTGATGGTTCAATGCCCGAGCATGCTTGGAGGAAAACTCGCAGAGAAGGGACAGCTGAATTACGGCACCCAAGCGTTGTGGCTCGTAAGGTCTGGTAGTCTTGAAGCAAAAGCTGAAGGAATGCATGACAGGCAGAAAAGGCGAAGGGCAGTCAGCATTGTGCAGGGCAAGCGACATAAACGGGATAGATACCTCTAGCACCAAGCAGGCTTCCATAGAAGAGAATTCAAGCCACGAACCCCTCATCAAATCAATGGACATAAACGAGCTTTGAAGTGATGGGCAACATGTCAATGGCAAGTCCGCCCAAATGTTGCCTGAGAAAGCTGCACCAGCAGGCGTCATGCGTTGTACCTGCATCATGTGTCTTTCGGAATCTGGAAAGACCGACCCGTTGCATGCCCACTTTCTTTCAGATTAATGCTAGCCGTGGTGGTCCTTTGGGTGTCCTTTCCCTGACCTGGACCGAGACCAAACAGCAAGTGCGTTGATCAGACGCTGGTGCGAGACTGAAACCGTCGATGCCGGAGATGTAAAGCCACAACTATGACAACAAGAGAATCCCGGAACCCAACGGCCATCTATGGGCGTCTGTGTCAGGCAATACTGTAAAGTGCGATGAGGCCTCCGGTGCGTCTTATTCTGCCCCGCGCTACAAGTTCCAATCACCCCAGCCTCGCCCACCTCCAACCCGCAACCAATCCCAAAACACAATCCAGCTTGCAGAACAGTCAACCAGTCCATCCGTCCAACTCGCAGCATGCCTGCTACGGCTTTGACACCTTCTTCCGCTTTCTCCTATACCAACGCATTTTCTCATGCAGCCCTGTCCACCGAAGCTACTTTACGACCAACGTGGCGCAAGGCGCGACACAGAAACAGGACACCAACAGATCAAAAAATGAGCAGACGCTTGAGATCCTTCGCTCGCTTTGCATGTGCACTACCTTGGCGCCGTGTTCGGCGAGCAAGTGTATGCTGGTTTACCAGACCTATGTCGGCTCCATGAACGATAAAATCAAGCGTCTCTTCCGCGAGCGTCTGACCGAGTCCGAGTCTATCCCCGCATGCAAGACGGGTAAGCCTCTCAACGTCATCTTGTGGTGTATCACTGACACTAACACATCCGTACAATCATTAGCTCAAACATGAACTCACCACCACGGCAAGCGTCAACAATTTGCCCAACCCAGGGAACTTGTCGAGGAAGGAAGGCACGTCACCAAGTCATCGAGTCGACTTGGAAAAAGACTATGCGGCGAACAAGAAGATCGTGGAGGATGAGCAAGACACGAAGCAGGCCCACGAGGAAACTCCTGCTCCAACCGAGGCGGACCACATTGCTGCCAAAGCTGAGCGCATGGCTGTGCTACAGATTGGAGCTTCTTGCCGAGAACCCCGTGCCGAAGTGAACAGAGTGAACGAAGACGAAGGCATCACGAGATTAGGAGTGGTAGTGAATTTTGTTGATTGAATAAGGAGAGAGGGAGGACGAAGGAAGGGAGGAGGCCTTCAATATAAATACATGCATAAATCCATACAAGGATCAAGAAAATAAGATAAGAGATAACCATCTCGTTCAACACCCCGACGATGATGATGAGGGGAACACAAAGGCCAAACTCCCCAGTCAGGCGTGCGTTAGAAGTTACAGACAGGTACATGATGCCAACCTGGAAAGTTTCCATCCCTTCCAACTGCCACTGATCTGACAAATTTCGACCAGACACACCTTCAGAACTGCTCTCCCTTCAATCCGGCGCAGACACTCCTCAACTTCCCAAGTCAATCCCGCACAACAAGAAGACCAAAAGCGCCAGACTCAAACCTCCTGGACGCCCTGAGCTACCATAAGGCAAACGCCCTTTAGTAGGTACACGGTCAGTCCGACTTAGATGTAACATACTATAATTGCCGGTCGAAGGAATCTCCGCCAAAACCCAAACCCTCAACGCATATTGGGCCTTAGAATAAACCTTGGAAACGTACATCACGGAATTATACGGTACTCACGTGCAACCGCACAACAAGCGTGCCGCAGCCCGTAGTTAGGATGGAGTACCGGCAGCCGCATACCGTAGAAACTCGCCAAATAAGCAAACCCCCTTCCCCCTTTGGGAATTTGAGCCCAACAGTAAGCACAGGAAGCAGTATGCCTGATGCGCTCTGTATGCCATGTTACCTAGGAAAGGCCCAGTTGATAGATCCCCGACCAGAGACTGGACATTGCCCTCCACCTGAACACACATACATTCAGTACAGGGACCCGGACTCGAGCTTCAGATATCTGTGCATATTCTGCCTGAATAACCTACCTTAGTGTTCCCGCCGTGGATATTTGCCTAGGTATTTAGCGAGTCTCTACGGTAACCAGCTGCTAGCACCAGCTTTAGTGGCTTGAATTGTGAAACTACCGACCGTAAGTATTGCTATTAATGTTTCCTCCATTTCCCTGCTAACCGTCCACGTGGTGTATATATATTAACACTTTCGGCGGTGATGTCCTTCAGAATCATTGTGAGACTACTTCTCGCAACGGAGGAGCGCAGATGGGGAGAGGTTCTTCAGGAGATAGTCGTACCAATTCAACGCCGGCTTCGTTTTCCTTGCCTGGATGATGGCACACATGTTACAATCCAACCAAAGTTATGTAAGCT